CTCAGGGTAATGCAAGTTTAGTCTGCCTGCAGGATCTGCAAAATGTGCCGATACCGATTAGCCAACTTACGGGTATGATTCGTTCGAAGCCCGTTGTACTGGCATCTGATTCTCTACGTTTCCGTTCATCAACTGCAACATTCCTACGTGATTGATCCACTGTGTCCTTTTATCTACCTAGTCTAGCCATAAGTTCTGTTACAAAGAAAATATCCGATAATTAAAAAAATATATATTTTAAAGTTTTATATGTGATTATGTATAGTGAAAAAGACATGTAATTTTCCTTAGCGCACGCTTTTAAACGTCGGGCCATTCGTCGATGGATATACGAACGGTTTCCATTGGAAACTTGGTCACTGCTGCCTCCAAACATTTCTTGAGCGACTCAATATTTGGGTGACGCTTAGCGCAGGCCATGTCCTAGAGCTCAGGCCACAATTTATAGTCCAAATGGTTTAAGTCCAGACTAGCCGAAGGCCAATCATCAGCTTTTATGGTTCCAGCCAAATTTGGATAGTGCGCACGTTTTGACCCGGGGTTGAATCCTGATGGAATGTTTTTGATTAAGGTGTTGTTGAGAGGTTTAATTACTGCTTCTAACACGGTATCTTGATACACTTTGGCTGAAGTTTTCACTCCTTTTTAACAAAAATGGAGTTTTGTAACCCCTTTGTAGGAGACACCCAACTAGCAAATTAGTCATATAAGGTAAAGTTTATTCAGCTTTTCGGTGTTATAAAAGTCGAGTAAGTGTGAATTATTCAGCACGTATCGTATAAAAGCATCTTATATAGCTTTTGAGTTATTCAGCATTTCGGTCACATAATGATGCTGAGTAAACGTTTAGTCAGCATCCTTATATGACTTAAGTGTCATATAATATTTTGCTGAATAAGTCGCTAGTATACGACGCTTATGTCACTATTTCGTCGAGTAAAAGCATATTATATAGCTTTCTTATGGCAAGGTTGACTCAGTCGAGTAAAAGCAACATTGTTGCTTTTATACTACTGTTATGTAGTATACGTCGCATTTATACGACTATTACAAGCCTAAAATGTCGTATAATTGTATCCATTACACCGATCAGATTGTTTTGTGTAAAATGCTGTGAGTAGTTTACAGTTATCGAAAATGGACTGGAATAAATGGAAAAACAAACAAAAAGTCTTTTTTAGAAAACTTTTTAGGAAGTTCTAAGGGACGCTAAATTATAATCAGAGTGGTATCATGGCGCTCATACTGCTAATTTGCTGTATAAGAAGCTATTATACCGCCTGTCAGCAGTAAAAATGGTGTACAAAAATAATATTGATATAAAAATATTTGTTATTATATTCATATTCCTAAGAATTAAAGGGGGGCGTTAAATATTTATGATATAACCTAGTATATTTCCTCAGAAAACTTACCTTCGCAATACTTTACAACCCTATGCGTGAGTTTACGAACCTACATTTGGTGCAACCTACAAATTAACATGTCTGCTAAATAAATTGTACTTACCGATGAATTATAATTTTTAAAACACAACACGTCGAAGCACTTGCTAATTTTATTTACTACAAATGTTTTCAGCTGTTTTGTATCCCAGGTCGCTTCAATAAGACAAACATGTCATATAAAAGTCATATAAGTTACAGTTATAGCGCAACATAAGCTTGTAACAGTCACTCCGGCGATAATTACGTGACGATTTACCTGAATAAGTTACCTTTATACGATGTCTATGTGACTGAATTGCTGAATAAAATGGGCCCAAATCGCGTTGTATAAACGTTTTCATTACGTTTATACGACTTCTATTAGGAGCCAAAATGCTGAATAATTTTCGTTGCCGCGACTACTATACGACATATTTTTGCTAGTTGGGACCCCACCAAACCATAATCTCTGCTAGATGATGGCCTCATGGCACTTAGGCCACTACCTCGAAAGCTTATTTAGAGCTGTGAGCATACACTCGATCATTTTGTTTGCTGTAGTGCGCCTCGATTGTAAAAAAAAATTCATCGGTAAAGAGAATGTTTCTGTTTTCGTCCGCATACGAAGTAACAACTGTTTTGATCTTTCGACTCTTTTTGTTTAAAACCTGTGTGTCCTGTGTATCTCCGGTAAGCCCCTAGACCTAAGTCTTGAATGATAATCCAGAAATTATCCTCGGTGGGATTCTCATTTCTCTGGAAAGGATTTTCTGCTTCCTTATAGGATTTCGATGAATTCTGGCCTTGACTGCATTAACGGCCTGGTTTGTTCGAATAGACCGCGGTCGACCGGTCGCGGTCTCTCACGGTCAACAAAAGACATGGTTTCAGTGTACCTTTGGATGGTACGATACACAAACATTCGGCTAATCCCTAGCTTTTTCAATGTATAAAAACGTTGGCTGGCTCCTTACCTACTTTGTACAGTAGAATTACTGCAATTCTATTCTCTTTAGTGCCCCACTCCATTTCCAAAACAAATAATTTCTAAACAAAAAACATACAATAATGGCGGGATAGATGTCTATTTTTTTATCGTATAAAAGCTAATGTTCGAAATCCAAATTAATGTATTTTTTAAATGTATGTAAACAGTCAGTACCTAACAGAATTTATGTCTAAGTAGTCTAAGGCATTTGATAGTAATTTTGTTGTCCTTATCATATTCAGACCCTCACACTCATGTAAGAGACTCGATGACGGAGCTGCCTTTGAGAGCCTGTAGAACTTATTTACTGTCGGAGATGATCCGGTTTTCTCATCTTTTTGCCCAGAGTAGTGAACGAGGAATAAATTAATAACCATATTACCATTCTAGAATAATAGTAACCATAGTAGAAATTTAATATTTTTTAATTTATATTTAATGAACGAAGGGAGTTATACTATTCCAAAAACAAAATGTTCGAAAAATTTTTTTACTACATATGCTAATGCTGCCATCTACGCTGAGCTTTCAATATTCCCTATTGCTATCCTTCCCAGTTTGTCCTCCTCTCCGCATCCCATGCAATGTACTTAGGTGTTTTTATCAGATTGCCGGGGCAATGTGATAAATAAGCTCCAATCATCTGTACTAATGTATCACTTATTTCATAACATATATATTACACAACGTATGAGGGAAAGAGAACAACCAAAGGACTTCTTGATCTCGTCACTTTTTCACGAGCAATTGACGTACGACAACGTAGGTAATTTTTAGTTAAAAAGTTTTGCCAGTTTTTTAGTTGATTCCAAGTATAAATGTGAATTTCCATTTTGCTTAAGTTTTAATAAGAGGACTTAAACGTTTTGTGAGATTTTCAAAAACGTTTTTATCTTCTTTTCTCTTTTAAAAGATAAATTACCCAATTACTTGGGTAATTTATTGGGTAATTGGCGCACGGGTATTTGGATAGGTTAAAACAAAAAGCATATTTTCTGCTTCTTTTTACAAAAGTTCAAATTCGATATCTTGTAAAATAAATTAATGGCTTGAATTTTACTAAAAGCTAACGAATATCCGAATCTACCCCTATTACGTGGTACAATCGTACATGGGCAGGGGAACATTCAGACAGTGCGGTAGCTTCATATATATTGTTAAACAACAATTTAATTTAATTAAAAAAATCGTTTCATTAATCCTAGACTTATCAACGATGAAATAAACTAAACGACATAGGCTTAAAGTCAAACTATTTTTTTTTTATACGAAAACCGTGCATCCATATTATATCAGCCAATCCATTTATAATTAATTAACATTTCAAAACTTTGTCATAATCATTTGAGTGTTCTGATTTTCAATATCGTGAGTCCGTAATGTGTATTTAAAATTTTTCAATTTATGAGTCGTCTTCAGTAAAACTATTTTTTACCAATTTCATTTTAAAACACCTTTTACTAACAATTTTCTGAAATAATAATTAAAATTGTTAACGTAACATACACAGGCGTACGAATGTGCCCTTGCAGGAAATGTACGAACGTGCCCGGAAGATCAAAAATAAAATATTTTTTCTAACACAAAACCCATATAAAAAAATAGACAAATAGATATATTATTATTTTCTTATCGTAAGTCATTACTTACGATTAAGAAATAATCCTATAAAATTTTACGTTTATTACAACACGAAAGATCCAAAAACATTATCAAAATATTTGCTATAAGCATGCCAAAACACTTTGTTCTCTAGTGTTAGCGGCTGGAAAACTGACAGCCGCGCGCGCCTACCCACAGACACGAAGTCGTGATAAACGGATTTTTCTACAAGTTGTAGTAGTGACTGTTCGAAGGTTCCCCGTGTACGAATGGTGCCAATCTTCCCTTAAGTTCTATCGTAAATACTTCGTTTTTAGAGAACATCCCTATCCTTATATATTTGCATCCCATGTTACGTTTATTATATAAATAATACAAAACGTTCTTTTTTTATTTTAAATCGCACTTACTGAAGTCCGATTACTTCTGATGACCGTCCAAACAATTCGTCTATACTTCTTCTTCAATCCCTGCCCACCTCAAACATAGAACATACGCTGCCATACTACCTACGAGTACTTTAGGTCTGATGAATGCGGGAATCATTCCTTAGAATCCATAAATCCCAAATAATCATCGATATAATAATAATATTACTGCTGCCGTTTATTACTTTCCTGTTAAACAAATATACCCCTCAAAAACACCCCAAACCGTAGTGTCTTACGTTAGAAGATGCGCGATGGAATTCCCGTAGTGTTATAGTATATTTTTTACAGTTTGACACTCCTCGACCGATGAGACGTGACGCTTCTTCCATTAGATATGCACCGATCCTAATGCGTTGCATATATGAAAGAAGTAGTGTCAAAATCAATAGTTATTACTTAATACCTAATTTGGTTGACTCTCATGCAAACTTAACCCAAACTTGTTCTCCCCACAGACTACCTACGTTATCTGGCATGAGCAACGAAAACGTAGTTAATTAACGTAATTGAGGAATAAATACGAATTATTCACAAGATTAAAATTACGTTTCAGGTTAATTTAAAATATAAAAATAAAACCAAACATATACAGGCAAGCTACTGTATTAAATTTGTTAACATACTTGGCTTTCATCGTCGTAACAAAATACCAAATAGTGTCAATAAAAATATATTGACAAATACACTCTTAAATAAAAATCAATTACATGAAAATAAAATAACATTACAATTTCTTTAAAATATGTGTATCGGTAATCAAACCAATGAAACACTATCAATCCAGAGACATTCCAGCGTCTCCATCTTTCTTATCATCGTCCTTTGGTTTGTCTTCTTTCTTTTTTTCGTCGCCATCTTTAGAATTATTACTATCGGAAGGATTCGCACTGTTTTCTAATGCTTTGAAGAAAGCTTGCATATCACCAGTATTAGCAGCAGATGCCACTTCAGCCGGTAAACCAAACTGTGTCATGACTGGACCCATCTGCCCTGATGTCAGCGCCGAAGAGAACTGGTTCGCCGCCTGCAACCATTAAACAAATTAAAATATTCCACCCGATAGTATAAATTTCTCAAACAAAAGACAAAAACTTGTTAGTTTCGACCTGAATAGTTAGAAAACAAGATGTAAGAATAGATATTAATCTCACCTTTCCTTAAAAACCACATCAAAAAGCTCGGTTAATACTAAGTTAGTGCAATTAGTTAAACTTCGTCATTCCATTTTTAAAGCATCACAGACACTAGGAATCCATTCACACCAACACACAAAATGAAAACCCCAAGGTATAACGCAAACGATAAAAAAACGCAAACAAAACCAGGGCATGCAAAGCGGTAATCGAGTCATCGTTACTGCACACCCGCGACCGCGTAAAGCAAGAGCGCCGAAGCCACGGCCGCCGGGCCGTCAGAAGTAGTGATGCGACTCGAATAGCGTTTAGTGACTCGAGTCACTCGAGGTATTTTACTACATCACTGAAGATATACTCGAGCTTTCGAGTCACTCAAGAAAATCTTACTTGAGTTGCTAATTGGTAATTCAAGTGAATTTCTTTTACAAACACATAAAATAAAAACAATTATTGTAACGAATACAGTGAATTTTTTTTTATGGGATAGGGGGCAGACGAGCAGACGGATCACCTGATGGTAAGTGATTACCGTCGCCCATGGTAATGTACATATAATACACCTGCAACACCAGAGGGGCTACAGCGCGCTGCCGGCCTTAGAGGGAATGGAATAGGGAGGTTTTTCATGTTATTTATTTAAACAATAAACAAATTAAAAAAAAGTGGCTTTGATAAGTCAAATAGAGTGGTGAAGTGATGCCTGGTGGCAACAGAATCATCTCGATGAGCCAAGTTGACTCGGTAACTCGAGTGCATAATAAAGACTGAGTAATATTTTTTCATTCGAGTACGAGTTTGACAAATTCACTCGAGTGACTCGAGTCGCATCACTAGTCAGAAGCGGGTGCGCAATACGTGAGGGTTCACCTGCGCGAACTGCGGTGAGAGCAGTGTGGTCCTTACATCGTCCTGAGTGGCACCGGTGGCCGGCGGCAGGTGCGGCGCGAGTCGTTGCGCGTTGGCCGGCGTCGTGGCCGTCGCCACCGCATCCGGAGCAGTGAGCGCCGCCGCTAGGTCCACGCTCTCCGGTGGTGCCGTGCCCATTCCCGAGAAGTACCGTTGCAGGTCTGATAGGAAAATTTGACCGCCTGTAACATGGCCGTCGTCCTATCTTTAGCCACTATGGACCATGGCAAAATATAGACCGACATAGGACATATTTCACCACTAATATGCCGTGCCCAAATTTAGCGTTTACATGACCAGCCTGGTATTGTTCCCACTAGGAACACAGGCTTCTCTATAGATGGAATCTACTACTAATGCAGATATAACCGTTACCATTGACGTGATTTCGGAAGCACTCGAGCTTGTAAAATAAAAAAACTAGAACTTGTTATTCCATTGGTATTTAGGAATATATATTCAATAATTTAATACAGGAATGTAAAATTAATTAAAAAAAAAGGCAATAATGGCCAATTCACCTACTTCTCGGTTGAGTAGCAGTAGCTGTATTGGGTGGAGTAGCAGTGGGTGCGGGGGCATCACGAGCACGCGCGGGGGTCCTTGAAGCAGCCTCTGTAGTGCGAGGAGCACTTCCCCCTCGAGAACTACCACCACTGCCACCCGATGGCCGAGAACTCGTGTTACCGCTGCTGTTGTTACTTAAATAGGATAATTATATGAATATTAAAAAAGTTTAACACATTAAGTGTTATAAATAAATAAGGTTTAGCGTCGGAGTACATTTTCTTTAAAAACTGTAATTTTAGTGAATAATCAAACCTACTACCTTTTAGGAGTAAAGTAAATATTACTCCTGTAGAACCTCATACTACGATAATCTTTGCTTAGTCTATGTTTAATAATATGAATTTTTACTAATACTAAGTACATTCTCAGCGTAAATTTACACCAACACTAAACCTTGTTTATTAATAACACTATTAGGCATTTACAACACTTTTCTCATGACTCCTTGAAAGCACATGTGCTAACATTGGTTGTATATTATTTTATAGAAAATAATGTATTTAAAAATTTCATTTCACATTAAATCTGCCTGGACTATGGTCTGATAATTTTCTTTCTTCCAAAAATTTATCTTTACATTGGTAATGTCATCAGTGACTAATGAAAATTCATCAAGTTTGAGTATCATCAGTAGTGAATAAATATATTTTTATATCAATAAAATAAAACCTGTTTAAGATTTTAATTTTTTGATTGACTAGACATAAATCAAAGTAAAAATAAAATACGACATTCTATCCACACTATCATCTTTCACTATCTATTTATTTAGTTAAACATTTTGTACACATCAAAAAAATTTTTTTTAGCAATTGTCAAAACATTTGTACACGGGCTTCTGCTTATTTCAAATTAAATTTCTACCAGCCGGCCCACAACAGGAGACCATACAGGTCAGTCAGTGAATACTTGCTAAATAAAAAATACAGAAAATAGAAATAACAAATAAACACTGGTTGACAAGTACACTTATTGAGTTGAGTTGTGTTGAGATCACACATCATTATATTTATTGTTACTTCTTATTGTTGACTCAAATAGCAACTGCGATTATAATTTGCACAATAAGTAAATATAATTTCACTAATGTCTCTCACTTCATTATTACTATTAGTTATGCTTTAAAAAATGTGCTTTCCATTTATTATTTTGTTATTACAAAGAAATTTTTTTTTATTTTTTTATTTCCGTTTACCTCAATAATATTATATAAGATGATTATTTTCCAAAAATTCATGCAATAAATTAACAAACTAAAAATCATTAAATCATTGTGATAATATTTTGGGGACTATTTGTATATAGATAGCACTTATATAATGATACTGTCTGTTTTCATGATGTCACGCATGAAATTTTGACAAGGTTCCAGCACATTAGCAATTTAAGGGACTTATACCAAAGGTTATAAACCACCTTCTGATAACAATAAGAGGAAAGATAATAATTCTTTACTCTTTTTTTTTTAATGCAGAGATAGTGCAACTGTCACATAGCTCTACTCACTATTATAAATAATAATTTTCATTATTGCTGATTAAAAGTGGTAAATATATTTTATTACCATCATTATTGCTTTAGAATAAAGTCTATGTAAATATTTTCCAACATTAGTATTCGTCTTGAAAAGAATTATAATAAAGAACAAAAAAATTTACCTACTTGTCAGAGGGGATATGACAAAATATACACTTATAGGGATGCTGTTTTACAAAAAGTTTACATCAATGTATTGTCTTAAAATAAATAACAAAAATGATGTTTTAGGTTCTGATTTTTATCTCACCAATTTGGTAAACTACATGATTATTACAAGTCTATTATGCTTTTAAAATATCAATTAGTTGTTAATCGATTTGGATAATTGAGTAATAATCAATTACTCAAACTCCATATTGATTTAAAATGTCATATCTCTAGTAATGTTTTTGATGTTACGATAAGTGTGCCAAAAATTTCAGCATTTAAACTGCTTGTTACACTTTTTTACATTACATAAGGTAAAAAGTATGAGCACCCTACTATCAATTGATCATTAAAAAACAAAAATCACAAACAAAAGTCTGTTTGAGACGTGATTAAATTGAAATTCTCAATTCAGATAGTGGGTGTTAGTCAGTCTATCATATCATCATAAAATAAGTAATGTCTAGTGGCTCTGAGATTTATATCTAATATTTAATATTTCATATAAGTTACTTTTGTCAAAGTATTAAATAAAATATTTTCAATATAAATCATATCAAGACTACTAGGTGCAAATAAAGTAATTATTATAATGCATTGTCTAAGATTAACTTAGTTTTTAAATCTATGCACAGATAACATATTAATAAAGTTAGTTGTTATCCCATGACTACGATTAATTAATATGTCCAATAGTTTCAGAGCCAATTCAATGCAAGCCAACAATTAATCAAATTTTACTCTTTATAATATTAGTATTGATGATGATTACCCCATGCCCAACAATGATGACAAGCCACCAATTTGGCCGACACCACCAAATAACTGCATTAACTGTTGCTGTGACATATTGTTTAGAAGATTTTGCAATTCCCCATCTTGACCGCTGCCACTTGTACCACCGCGGCCTCCTGAGGTAGGTGGATTGTTCAGAGCTTCATTGATACGACGGCAATATTCATCATCTTTTTCTGTTTTAGGCTCCTGAGAAATCAAGAAACAATTTATAATGCAAACAAGTGCGAACTTGTAATCATGATAAAAGAAAATTTACGTGACATCACAAGATATACCTGCATCCAGAAAAAGTATTTTTTCGAAAACGACTTGAATTTGAGAACATAAACTCTTCCTGTGGTACACTCATTCACACGTACGAATTCACAATCATCAGGGAATATAAGCAGATCATCTTCTACTTCTCCTGTAGTACGGTCCTTCCAACAGAAGTGCATCAACGAATCATCGCCTTGGTATACGTACAATAAACCCTTCCTTTTGTCTGGATGCACCATGCGTCCTTTTAAAGTCATTCTACCAGCACGAAATTCCACAATATGTTTATTTCCTCCTGAACTACCACCAAGGGCTGAAGAATTACCAAATAACGCTGTCGCCGACATCTTGAAAATGAATTTTATTTTAGTAAAACAGGTAAAACTTGGCCTATTTGCATTTACACAATTCCGCCAATGTCACGTTTGTGGTCTTTACACGTATAGAAACAATAATAAAATATGTAAAATTTTGAATTTCAATAAAATAAAAAAAATAGCTCTGAGCGCGTCTATCTGATTACATTGTTAAAGATAATACAAATAGAATGTATATAGAAAACAAATATATTTATAAATTAAGACTATTATTGATTGCAAAGAATTTTGCTAAAATTTTGAATGGGCTGGGATTCTCCATACTCAAGATACATTTTATATTTGTTGGACGTGGAACTTTTGATGGTAGCAAATCATAAAGCGAAATGGATAAATTTGAACAATTAAATAAAATATGATCCGTAGTTCCTTCCTCAATGCCACAATCGCAGAGGGGGTTGTCTTTAATTTTAAATTTGGCAAGTCGAACCGGCGTACACACATGTCCAATTCTCAGGCGACAAATAATTGAAATCGTTTTTTTACTTAAAAGCTTTTCCTTAAAGAACCAGGGAGTACTGGGGATAGTTCTCTGAATTTCAAAATAATACTTTCCCGCTCTATTTCTAGTATTTTCCCAATCAACATTCCATGACCTCATTAAATGTTCATGTGCTAGTACAAAGAGATCGTGATGAAAAAGTTTGGAATATTTTAAAGAGCCAGTTATAACAGCTTGCTTAGCACATGCATCAGCTGTCTCGTTCCCAGGAATACCACAATGTCCCGGTATCCATGCGAGGGTAATGAGCAGCTTCTTAAGATGGCACCTATGCAATGCTTGTCTTATTTTAAATATTATTGGAAATTTATTTTTAGAACGAAACGGATGTGATATTATAGACTGTAAGCAACTCTGTGAATCTGTGAAAATGATAGTTTTGTTAAAGTTATGAGATTCGGCAAATAGGATGGCCTCAAGGAGAGCTAAAGCTTCTCCTGTAAATACAGAAGAGAGAGAGGGAATTTTGAAACTTAATACTAATCTGTGAGCGGGAATCCATACTGCTGATCCAACTGGATCATTAACATGCTGCTTGGACGCATCAGTGTACATAGAAATCCAGCCTTTATATTCCGATGCTAATTTCCGTGCCATTGTACGCATGGCATATGGAGAGTCTTTGTCGATTCCAAAATCAAGAAGAATGATCGGCTCAAAAATAAGTGATTCAAAGCTATTTTCAAAAAGAGGAAGACGAGAATACCGTTCTATGGGAAGGGAAGGAGTATGGAATTTTTTGTAGCTATGGAGGATACAAGAGACACCTACCGATGAACTGGAGGAAGTACTAGAAACTTTCAACAATATTTCTAATTTTTTAAGTAAAGGATGGGATGCACGTTGTATAACTTTAAGGAAAAATCGATCACTCAAAAATTGCCTACGCAGATACAAAGGGGGATCAACGCATTCGATCTGGAGACTATTGATAGGAGACGATTTCATGGCACCTATAATAATCCGCAAGCATTTAGATTGAACTTTAGAAATTTTATCAAGTGGCAACTTATTACATGGGTCTAAAAGAAAGGAACCATAATCGAAATGACAGCGGACTAGGGCATTATATATTAATTTTTGAGTGAATGGATGAGCACCCCACCATACACCCGAAAGAGCACGGAGAACATTGACCCCTTTCTCGCATTTATTTACAACACTATGGAAATGAGGAGTTCCTGATAATTTAGAATCTAGAATAACGCCTAAAAATTTTACTTGGTTATTCATGGGAATAGGGACATCTTGAAAAACTATTTGAGCTGTAGGAATGTTACGCTTTCTGGTAAACACTATACTGCAGCATTTAGAAACTGATAGTGACAAGCCGTGATCCATTAGCCAATCACCAAGATAACTTAACGCAGTATTGAGACGAAAGCAAGCTTCCTCGATTGAATTCGATCTTATATAGAGGGCTACGTCATCTGCATACTGTAAGACTTGACAGAATGAATCTACAACGCTCTCTAGGTCATAAGTATAAATACTATATAGCAGGGGACTCAAAACCGACCCTTGAGGTAGACCATACCAAACAGACCTGACTATAGAAGGCGCTCCATGACATTTGATTTCAATAGATCTAGCTGAAATAGAATTAATTATGAATCGAACCAACTTCTCAGGAACACTCAACTGAATCAATTTACGTCTGAGAATTGGAAGAAGGACATTGTCATAGGCGCCTGCTATATCTAAAAACGCAGCAACTACATATTGCTTTTTCTTAAAAGCTATACGAATATCAGTCGTAAGTATACTTAAATTATCCAGAGTGCTGAAACCCTTTCGAAAACCAAACTGAGATTTAGCCAAAAGACCTTGACTCTCAAAAAACCACTCTAGACGATTCCTGATCATAGAAAAATTATTAACAACGGGATGACTTTCCAATTGATTATTCTAGGATATTTTTTTTCACTATGGGTGATGATGACTGTCAAATTTCCTTTTTTTTTTTTATTAACTTTTACCTGGGATAATATTACTTTGTATAATTTGTCTATGGTTGGCTGAATGTATAAAGACTATAACTAAATAATAATTAAAACACTTCAGAGGAAAAAAGTGACGATAAGTTCTTTTAATATTATCGAGCCGTTAAAAAAAGAATGCGATAGCCCGACATCTGACTTATTATTATTTTCTAAAAATGTAGTAAAGCCTTACGTTTTTTGTTAGGATAATGACTTAATTAAGTAAAAAAAAAACACAAAGAAGAAGGTTAAATTGGAAAAAAAATATAAAAAGAATACCCATATTTTCACAGTAAATTATCATTGTGAATGCTGTATTGAAAAAAAACTTTTGAAATAGATATCTTGTTCAATAATATATATCTGAGAATACTAAAAAAAAAATCCCGAAATCAATCTGTTTAGTATCATTAATAATATAAGTGAAAATATACAAAGGTGACGAGAATCATTTGATCTCACCGCGCACCAAGGAGTACGTGATCGTATGATTTTATATGAGAATCAAAATTGTAACAGTTTAATTTTAATATTATTGATTTATAAAGTATTTTCATTCGTTGATAAAAATGAAATATAATTTTATCAATATTTAAATAAGTATTTTTGCAGTATACGATCAATAACTTGAATTCAAACTTGACAAGTATAATTGTACCTAATTTTCATACACAAAACATTTTGAGAACATAAATATTATTTATGTAATGTTGAATTTGAACTTTAATCTAATAATGTATAAGAAAATATACAATTAACTTTAACTATTTTTAAGAAAAAAGACATTTCTTCCTAATATTATAATATTTAGGATTGGCTTCATATTTATTTATATCCCATTTTGTCAATGACGTACAACTTTACGTTCTATCTTATTTTTGAAATGTCAAAAGGGACCTCTTTGTTTTGTGAATACTATAATACTTTTTGGCAGCATTGCGTTATACCTTAGATTATTGTTAAAAAATTACTATTCAATTGACTGCATTCATTGAAATTTATTTTTTATCGATTATCGATATCGAATTGGTAACATAACTAACTGTACATCACTTAGATGTCATAATAAGAAGACCACATAGTTAACTAATGTATTTCACATTTTAGCAATTATTTAACACGAGGACTTAATATTTCTTAATTTTAAGCATTTTATTGTACCAATCATATAACAGAGAAAATGTACCCTGTTCAGTGTAAGTATTAAGGCTTCTAAGTAATCGTCAATGGTTATATGCACACCAGCATCATCATTTCTTTGTGCCCTAAATTTTATGTTTGCTACTGAATTCTTCTTGATCTTAAGCTTTAATACCGATTTCTTTTTGTTTTTGTTTGAAATTGCTGAATCATTAGGTTATTATTGATAACAAATAAACTCTTTCCTAGTTAAATATACTTTTGTAGTAAAATAATGCTGAATGGTCATATCATCAATTAGTCCCATTTTTCTTTTACCATAATTAAAAATAAATTTAACTAGTATATATTAAACCATTTAAGTCATTATTTCTATTACACTTCAGTTTATCTTAAAATCAAACATTTTAATATTGTCATAATCATAAGTATAATTAAAACATATCCTATCATACATTACATTTTTACTGTCTTATAATGTACAGTATTTATCTTATTAAATTATTGTTAGGTTGCAAATTTGACCAACAGTAGTGAATCCCAAGTTACATGATTGTGACATGAGAAGCATCAACACATTTTAGTTTTACTTTAAAAGTCAAGCTGAATTGAAAATGGAAAATATACTTATATTATGTAAGTTAGCATTCTTTTGCATTATACAAGCCAAATTACAATTAGTGACATTTGTTTTCATATTATGTTGTGAAATTGTAAATTATAATTAAAATAATAGAATGAAATATTTTATAGATGTTTTATTTATTTTATGTCATCAAAACAGTTAACTCTATTAAGGTTGTATGAATTGTATAATGTTTTATTTTCAGTGTGTATAGCATATATTTTAGTTATAGTAGTGTAAATTGTGTCTAAATGGTTTTATAGCTCCAGCGGGGGAGACCAGTGGTGGTGCTGTGGGAGTATCTGCAACAGTAAGCACTGCTGCAGGCACTACAGGTGCTCCGACGGGTGCTCCAAGCACTGCACCTACGACTGGCACCCCAGCCACAGGAGCAGCTGTCGCTGCAGGACCTATGTCTTTAGTATCACCAGCTGCTGCCCCTCCACCAGACTTACCTGTACTCACATGCCCCAGACGTCCAAACCTTGGCCATGAAGGTCGGCCTATTATGCTGCGTGCCAATCATTTTCAAATATCTATGCCAAGAGGTTTTGTGCATCATTATGATGTCAATATACAACCAGATAAATGCCCAAGAAAGGTTAGGGTTTTAAAAGTTTTGTCTTATTACAATGACTGTTTGAAATTTTTAAGTTTGATGATTTTCTAACCTCATTCTATTTTAGGTTAATAGAGAAATTGTTGAGACTATGGTACATTGTTATAATAAAATATTTGGTGCACTGAAACCAGTATTTGATGGAAGAAACAATCTTTATACAAGAGACCCCTTACCTATTGGTAATGATAGAGTGGAGCTAGAAGTTATATTGCCGGGAGAGGGAAAGGACAGAGTTTTCCGTGTGACAATAAAATGGGTTGCACAGGTAAGTGAAGAAGTTTTATTTCAAATTCCTTAAATTTATTTATTAATATTGTTTAATGACAAAACAAGTGTGTGTTACATATATCCCCCAAAATATCCCTGAAAGTGTCATAAAATCGCAGGTGTCACTGTTTGCTCTTGAAGAGGCTTTGGAAGGACGCACTAGGCAGATCCCTTATGATGCTATATTGGCTCTCGATGTAGTAATGAGGCATCTACCATCAATGATGTACACTCCTGTTGGAAGATCATTCTTTTCTTCTCCTGAAGGATATTACCATCCTCTAGGTGGTGGTAGAGAAGTCTGGTTTGGTTTCCATCAGTCAGTGAGACCTAGTCAATGGAAAATGATGCTGAATATTGATGGTATGGTTGTCAAGCTTTCTATATTTTATATTATATATTTACGCGTATAAAGTCTGGGGTATTCATCTTTGATTTCATTGTAGTTTCTGCTACGGCTTTTTATAAGGCACAGCCAGTTATTGAATTTATGTGTGAAGTACTTGATATTCGGGATATTAACGATCAAAGAAAACCTTTAACTGACTCCCAAAGAGTTAAGTTCACTAAAGAAATAAAAGGACTCAAAATAGAGATCACTCACTGTGGTACTATGAAGAGAAAATACAGAGTATGTAATGTGACACGCAGACCTGCACAAATGCAATCGTAAGTGTTTTTGTTTCTACTTTAATATAGGATCTAATCTTACTAAAATCTGGAAAAGATAATATACAAAAATTCTGAAACCTAAACATAACAGCCTAAACAGTAAGGCATTTTTTGTTTGCCATTGTAATATATCTCTGAAACTTATAATTATTTGTTTACAGATTTCCTCTACAATTAGAGAATGGACAAACTGTAGAATGTACTGTAGCCAAATACTTCCTTGACAAATATAAAATGAAACTTAGATACCCCCATTTGCCTTGTCTTCAAGTGGGGCAGGAGCATAAACATACATACCTTCCTTTAGAAGTATGTAACATTGTGCCAGGCCAAAGATGTATTAAAAAGTTAACGGATATGCAAACATCAACTATGATCAAAGCTACAGCTCGCTCTGCACCAGATAGGTAAGTTTTATACTCCATCATGACTATTAATAACCAACGAAAGAGGAAAATTCAATCATTATTCAAGGAAAAACTAGACAAATGTATAATTAATTATGTATGTTAACAATTGAAATTATAATGAGCTGTGTGATAAGAAAAATGTATAGTAGCACTGTTTATTTATTTACAATACAGTTTAGATTATATGACGGCCATAGATTATGATTATACTAATTTTAAATCAGTATGAATAAAAAAATATCAAATTATGATGGAAAAATTGCAACAAGTCATTGAAAGATCCTTATTTTGCTCTGTATTAATTATTTTTTAACAGTTTGTAGAATAAGATTACTTAAATAGGTTCATATTCAATTTTTAGTTTGTTTATTGGTTTAGATTTTATTATAGTGACCTGAAATTAATATCTGTCTATTTATAGGGAACGTGAGATTAATAATCTGGTGCGTCGTGCTAACTTTAACACCGATTTATATGTAAAGGAGTTTGGGCTCACGATATCTAACAATATGATGGAGGTTCGTGGACGTGTACTCCCTCCACCAAAGCTGCAGTACGGCGGCCGCGTCTCCTCTCTCGGTGGACAAGTAATATCATTATTTACTATTATATTGTATCGACTGACAAACTGGTCAAGATTGCCGGGAAGCGTTGGGAGAGCGAAATTTGGGGGAGGCCTTTTCCCATGTTCCCATTCCCGTTGGGAGAGAATGATGACTATTGTATCAGTTCCTGTTCTCTATCTCGATATTAGATTGTAAATATACTCTTTGATTTTCTTAATTCATTAATATAGAAACAAAATGCTTTTACACTAATTTAGATAAAAAAATATTTAAATATTATTTTTATTTAATGAAGATGCAATATGTCAGTCATAAAATTAACTGACCGTTTTATTTGTTGTCAAGCCAGTAATTAGATGTCATATTTCTATTTTGCTGTTAACTTACTTTGATAATACACATTTTATGTTTTGTGCAAATATAATCATATATTGTTTGAATAAGACTTGCCTAAAATGCATATATAATGAAGCTTCCCCTAATTTTACATGTACAGCCCGCGTCGTATTTTTGAGCACGGCTGGAATGACAATAATATAATCAAAATTACAAGCAACTAATGTTGAAGCAGCTACAGTTATCAAATATTTTCTCTTTCAAACATGGTGTAATGCAGAGACCCTTCTAATTCATCAATGTGTTTATATATTTTTGCCCACATTAATTGTAAATATTTAATTTATTCTAACATCTTGCCTGTGCCCACGTACTTGACGCTGACTGTCGTAATCGTTAGTTAGTTATATTTCTAGTTTACTAAATTAATGATGTCCTTGATACTATGTTATGTTTAAGTTTTTACCCGACTGCGCGACGCAAAGGAGGGTAATGTGTTTATCAGTCTATGTATGTATGTTTGATTCTATGTGGCGTTCTAGAGACCAAATGCGTAGGCCGATTTTGATGATTCTTACGTCAATCGATTCGCGGGGGATCAATCGAACAACTACGGGGCTTGTTTCTTTCTTTTAAGTTTCTATTTAGTTAATTTTTTCATGTATTTTTTAAAATTCGTTTGTTTTTTCATATTTGATTGGCCATGAATTAATATTGACTAGAGAGGAACATAATTCGTATAATAACTGTTATATGAGGATAAATCTCAGGTATTTATTATCTGTCTGTCACCTTTTCCTTGTTTTGTTTATGAAACATGTGAAAAAATTTACATGAATTATTGTGTCATGATTGCCAATTCCCGACAGCAAGCGTTGCCAAACCAAGGAGTATGGGATATGCGCGGAAAGCAGTTCTTCATGGGTGTGGAGATCAGAGTATGGGCTATCGCCTGTTTCGCACCACAGAGGACTGTCAGAGAAGATGCTCTTAAGTAAGTTTCCCATTTTAATGTTTGAAAAAGGCACTTTTGAAATAAATAAAAATCACATCAGACAGACTTTAGCGATATCATCCCTCATTGTCCAAAAATGTGAAATTAAAATCTTAATCATTCCTTACTTTGATCCCACCTATTATACTATGCACCCTTGATTAAAAATATATATTTTGCAATATATTAAATGTATAAAAAATATCTGCTTAATAACTAAGACTGTTGCATTAAACTTATTTCTTACTTTTATGTCATTTCTATAAGATGTGAAGGTTTTATCAAAATTAAAATAATTAAAAAAATACCTAAGTAACAAACTATTTTTAATAGATATACAAGTATGTAAGCAAATTTAAGTAGTTAGGTTAACGAGAATCAATTAATAATACTCTATACTAAAATTATAAAAAGGAACTGTTTGAAAAATTGCCTTTTTTAGTTAATTGACAAACTAAACAACTATTTAACCAATTTTTTTTTCACAAAACACTGCTATCGGTTGGTTTTTTTACTAATATTTTTCATTAAACTACAGGAACTTCACACAACAGCTGCAGAAAATATCTAACGACGCGGGCATGCCGATAATAGGGCAGCCGTGCTTCTGCAAGTACGCTACTGGGCCGGACCAAGTGGAGCCAATGTTCAAGTACCTCAAGTCTACCTTTGTACAACTGCAACTTGTTGTCGTCGTGTTGCCAGGAAAGACACCAGTCTATGGTAAATATACTGTTTCTGATATTGTTTTATAATAAAGACTGAAACGTAATGGTCATTTTCTTAGCACTTTTGACGAAAAGTTGTTTGGATGAAGCGAATCTACTGTAGATTGCAAAAATGTCATTTTGTTATTTTATTTTTTTGTTCAGATTCTCCGTCAGTAAATTTTGTAGAAAATATTTCGAAAAAAATGGCTAGCCCACGCTCAGTTTCGTTGTGTCTATTTATTTTTGATCTTATTTCGATGTCTACAAAGGCGATAACGTTTTAATAATGATAAATTCTAGACATTTCAGTTCCCATAAGGTGTTTCGTTCATTAGTCCTTTTATATCCCCAAAGCAGGGGCTCAGACCGTCCTCATAATTCTTCCTTTTGGATAGATGACGATTGCAAACGCATCTGGGACAAACGGCTAATCGTGCCTTCCCAAGCTCGAGATATTATTTTTGGTCACCCATCCCGTGCAAGAGTCGGTCTTTTGCAAAAATCACTTAACAACAACGATCGCGGACCGCCGCGCTTATCTAATAAAAATCCACCGAGCTACGAGGTGTTTCATCATCATAAAATACGTCATTGAGTTTTTTCTGACACTTATTTATTTACAGCGGAAGTGAAACGAGTTGGTGACACTGTGCTTGGCATGGCGACACAATGTGTACAAGCGAAGAACGTAAATAAGACATCACCCCAAACTCTTAGCAATCTTTGTCTCAAGATCAACGTCAAGCTAGGAGGCATCAACTCTATTTTAGTGCCATCGCTACGTCCCAAAGTAAGTGTATTGTCTATTTATTTTTCAAACATATTTTATTTGAAGGATTTTAACTTAAAGAGTATTTACCTATATTATATACTTTTTTATAAACCCTAGATCCCTTAAGCCAAAAAAACTACATTATTTAAATCATATATATATATATATATATATCAGCTCATGTCATAATCATACAGAAGTGCTCTGTAGAAAATATGCGTAGTAATTCATTTTTCATATCAAATTGTTAGATATATATATATATATATATATATTACAGTTGAATTTTAAAATAGTCATGCTAATCATAAGTATGATTATCATAATCATAATAACGCAAATAGTATCAGTTTTATTTAAATGCACAGCGTAGATGTTAGCGCATAGAAATAGGTTGTATTGTACTTGTTTCTATATATCTTAAATCTAATATGCTATAGTAATTGAGTCTTAAATAAATGACCTAAAATTGTTTTTGTATAACCGATTTACAGATAACATTATTATAAAAGTCTCATTTTAATGGCTTTTTTTATTTATAGGTGTTCAACGAGCCGGTAATCTTCTTAGGCGTGGATGTGACTCATCCGCCTGCTGGTGACAACAAGAAACCGTCCATCGCTGCAGTAGTCGGCTCTATGGACGCCCACCCATCACGATACGCAGCCACCGTCCGTGTGCAACAACATAGGTAAACAACACAAACAATAATATGTATAGCGCGGTCGCAGAACTGAAATAATTTCGTACGTCCCAGCAGTACATAACTCTTTCACTCGTACGCAGACATATTGCTATTGCGCTCGCACATATGCATCTAGCCAATTTCGTCATAATAAATTGAACCTGAAATATTTACGATATCTATCAGTGTGTACCATGGTTAACATTAAATTAACTTTGTGAAATTTTTTGGCTTTGGATTTTTAAATCACAGTCACGTGTCAAACATCAAAAATAATATACCTATTGAATATATTTGTCACCTACCTACTATAGCGAACATTCCTATTACTAATAATATTAATTTATAATGTAATTTTATGTAGACATTGATAGTTAAAAACCTATTTAGAAAGTCGGTTTCCACTTTCTTAATAGGTTTTTAATAAAGTTTTTTTTTTTACAAATAATATTTGAATACTTAAGTGTGTTACGTTTTTTAATTTAAAAGGGCTGATGATGATGACCAAAAACACTTTTTCAAATGCAGGCAAGAGATAGTACACGAGATGAGCAGTATGGTACAGGAGTTATTGATAATGTTCTACAAAAGCACTAACGGCTTCAAGCCGCATCGTATCATAATGTACCGTGACGGCATCTCCGAGGGACAGTTCATACATGTTTTGCAACATGAACTCACCGCGGTCAGAGAAGCCTGCATAAAGGTAAACTTCCTGTTATCCATAATGAACTTTATTGGCTTATGATACGAACTAAAATAATCATGCCCACTTTCCATACATTGATTGACCTGACACATTTTCTTTTAAAGGTCGTGTTAACCTTAAATTGGTGTTAATTAAAATTGTTATTTGATTAAAACAGAATACTAATTAATCATCTTTTCATTTGGAGGCAAAGGAAATGTGTAATTTGCAAATAATATTCTGAGGTTATAGCAGTTGAAAACTCGAGACGCGCGTAGAAATATTTTTATGTTTTTATTTTATAGATATACATGAAATATACTTATTAAAATTATAAAAAAATCTAAAATTTCCCGCGGAAACGCCACTTCTGTCATGGCTAAATTTTAAGATCGGTTCACTAGTTTCGGAGGCTATTCAATGCAAACAAACAATTAAAAAGTAAAGAAAACAGCAAGATAATGTGCTTTTTAAAAAAAGCACTTTCCATGTGCAATATATATATAATAGTTTGCGTGTATGTGTGTGCAGCTGGAGGCGGAGTACAAGCCCGGTATCACTTTCATAGTGGTACAGAAGCGTCACCACACGCGTTTGTTTTGCGCGGACAAGAAGGAGCAGTCGGGAAAGTCCGGCAATATACCCGCCGGCACAACTGTCGATCTCGGCATCACGCATCCCACGGAGTTCGACTTTTATCTCTGCAGTCATCAGGGCATACAGGTAAAACAATGGTTCATTAATAATAATAATTATTTAATATCTACACAAACTTTTCACGACAGATATTTTGACAATAGGGATGACGACTAATTTTTATTAGTTTATCCGTCAAGTAGAGTGTTGAAATAGTTATTTAAGATACAAGTGCGGAAAGTAAGGTTTTACGAATAAATTCGAAAAACCTTTTACGCTCAAGTTTCTTACAACATTTTTCAATGCTTTTTGCGAGGAAATAAAACAAATATATAGGTTAATTAAACTAAGTATGTATTAAAGGTAAAAATTATTTGTTAAAATTAAACGTGATATTTGAACATGTTTTCGTGTCATACATTTTTATTTGAAAATATTCGTTCTAGGCTCATTGAAATACTTTTGCCTCTAAAGTTTGTCATATTTTCATCAAATTTTTTTTAAATTTCTTTGGTGCTTGGCTAAAAAAAATTAAAAAAATACTTTTAAGCACGTGTGCAGTAAAGGATTTCAGTACATTTTTATTTAAAACGTGTTTAAAGACTCACATTCGGTGTTTACAATGGATTAAAAAAATAGCGCTTTATGAGCAACTGAAAAATATTAAACACGTGTTTTTTCGTAATCATAAAATTACGGCGATACGTCAGTTTAAATTTCGCATGACGTCACGTTATAGTAGGTTTTCTACAAAACTGTGACGTAGCGAGCCCCCACTCCTCAACTTTAATGATTGTTATCTAAGCTATTTCTAGTTAAATTGAAGTAAAAAAAAATACGTATCTAATATTTTTATATTATCTGACTGACGGACTAATTAATTGATTGCATTTTTTTACCCAGCCGTCATCCCTATTACAACTAAACCTAAATATGTTGATTGAATACATTTTTATGGTGGAATCTACATATGATTTAACAAGTGTTCGATACTTCGTTGATATATTTGCAAGAATTGAATGCCATCATTTTAAACAACATATCTTCTGCCGGCTTTTTCATAAATTTTATTCGTACATTGTGCATTTCCACATAAATTTAAAATTTGATTTAATATACCGCACGAATACTAATATGTAAATACTTCATATAGCATGCGAGCCTTTTATGTATAAAACATAGACGTACGAATTGTCACGACAGCACAGTAAAAGCCAGAGAGATAATTTCTGTTCAAAGTGTTGAGTTATTTAAACCTCGTAGATAAAACGTTGTTTATGATGTTGCCTGCGAGATTGCTGGAGTTTCGCAAACTGTTCTGAGCCTGCAGTCTCGACAGAGTTAGCGTTCGCAATCTTACCGAATTCGGCTGCATATATCTATCATAATTTAACGATTATTGCAAGTCTCTACAGCTAGGCATATTATTAGGCGCGAACCGAGTATAACTGTAATATTAGCTATATCGTTAGTTTCCTAGCGATTGAGTTTGACAGCTCGGTCATTGAACTCTGCGATCGCTACTTAATGATCTGTTGAGACTACAGCCCCTGAGCCCATATTCGCTATAATAACTTAACGATTCCTCGATTCCAAACCACGTCAATATCGCATTAAGATAAGACACATTGTATGAAATCTCGTGGTAAACGCACGAGTGCTGTGAATATGATCTGCCGAAAATTGCAATTGGAGGATGGAGGATGGGCCATGACCCTCCACGCTGGCCCAATCCAGACTGGAGAGTATTAACGACTACAAATACGTGACCAACGGCTTAACGTAACTTCCTAAATACGCATTAGCTCGACATGTTTTTTAGGTCACCCATCCCGTGACCGACTCTCACGAAAGTCGCTTAGACAACAACAAAAATTGTACCCCTTATCCACTACATGTGATATTGACGTGGTTCGAGTGTGGAATCGCGTTTGTCATCAAAAGGGTCCCGTGTAAACGTTAGTTGTGTTGTCACGCAGGGCACGTCCCGCCCGTCCCACTACCACGTGTTGTGGGACGACAACCACTTCGGCTCCGACGAGCTGCAGTGTCTCACATACCAGTTGTGTCACACGTACGTGCGCTGTACCCGTTCCGTATCGATACCAGCGCCCGCATACTACGCCCACCTCGTAGCGTTCCGCGCCCGATACCATCTAGTGGAGAAGGAGCACGACTCGGGCGAGGGTAGTCACCAGTCCGCGTGTAGTGAAGACCGCACGCCCGGGGCTATGGCCCGCGCTATCACCGTACACGCGGTCACCAAGAAAGTAATGTACTTCGCGTAATACCCACCGTCGCAAAACCCGCGTACGTCCCGCTCTAACATGTCCCGTCCTGCTCTAACGACCCGTAATACCGATCCATCAGAGTCAGTACGGTCGTTACACGTTACGGCTCACGTATACTTACGAGTTTACGAGCCCTTTTTACTCGTGTACTTGTCTCGTTTCCAATGTTCTTGTAACATATTCTCGCTTCACTCTATCTCGTGTTATACTCGTGCACGACCGGCTCTGTGTATTGTGTGTGATTTGAAGCTTCGTTCGTGTCTCCATCGGAATCGTTGCGATCGCGCACGTAACAGCTAGCGTATACGTACGAGTTTTACGTCGAGCGCATTGTTTAGTCGTGAGTTTTGCCTCGTGTGTTCTCTACGCGGCTGTAATATATGATTCAGGTGATATTTACTTATTTTGTTGTTTTTTTGAATAATACAATTTCAGATTACCATGAAATAGCTGTACGACCAAAAGTAGTATGTATGCGCTAGCTAGAACATGTAAATTTAAGGTGGCTATGAACTTTGCCTGAAACTATACACGATCGACTCTGAGCCGGCGATGCGACGATACTACCATAGGAGGTATATTCCGCCTTTGTGTATTTTTTTTCTTCTAACGATATATTATAGGTTGAGAAGACGTCAATAAATTAATCCGTGTGCGTTTGTTTTGAATATCGTGTTGATGTTTGAAAAATGAAAACGCTATATGGATTTGTATTCGATCCTCGAAATCGATTAGCACACAGCAGCTTTAATTTATCATCTGGTAATATATGTCAGTGAAATCTGTCTCGACGCCTGCTCGGTTTCTATATCGACATTTGTGTATAACGTCAGTTAATATTTTTATATCCGATGTAAACAAAAAAAAACCGAAATATCCTTTGAGTAGCAAATTTTTTTACTAGTAGTTAATTTGTAGTTAAGTATTTTGTTACTTAGTTACGTTTTTTCGTGTTTAGAAACCGGGCTTGAAGATCAGTAAATTCTATCGACTTAATATTATTATAAGTTATAATAATTATTATCATTATTGGGAACGAATCCCAGTATCCTTACACATTGTAAATTAGCTGAAATCACCGTTATATACCTAAACAAAATAATTTGTTTCATAATTTGAAATGTCAGTGTGACGTAATATATATGAAAGACAACCGAAAATATGTAAAATCATCAAGATTTTTAGCTCCGAAATGAGATGAAATTAAATTTTTATCTTTTTTTATTTGCGATATGGTTTTTGTAATTGTAGTGTGAAAAGAATGTCATAAATACAAATAGTTACTGTTAATTCTTCTTTCTGTTGTTATTATGATAATAAAATAACATTATTAGAGTAGGTAAATTACCTTTTCTTCTTGTCATGAGTTCTCGTTCATTGAGGTATATTTGAAATCACCAAAACACTTCTCGAGTAAACTTTTCAGATACTCAAGAATAGAATGTATATTAAAGCGTCGATAATTTGTCTATATGTCCATACTGCAGCTTTACCTATCGCTTATAAAATAATGTATTTAATGATTAGACTATGTAAGATAACGTCAGAGACCGCCTATGCTCGAATGACTCGATGATAATGACCACCGTGTGACAAATGACTTCTTAAAAACTTCTTTACACCTGATTTTGAATATTTAAGGTATTATTATCATCTAATCGGCGCTGAATATCTTTTTTTCTATTTGATTTTCAGAATTTTCTTTTTGTATGTTTCTGATATGGGTTTTTATTAACGTAATAATAGTGATCGGAATTGGAATCAGATATTTTTATAGAAGTTTTTAGTCGCGCTGTGTCTCGTAAATTTAATCCGCCTAAAAGACACTAAATAGTCCAGTTCATGATAGTCTCTAATTAAAATATCTTACTTAGAGACCCCCTCCGCGAATTCTCTTAATTTCCGCATTCAGTAAATATGTTAATTATTTGAAGGTAATCTTTATACTAGTTGCACATTAACTTTGATAATGTTTATCTTAAACTTCAATTGAATCTATAAAACAATTCTTTTTATCAATAAGAATTTACTCAAAATGAATTTGTATAAAATCCAATTCACAATCCTAATTGTTTTGTTCTAATACTAATTAAAGTATTAAAATATTACTCTTCTACAGTAGACCTTACAATAGTCCTCCACTCCATGTATTTTATAGTCTTTCATATAACAAGCATTTCAGGGTTCTTAAGAATATATATTTACTCTTCTAAATTTCCTTGATACTTCTATTGTAGTAGCTTACGCCGCTAAAAAGATGCCACTCTTTTTGAATATTACGTTGGTTGAAAGATAAAGTAATACATATTAAAGTAATTAAAATTAAAAAAAGTTTGCATCTGCAACTGCAAAGGTAAAAATATATAAAAATTAATAATACCTATATGCATAATGATTGACTTGTCCAATTTGATTTTAATTATGATTTTCTTTTGATAAAGACATGATGTGGAGAGTGAGTACATTAAGGTTTGTTAGATCTCGTGCTGTTAAAAAGTTAAATTTATCGAGTAGAGTTTGCAGTGTCTACGATGGACGGGTTAGGAAACTATCAATGGTCGTCGATGTCTCGTATTAGCTACTGTTCTTATTCGCGCCAATGGCGAAATCGGATTAATAGCAAATGTTTGTTGTCTTATTCATTAATGTAGTAAAGGATAACCTGCCTATATGACGGCATTTTTTTTTATTATTTGTATTAACTACCTATATAAATACTTAGGGCCTTATCACGCTGATATCCAAGCGAGTTCAAAACGCGGCGAGAGGCCAACGGGTTCGTTGTGATAAGACCATTGGGTATATTTACTAACATTATAACTTTACTTTTTTAATATTTACGTCGCTTAATGTTATAGCTAATAAGCTATAAAAACATAAACTATATTAGTAATATAGGTTAAATAAAGAAATAGGTATCTTTCTTAATACTAAAAGTAGTAATAGTTTGAGGTTAAGAAGTCAAATCTACTACCTCTTATTCTTTGATTAATTAAATGTCGAACGAAATTATAAAATAAACATATTATATAAATGTGAGTCTAGCAGGTATTTCATTACTTAATCGGTTTTATATGTATGAATGTCTCTATAGACTATAGGCTCTACAGGCATATGAATATATTTAATGGATTGTTTCTACATCGTGCAATAAAATAAAATCATTAATTGTGACAATGCTTTTAATTTGATATAGTTTTAGATAAGTCGGTGGAGCTATTAAATGTTTTCGGCTAAATGTAATAAAAGGCAAAATTGTTAGGCAGCTGTTTTTTAGAAAACACTAGCAGCTGACTGGACGTCGTTGGTCCAATCGTATCGAATGACGCACAGCTTCGAAACAAACAGCAGCTTAACAACATGCATATTATTTAATTATAGGAACCTAAAATTTTTTAAATGTTTAATTACGCCTAATGTTGTAACAGAGCTATAATTCACTAGTAATTAACACCTTTGGCAAATAAACACATATTTAGGTGTCAATTACTAAAATAGAAAATCGTATTGCGCACACAAATCATTTTTTTTTATCAAAACACACTGATTAATTTAGAAAAAATCAATATATCTCAATTGAACTGTAATAAATACAATTAATTCTTAAAATCTGCCAACTATAATACAGGCTGTTAACGTGGACACATGTGCAAGAAAATTATAAACTCCAATTATTTGCATGGAATCATAGAATACCGTTAAGCTTTTCAGAATGTGTTAATGTCATCGGACGCTTAATTTTACAGACTGTGAAACAAATTATCCAAACGAATTACTTTTATTGCAAGCAAAAGTTGGCACACAGGTGATGTGTAAGCTGCAAGTGAAATTAAAGAAACTAAGAGCAATCATATATTTTTATCAACGTCTACCTTTACTAAAAAAATAAAGTAGATAACGAGATATTTGAGTTTATTATGATTTTTCAGTTCTGAACATTCAATTTATATGAACAGAGACAGTATACAAGCTATTATTTTATTACGTACCCATCGCATGGGTATTTTTAACTTTTGACCATTAATAACGTCGTCAATAAAAGACAATTTTAAAATAAAAATATTTGTGTAATAGGTAAAACTCAACCGTAACTTAAGTTTTCTTTATGCATAGGTAGAGTTATATTGTGTTTGTCGCAAATATCAGGATTCGTAAACCTCATATGTAACAAAATAATTAGTAGTTTTAATAGATTTAAGTAGTAAACTGTTTTGTTGTGTAAATGGCAACTGCAATATTATCACGACCTTTGCCTTATATAAACCGCTACTAGTGCCTAACAAACTAAATAATACTGTTCAACACATTATAGAGAAACGCCTCTGTAAAAATATTTTCGGTTGCTGTTTATGTTTATAATACTATAATTGTGCTACTCTTGTTATTGAATGCCTGCCAAATATTATGTATAATTTATGAACGTACATGCACATCCATTAAAATGTAATAATCTGTTCATTTTATTAGACATAAATGTTTGTAATAATAAGTTATTTAACATAATTATGAATCTAAACAAGGGACATGGACGTTTTTAGATGTAAGTTCATATTGAAATTCACTTTATTAAAATGCATATTTAAATAGTAATTTAAATGTTATAATATGTGTAAGGTTCTTCCTTTCTTAAATCATTATGATAAAAGCTACTTAATTAAATTTATAACTGGATGTAAAAATGATAGAGAATGTATTAATGTAGGGGTCAACTCGATGTTTGGACATTTCCTGATGAAATGTTTTGATGTATATCTATAACGGTTGCTTTTTATGTCCAGTTCAGTAAATCAAGTTATAAGTTTATCATGTTTTGATATCAATGAAATCTATAATTTGCGCCTGTCATGTTAAGATTTTTTGCATATTTTTCACTGTTAGCTGCTTAAAACTGACGCTCTTATTATTATGTAGCACTAAAACTGTATTTATCGTAAAAATTGGAGCATGATGGGAAAGTTTGTAAAGTATAAAGTATTACCATGGAGGTACTTACACGCTGGCTCTAAATAATATTACTTCAGCTTAAAGGCCAGGGGATTCACCGAGGATTTTTCTTAGAAATACATATAGATTAAAATAATGTAGTCTCTTAGATTTTTGAAAAACGTCTATCTAAATGATAAGTTATGCAATAATTAGAATTTTCTAGCCCATTTTACACCTAAGGTTGTCTTTATACTGCAGACCCTCTTGAGGCCAAAAAAACGGTTATTTTGCCGCCTTTAGTTTATAAGTTTCGTTTGTCGATTTCGTTCTAAATATCAAATGTTATAATGAAGCTCGAACAAAATATTTTAGTTTTAATGAGTTAGTCTGTAGTGTCTAAGCAGTTTAACCTGGAACATATGATGATTCTATATATTATTTGTGATTATTATTAAGTTTGAGCTTCTGCAAAATTTAATAAATAACTTTCAAGTTATTATAATTTAAGCTAAAATTATATTCACTGTCATTATGTCAGTTCATTAACATCGGACCATAATATACTTATCGCTTTGAATGTATGTGAAGTGTGTGATATCATTTCTATATTGCACATCGATTGCTTTAATTGTGTAGAATCCACAAGTAAGGTTTTGAATATATAGTATAAATTAAAGTAGTTTCCAAATTTCTTCGTGCAGGGTAATTCGTGAAACTTAACGATATGAAGGATCTTAATATCTGTTATGATGTAGAGGAGCTCAATATGCGAGATAAATAATTTTTATAGAATCAATAATGTGTTACGTGTTTTCCCAAAAATATCTATCTCTTACTACATAATGTATTAAATTAATATAATATCCGAATATGTCATTATCATTTGCAACAAGTTTTTTATAAGGTTCAGCATGCTTACTTACTTGAATGCAAACGCGAGCTATCGACATCGCAATTGTAACATATCGTACTCTTGAATTGGTACACTAGCGCCAATTGGCTTAATATTGCGTGGTAATTGAATGCACTAATTGACATTGAGTAAATATTGAGTCTATGTTTAAAGACTACGAGGTAAGATTTGATGTGATGTGCAGTTTAAAATAATATTCAACTCGCGTAACAACAGTAGGTAAAGTAATAATGTTATCAACGCAAAGTTTGAATTAGTTAGAAACTTATGTTCAGTATCTTTGAGCACTTTTCTGCTTCGGATACCAGATTTTAAATTTATAACACAGCGCCTTTATCTTTGTATACGCGGCTACACGTATGGTTAACACAATATCTCACATTTCGTCATCAAATACATGATTTTAGACTACCCACAAAGCATTAATAAAATATGAAATTAACAGATTTGTATAACCTGATGTGTTGACTGTACCAATGCTTTAATATTTTTACTTCGATTACAACATATCATTTTTTTTTATTACGGATGATTTTGTGATACTGCCAGTATGTAGTGATAGTTTTCAATAATACGACTATTTAACTTCTATACATTTCGTAAACTGAATGTTCGCGTACAAATACGTTGGCGTAGTGACCGCCAGTCTTTGTGCCACAGTGACCAGCCCCCTTGTAAACTTAGAGACAATATAATTTTTTTATTATAAAGAAATATATTTTTCTTCATATGTTTACTCGAGTTGCAATTCGGGTTACATCACTTACCTATAGAATGTCATGATGAATATCTGCTGAAACCGTTTGAATTTACGTCTCGAGGTCTCGAGTGAAAAGTACGCTTGGCCGCCAGTTAAACGTGAGCTCACAGAGAACGGCGAACGCGCTTCACGCAACATTCATGCATCTTCGTTTTGTACGCGAACTATTATATTATTTCTTTAATATTATGTTACTGCGTCCGCTGCTGAGCCAGAATGTTAACGTGAACAAGTACTAAAGTAAATAAACTTAGTTTCTTTAAATTTGTATCTTCAGCATAAACTTCATGACAAATCTTTCTAACAGTATACGAAAAAAAAATTTTTTTTTTCTGTATTTTGTTCTAAAACATGTAAACACTAACTAGTCGTGAATTTGTTTCTTTAGCGACGTTTACCTTATTGACATTGTGACATGTGTTCTACGCTAATCTTAAGATTACACTTTGAATTTTAAATGTATAGTTTTTACTATTGTCAATAACTGGTTAGGTACTCTAATGAAACTGTTTAACACTTTTTCATGAATCTTATAATAATACGTATACATAATATATTGTATATATTTTTATGACATCTAGATATCTTTGTTACAAGATTTTAAGTTTAAGTCATAATTTGAAATTGAAAACGCTGAGTGTTCATTACTATAGATAATTTTTACGCCGGATCTTAGACTATTCAATACTGAACTTAAAACGTTAGCAGATTATTAATCTTTTAGTAAGTTAATTGAAAATAAAGAAGTAATTATTACTGTATAGTACATAATTTGGTTCAGAGAGCGTAATGTGTTAAAAAAACTAGTCCAATATTAATCTTGTAATTGCACACTATGGTTAGAAATGGCATGGCGATTCTTGTCGTCATTCTCAAAAACATCTCCAAACAATAAAATTAAGATGACAATTATGCCTATGGCAATATCAATCAATGAATTTCAAGTTAATGAGCTAGGTATTTTTGTATAAAACTCTACTTATTAATGTAATTAACCGATTTTTTTCTAAAAAAAAAATACTCTAATAGAAAATACATTACTAACGATAAATTTTTTGTTCAAAGAGGCTTTCTTAATGACAGACATTATCAAATCGTTACTTACAAAATATTTGATAGGGAGAGATTTATTATATTTTGGGAATTCACTAATCACAATCAATTTTTATATGTCATAAACAAATGAAATTAATTGAAAGGGAAGCAACTTTGAAATAGCTATTATTTTTATATAGGTACTTCATGCATTTGAGATCATAACAGTGTAGTGATTCATAAATAAAATGGAAGAATTATGTGTATGGGGGTTTAATACAATCTTGTTTATTTATATGTTTTGTTTTATTTCTTCCCCTTCGTATATAGATAAAATTAAGTATACAGTTCATATTAACTGTATACAATGCAGCACGTTTTAGCTGACGCTAATATTACCCGAACCATTTTGATAGCTTCTTGTGAAGTAGATTGTGTTGAAAATCAATTTCGAAATTTGAGTATTGTATATATGTGTTAAAAAATAAAGACAATGGGGTTCTAAAGCGCCGTTCTTTAAAATCATGAGATGAATTAATAACTAAATTATTGTTTAATTTATCATTCGGTGAGAAAATAGAGATACATTGCTTACAGTACGTAGTTTCTATTTGAAATGTGTTGTGGCGCTGCTGACTGACGTCAGCTCCACAATGTCAAAGCCACTAGATAATGAGGAAGTATTTAAAAAAAAACATTAGTGACCGAAATCAAACTAGATGGCGCTACGGTACTTTCTTGATTTCTCCGTGACAACACTTGCGATTTTCTTTCATGTCTAAAAGTAAATTAGTTTTCTAAACTCAATAAATAACTCGTATACTATTTATAATTTTTCTTTCATGTCTAAAAGTACATTAGTTTTAAAAACTCAATAAACAACTCATATTCTACTTGTACTATTTCGTAGTTGTATTGATATCTTACTTTCAAACTTTCCTAATTTCAGTTTTTTAATATTTTAGTTAAAAGGAACGGAAATGACTGTCATCGGTCCATTCGTGTCCTGCAAAAATAAACTTTTGCTAGAGTCGCCATCTAGTGGAGGTGCTTTTTTGGTGCTTCCATTTTATTTTTAAATACATTCTCATTGTGTTTATAGATAATTTTCATTAATATAAAAATGAAATTTCAATATATAGATATGATCAATACTGATCTTATTGAATTTCACTAAGATATAGTGTCATTTACCATGCAAGTTCCAACTCACAGTATTATCGGTCGAGGGATTCAAATAATACAACTATTTTAATACATAAATTTATTAACCATTTCAAGGTAATGTAAATAGTGGAAATATTTAATAAGTAAAGGAAAGCTAAGCATCTTATAAAAATAACATTTTTTCACTTGAACCCAATAGGCATCGGCAAGTTATGTCTTAACATAACAAGATGATAACATGTGTAATAATAATATAAAAGTACTACATTTAATGGACCATTTATTCACTTGATACGATTCGGATTCAAATGATATTGCAACATTTATGTATGTATATGACAAATCGTTTGGAATGCAATACTTAGACACATATCGAGAGTAACGTGATTACATTTGAAAAGTACATGAAGCCTTCACTAAGCAAGTGGTATTAGCAAACAGACATGAAACCACGCCGCTACCATAATCATATACTCTTCTAGAAGTCAATAAAAAGTGCAACCCATATGAAAACACTCGAATTGCACGAAATAAAAAGTCAAATCTTCTTAAACATAATTTTTCGTAAAATACAGCCTTATGTCAACGTCGCAGCGATGATAAGAGTTGCCAATCCACTAGAAACTTAATAGTAAAAGATTATATTAAAAGTAGCGAATTTCGGATTTACAGTGTTTTATTGTCAGATGAATGAAATATTAGAAAACAGCAGCATGCTTACTCTTGGACGCAATGATGAACGATCGGCATTGCAATTGTGACGTTTCATACTCTTGATTTGGTACACTAGCGCCAATTACTCAATATTGCGTGGTTATTGAAAGAACTAATTGAGTTTGGGTCTTTATTTCAAGATACGAAGCCAAGATTTGATGAAAATAGAGATCTTCATTGGATAGATTGAAACTGACATTGAGAATGCGTTCTAGAATAAGCCTGCAGATTACCCTATATCAGTAGCACACTTATCTAAAGGGGTTTTGTAGATGTCTTTTCACAAAGGTACTGACAGACATACTTATTAGTAGCAATTGTTCATTAATGGCAAGTGTGTCGTAACGTTGCTCAAACATCGACACCCGTTTGATTTTCGAGTATGCTTCCTGAGGCGTGAGGTGGAAGAGGGTGTGCTTATGAGCATGCTTATTATCACTCACTTGCTTTTTCGGACTTTATTATCGAAGGTATAAGCGTTTATGGAACACAAGTTCGTTAACATGCCTAAAATAAGCATGCTTAAAAAAGCATGTGTACTGTGAAAGAGCATGCTCATTTTGAGCACGCTTTTTAGCGATCAATAAGCATGCTGCTAATGAATGAGCATGTCTGTCAATACCTTAAGTCGCGGCGGCGTGGGTTCCTAGCGCGTTTTATTCTTAAGGCACAGGTTTGTTTTCAGGAATAGTTGGCGACGTAGCGCCGCTGGCCGCACGCGATGCGTCACGGAGCGCTTCGTCGAAGCTCTGTGTAGAGTTGGACCGAGAAGCTACTTTACCCTACAACCAATGTATTAAAAAGTTTAGATGGGTTATCTGCGCACAACATTGATAGCAAGAAAGCAAGTCATTGCCCGAGTTTTATGTTAGTCACGTTTCAGAAAGCATTGTGGCTAATGTCATTTTCACTCGTAATTTTCCGTGAAAAGTTGTAGAAAAAATGCCTTCCTGCGTGTTTAAACTCCGCACAAATTACATTGACTATGAGAAAAACAAAAAAGATAACATTTCATTATTAGCGTTAGTACTTTCTCTTTTTTGTTTAAATAAAAGTCATTGAACGCGGTCATTTCTTCGTGCATCGTGTTCTACGACTAGGGGAGATTGGAGTCGACACGTAAATCTAAGCAAGTATGTTTATTTATCTCTTTCTAACAAGAGGTATACTTTACGGTTCTATTAAGGAGATAACTATTTTTTATTTCGTCACGCCCTTTGTGGTTGTATTATAATGTAACGCTAGTAAAGTTTACGGCGTTTTAAAACTTAATAATGTACGAGTATGACGTGTGTAATAATAAAACGTCATTGCCTACAACAAGTAATTAAAGATTAATCTAATATAATTAGCTTGACGCCAGCGACTTCGCCCGCGTAATGCTGTATTATAAATATAAACATTCCTATTGAATCGCATTACATACGGATGTAATGGAAGAAAGGAAGGAAGGAAGCAACTTTGTTTTATACTATGTAATAGAATATAGAATAATACACGTGCTACGGTTGAAAGCGATCTTCGGTCGTGTTACATCTGCTTAGTTCTAGCACTTTTTCATATCGGGTCACCTACGTGGACACGGACACTTGCCAGTGGTACATAATAATAATACAAGCTTTTGGCCGAAGCATTAGTTATTCTAGTAGTCTGACTTCAAAAAAAGGAGGTTCTTAATTCGACATGTTTTTTTTTTTTGTACGTATTTAATTTAGAATAACATTGACAATAAGTATTGACAGCAATTAATTTCAAATTTTGCGGGCGGTGTACCGATACCCTCATACAGTGAAAAGAGTGGAGACCGTTCCTTTTTATGTAAGTTGCTTTTGAATTCTTGCTATTGAATTGAGAATTGGTCTACATTGGTGTGGTTTGGCGTGCCTTCCGAAGCGCAAAGGGATGGTTGGATGATGAATCTTACCTTAACATTTTCATAGGCGGTGCCGACACGTTCCTCGATGGAGCGGAAGGACTCCGAGTTGCGCATTTGTCCAAGCTTGCTGGACACACCCGCGGTGATGCCGCCCAGTATCGAGGTCGTCTTCTCCGCCGTCGATTTTATCACAGATTCGGTTTTTTGGTATCTGCCGATTTAAATATATACAAACAGTTACATTCAAACGCAGTATCATTATTTATGATAGGTATCTAACGAGGATTTATTTCTTATATGTATAACCAAACGACATTCATCATCATCATCGTCATCATCAGCCCTTTTACGTCCCCACTGCAAGGACTCAGGCCTTCCTTATGGATGGTTAAGGAGGATTTGCCATGACCCTCGAGGCTGGCCCAATGCGGATTGGAGGGTATTAACGACTGCAAATGCAGCCGGGACCAACGGCTTAACGTGCCTTCCGAAGCACGGAGTAGCTAAAAATAATAATTTTTTGGTCACCCATCCCGTGACCGACCCTTGCGAAAGTTGCTTAACGACAACGATCGCGGGCCGCAGCGCTTATCCACTACGCCACCGAGGTACAAAAACGACATTACTGGACTCTTTTTTCCTGTACTTACTACAGTTACACACAGCAGCATTTCAGATTAGCAGTGTGGTGAATATTATTGCAAATGTTTAAAAAATTATAGGGTGTTGAGACAAAAGATCCAGTAGAAAACATACACATAGAAACGAATACAGTGCATTACCTATTCAGGGACGTTTTAAAAAGAATTTTATAATTCTCTGTACTCTAGCAGTAGCAACATAAGTCGCATTTACAAGCATGACTCGAAGCAGACATTCTCCTATTACAGTAGAAACTGTCATATTAATGAGATGCATCTAGTATACTCTTGGCACCTCGTGTTACTCTTTCACAGTTACGAGTACCTTGAACATAACTGTCAAAAGAAGTACTCAATGCAACTGCATAAAGTAATATAGGTATTCCAGCGCTCTCTTATTGGTCATAATTACTTACTTCATTTGTGTGAAGATAATTAATGTGTATTATACTGGTATCTATTATAAACTAGTTTTTAATTTAACAATTCAATTAAGATTGTAGATTGTCCGAAACAACAGATACGTTAATATTATTTATTGGATTCACAGGGTCATGCCGTGGAAATGTGAATTTCAATAAAAGCATTCTGCTGACCTCAGATCAGTAGGCATGCAAAAAAGACAGATGACAAATTATTATCTATACTTAGAGGAAATAAGAAAATACAATCGCTCAAAGTGCGGTGATACCGATAGTCAGGTTAATAAATGTGTATTGACCCACAAGACTGGAATATGATTAGCAATATTAGTTGCTATCAATTAATATCGTTATATTAATATACATCTGTAGTATGACCTCAATTAGTGTTGGCCAAAGAAAATTTTGAGCTTCCCTGCGGAGTTACTAAAAGCTCTTATACAAAATATAGTAAGTAACAAAACAAAAGAAAAATATAAAAATATTATTAAAGAGGTCAATAGCAACTCAGTGTAGATTGCACATTCTGCATATTAGCAGATTTGTGGCAGCTTTGTGCAAATTTGGCGCCACGAAATCTAAGTTTTTTTTCTTTAATTGCAGCGTCGTCCATCCATTACCCGATAAGCTACTTAATCAAACCAATAAACGAGCGGACGCAGTCCAAAATACTTGGCCTCGACCAGTGCAATAAGTAGCAAAACTTTGAATGTGTTATAGCAAATTTAAATTATACTATGTGAACAACCATAACCAAGTGCTCTTGTACTCTTCACTACAAAAATAAATCAACACACGCAGAAAGCATTTTGTTACGTTAGAATCCAAGCTTAGTACACAATAAAAATATTTCTGTGGCCGTATCACAGAGCCCTAAATCTAGCCTAGCATTTAGATTTTCATGAGGGTTTGCGCCAAATATATTAGAATATTACTAATATTCATTAATAAATACCACAGTAATAAATATCAAAGTAAGTAGGCATTGATTTTTGTTAAATTTGTACACCAGTACTTACATGGGTGCTTCTGTTACAGCCTGAGTAAGCGCTGCCACGCGTGTTTCTATCGACTGATAGCTGTCATACAATAAACCAAATGTAAAATAAAAAGAGTCTAATCAGCACGCCACCTTTCATTATAAAACTCTAACAAGCATAAGCAAAATAAAGGTGAAGCGATAAATGAATACGGATAAACAATAACACCCTCCCTAAATAACTAATAATATAGTGCAATGAGTGCATATAAGCATCGCATAACAAAACTTACACTTGGCTTTCCTTCACGTTTTTCAAACCCTGATTAACATCTTCTGTGATTTCTTTCCACACAGTGATGCCAAGCTTTCGTTTTAACTCGGAACTTTGACGAATCTGTGGAATAAGTGTTGATTTAGATTAGATTAGGCCTTAAGTATTAGCCCCGGAAGGCCCAGAGTCACAAATTCACGTTAGTGCCGTGCTAGCAACAAAACAGTCAAATTAAAATAATTCAATCGTGAAATATGTTGATTATGAAAGTACATGATCCTGTTTGCAGTTTGATATAAGCACTTAAACATCATAATTGGGATATTTTACAAGCTTTTATTTAACCTGCCTTGTTAGTTAGTGCGCAAATCATGGAACTCAAATTTGTCCCATTTCCAATGTCCGATAGTTTTGAAATTTTGAATATATATGCAAGTCGGATGACAATGCAATATTTTGGTGTCGATAAGCTGATATGATGATGAAGACGGAAGGTGGTACTACTGGTGGTAGTAATAGGAACTTTGCAATAACGTAACTGCATCGTGTTTGGGCTCTTTAGATCTGTCTTTAGGAGATGGTGTCAGAAATGAATAAAATGAGACAAAAGTGAAAAATATAATAAAAAAAAGTTTTTTTTTCTTCAAAGAAACTTTTACTTGTGTGCTCTAAAACGTAAACAATAACTTTATGAAAGACAAGGTCATAATGTTAACATTAAAGTACATATAATCGAAGTTTTCTCTAGCAATAATTGACTTGAAAAGCTTGTATTTTTACGCGCTACAAAATTTTCAAGTCAATTGCTTTTAGAGATTTTTTTTTTTATTATGAGTGCTTGTATTTAATTGAATTATTATTTACGTATTTATAATAATTATTATTAATTATAAAAAAACTTCTATTTGTTATATTTTAATTTAGTCTGGAAATAGGAGATGATTCGCGTAGATATTTATGCTATGGAACAAAGACTTTTTTTAAAAATTCTGATTAGGGTATTTCTAGAGTTCCGTATCCAAAGGGTAAAACGAGAATCCCATTACTAAGACCTCGCTGTCTGTCCGTAACCAGGCTGTATCTCATGTACCGTGAAAGTAAGGCAGTTGAAATTTTGACAGATGATGTATTCATGTTGCCGCATTAACAACAAATACTAAAACCAGAATAAAATAAATACTTTAGGGGGCTCCCATACAACAAACGTGATTTTTCTCTCGGTTTCGGTACCCTTCATAAGCGAGTACGACTCGCAGTTGACCGGTCTTTCGTTCTGTAGCATTAGCTCGTTCATTAATAATAATAATAAACTTTATTTGCATTTCCAACAACACATTCTAATTTATAACTATTTAAGATTAAAAAAAAATAAAACAAACAAATCATAAAGAAACATAAATAAAATGAAAAACAAGAAATATGTCGGTTGTGTGTTGCAGTAATTAATTAGTATCTAGGCCGTATAGCATCACGACAAGAGTCAACAATTTGACTCCCAGTTTGTGAGATGTGCAATCCAACAGCCTGTACATCTACCAATAACTAGACTACCTATAGTTGATTAATAATTTATTTGTTTATTATATGTCCGACACCCGGATATATCTAGTACGTGTTTTCTACGTGATCTAAATATGAAGGCCGAGCTGACACTACGGTTTTTTATTTTTAATAATGCAGAAGATAAATTTTGCTCTATACAAATAACTAAGAACCGAAAAACCTTTTATGTTGAAGAGATTTAATTGGCAATTCAAATATCTCTGATATTATATTTGTTTTTGATTTTATAATTATATCAATGGGATCCATAAATTGCATATTATAATATAGACTAGTTTTACCAGCGACGTTGAAACGGGAAATATGCAACCTTCCAAAAACCTAAATATACAGAGAATTACTATAGCATTTAGTATGTAATATGTCACTGTATAATTATAAAAATCGTCATTAATAATCAGTCTCCTTAGCTCTAAAGCTATCAAAAACGAGCTATCGCAGGTTTATTAAAGGTTAGATTAAAATATTTCTAGTAAGATCTTAAACACATCTTAAGTAAAGTTGTATTCATCTGACGATGATACAACACAACACAAGTGTCATTAGATTACTTTCTGAGAAGCCCCGGCCACATATTTGTATGGATTTATTGAAATAAATACTTTTTTTTTTTTTTTATACCAATTATACGGTGAAAGATAAAACCTTTGGATTTTTTTTTTGCATTTAATACAAATCGCAAATGATAATAAATATTGTGTATTATGGAGCGGAACAAAATTATATACAGACATAATATTAAAATATAAATAATACGTAAGCAAACTAACAATATACATAATTAGAACTGGCTCTTACTTTGCTTTGGAGCACGGTGCGAAGAGTAGCTATCTCATCTTCAACCCGGGCAAGTTCGCGACTCCACTCAGCACGCAGTTGTTCCGCTTGCTCTGGCGTCAGACCCGCCAACTCATCAGGCTGTTGTGCATCACCCGCTGCGCCTGTTGCGGCCATCGCCTCTTCAGCTGGATAACAAAACAAACGCCTCAATCAGTTAGACTATATTAACATGTATTTCACAGTTCAGCTTCCAGTATTCATGTGTCTGTTATCAGTGGTACCTTGATAAATTAACATTCATCCCTATTCCTCCTATGACCTATTACGAAAACTGATTTTACCCGACACACCAGATTGGTGGTGTCAAACTGCGGGCCAGACCCGTCCTGAATGATGTTCGTAGATACACCAACGAAATTTTTTTTTTACTCATTAAACAAGTTTTGAATCATATTCCATATTGTTGGTTGATCTATTAAATTTGGTGTATATTATTAGATTCTTGTTAATCCCACACAACAATGAAAAATCCTTCGAAAATTAAGACATCCACATATATAACATGTGTTGTAATATGTATGGGTATGTAACTTTTATTAGTAGTAGTAATAATGGTATTTAGTTATATCAATATATGGTAAGAAAACTTACACCTACTTCAATGTAGTGAAGATTTCACTCAGCCATTCAGTTGTATTTTACCACACACGTTGAAGTGTTTATATTCTTTCTTCAAAATTAAAAAGGATTGGTAATGTATAAAGCAACACGCATTTAAATACAACCGACTTCTTGATCGCAACAGAAGAGCCATAAGGCAAACTCAATGGTTAAATGAAAAAGTAAAAGCAAAAAAATTATCATCTCTTATAGGTAGAATAATGAATCAAAAGCTTTTACAAAAACAAAACAATAACTTGTATGACAAAGTAGCTGATCCATGTGATCGAAGCCGCGTGTTGTAAAGGAAAATGGTACCTACCCTAAGATGTTTTTGCGATAAAAATAAAGCGCTAAAATACGCTCTTGCAACGTGGATGGACAAACATACTTTCTCATTTATAATATTAATTAATTAGTATAGAAGTATGGTTGATAATAACTATTATTTTTTTATAAAACAGAAGTCTCGCCCAACATTTGTGACCACCAAATAATTATATTGGTTGTAACAGTTACATTTTAATACTACTTATCTATCTTAACGTAAGATCGAATAATTATTGAATATTAACTGACCTCCGACTGTAATACCTAAAAATTTTTTATAATTGGTGTGACTGGACACCTTGGCAAGATAGGGCTTTGATAAATCTTGAAATGTCACTCGCACATCCCTTATTTTCTTCCTAAATATTCGTAACCGTCGACGACGATTGTCCATGTAAAATTCTGTCTCAATACACAAGGAGGATTCTGTGAGATCCGGTAGAGCGCGCCAGTCTGCCTCGGTATCATGGTGGTGCCAGCTAGATACATCTTCCAATTCATCCAGTTCGTCAACGGCCACATCGAAACTGGGAGTAGAGTCGTCATCCGGCGGTACAAAATACGGGTCTTCCATATACTCCAAGCTTGCTGGCTCACCGCCACCGCTTGACGCTCCATCGCTAGCCATACCCCTACCCTCTACCTGCCGCGTTTATCATGACTATATAACATATTTCGGCAAATATCACTTGAATTAAAAAAGTAACTTCGTTTATACCAAATATAAGGATCACTCATCGGAGAATATATCAGCGTTACGGATTTCTGATATCACAGGTATTACATTATCTAAGAAATGTCACTATTAAACAACGCGATTTTTGCGGAGCGTCGAGCTGTAGCGGTAATATGTACACAGCCGGCCCGCGGCGCGGCTGAGTCGGTTTCTTCCGCCACGTCGATCTCGTAAAGCACACCCGCCCGCGCCCGTCTCGCGCCGCTGCCCGAGTGCTCGTGTTGCCACTTTCACCGACGATCATGCGAGCTACAATCTTTGGGATTCCAAACAATGAACGTGACCTCAGATAAAATTTTTCGGTAATGCTAACTCATTATTAATGTTACAGTTATCAAATTTTCCCCAACTGTAACTATAATAATAAAATGTCACATTTTATGTAAGTATGCACGATGCCGGTTTTAGAATGGACAAAAAGGAACAAAACAACGCGAAGCTGAGCTCACCTTGTATAGCTAAAGTTTATTGACAGCGCCCGCGGCATACGAGCGGCGCGAGGCTGCTGGCTGGACCAAGAGTTACGTCACTATCTAACTACCAAAAGAAACAAAAAATGCACGGCAGAAATGAGCGTAGTATGACTCACATTTGGTAAGATGTTCAATACAATACTTAAAAAAGACTACATAGAAATCAAATTATTTTGAAGTCGATTCCCAATTCCTTTATTTCGACACGGCTACTGACGACGTGAAATGTTTCATTACCTATTAGTAAGTAAAAACACTTTTGTGTTGCAACCTTGCCACATTCAACTATGCAATTTAAGATTGGTTCAAGATTTCGCGGTTACCTTGTGTAGTTTCATAATACCTTCAATACAAAATTTTTATAACAAGCAATTACTTTAATTAAAACTTTATGCCGTTTAGTAAATAAACTTCATTCGATCAACAGCGGTCATCTTTCCTTTTCTAGATCTGTATTCCTCTTCGGTCTCTATCTCATTTTTTTCTTGTTCCTTACCATAGCGGTCATTTCTATACTCTTGAACCCTGTATTTTACAATCTTTTTCCTGACTTTTTGGCTTACAATATTAAACTAATTTTTAATTTGTCGCATCTTATCACTATTTTATCGCTATATGATCTAATCAGTCTGAGAAGTACCTTCGAACAAACAAATCAACCTTACAGGAACTCTAATGTTCCCGAAATAATAAGTACACATTGTGAAAATAACTATTAAGTGTATCTTGAGACGAAAAACTACTGAATATTTTGTAACGATCTTTAAAATTAATGGTGAATAATGAATATAATTATTTTCTATTACGCTGTTATGTTACGTACTGTAGCTAAATTAGGGGCAGGTTGAGTAATATTAGTAAATCATAATTTATTTTACTCAAAAGTAGTCCATAACCTAAACACAGAATAATAAGCTAAGCAGTATGGTAACTATGTATATACTCTATACTCAATGCGCACTTTTATGAGGCTTCTAAGGTACGCCATACGCTACGGACTATGGGAGGGATAACCTGTACTGATCATCCGTACGTATGTTTAATTTATAGGGATGTTCCGGTGTAGCGGTTTGGCATTTAGTACATAGTAGTGTCAATTTAAAAAAATATATTTTCGGTTTTGCGCTGGTGGTGTGTGCAGGTTCAAAAACTGGTCTATAAACGTTCCGATTTGCTTGCGCAGGTATACCTGCACAGGTGCACATCACCGGTTTGTGGTTGCGATAAGCAAACATCGCAATCGCTGAACTGAATACTAGGTTGAACTGAGATTTTTTTACAGCGCAACAAATATATTTTACGCAAATTGCGGGTATGATTTAGACAATAACCTTAATGCCATAACGCAAGGTTTTTGCATTAACATTAAAAAATGGCCTAATAACCATACTGCTTTAACTATGCTGTGATATAGTGCTTCTTCTATGTAGCTTCATCATCTATAGCTCAACAGTCTTGCTTTAAGTATTTAGTATGTATGTTTGTAAGCAGGCAGTTAGTTTTTAACGGCTACTTCAGAACCTACCCTGATGAACATAAAGTACCTTCTGTAAACCACAGCAACAGCAGCTATTAGCATCAAATATGAGACACATAATTCGCCTGTCTCTCGCTACTGTGTCATTATCATTTCCCAACACACAAAAATCGAAATCTAATAAATTATTGATGACAAATCAAATAAAACCCTTGTTAACTTTTGAAGTTGGCTCTTGGAGTTTTATAAGCTTTTTAACCTCTAATATTGCTACAGTGCCATGTGTACAACACTATATTTTTAACAGAATAGTACTACTTACAGGACCAATATGTCTTTCAAATTAACACACAAAACAAGGGACATCCCATATCAATGTGAGAACTCTAATTAAGATTTCTTATGTATATAGGATATGCTTTCAAATTTTTTTTTCTCCATTCCTTATACCATAACTATTTTTTTTTATTTTTCAGTGTCTTTTAATATTTGGTCTGTGAAGTAATGAGAATTGGCAGTTTCATTTATGGACTGTTTAAGATGCATCAATGGGATAACTTTGGTACTCATCAAGCCAAGTATCAGCAATTTAGTGTATTAAAATCAGCATCAAATGAAATAATTAAATGATCATTTTTTTTTATATTTCTAGTAGCCATTAAATATAATATAATAAATGGTTAAAGATTTATTGCTATTTCAGGGGGAAGAGGGAGTCTTTGAAACGGTAGGAACTTGATTTGTTAAGGATTTAAGTAAACCACAGTCTCTCAAAATATTTACCATATTGTTTGAGTGTACTTTTAGAATATTAATTTATAAAACTATACACAGTTATTATTTTAGCAAATTATTGATCTTACATATTAGACATATTACTAAGGTATTTCTTTTTAAATGTTATTGTATATTTTAAGGCAATCAAACAATTTGTCTGAACCCTATTTCAACTTAAGAAAAGGGCTGAAGTATGATAAAAAAATTATCATAAGATTCACATATTTTTAAAAACAATAAACATTAGTTACATGTCAAAAGAAAAAAAAAACTTTCTGAAAGAAAATAAAAATGTATTGAAGGCATTTAAGGTTATTTCATTTAATAGATAATGCATGTGAAAATATAAGAAATCAGTAAACAATAAATATGATGCAATCATGTCTTCTAAATAACTTTCAAAATATATTTTATAAACATCAAACAGCAGTTTTACCAATTGATTAAACATTTAGGAATGTTTCAGCCTTTCCAAAAAACAAATAAACAAACACACTGATAATACAAACTTATTTTTTATTTCTATGAACTGCATTAATAATATAGATAACATAATGATGTTGATTTCAGTTGTAATTTTCATTGTTTATTTGCTAATCAAATTTGAAGCATACATTGCTAACACATTGATTCTGTAGCTATATTCACTCAATTTAACAGCAATGAATCATTCTAGTCAATCAAGAGATAATCCAATAAGTTATTGAAATAAAAAGATATAACTAGATCAATAAAAATGCAATAAGCATCCCGAGTCTAATTTCATGGGGAATAGTTTATTAATTTAGTGTAACTTTTACAAAAAGCTAATAGACATTACTAATTATTTAATATAGATTGATAATGAACTTGAATTATTTTAAAACTTACTTCCTCTAGTCGCTTTCTAAATAAGCTACTCATTTAAAAATAGCTAATAGACTTATTATAAATAACCATTATGTACCATATGAAGTAAAATTTAAAACAATGAATTTATCAAAATGTTTTATACATTCATCCATACCAACTATTGAACATAAAATTGCTAGGATATGAACACTTGCCTGTTTGTACTCCACTCATCTTCTTGTATTACTTCAGAATTACAAAGAAATTATCAGTCTTGCTATAGAAAAAGCACTTTACCAAATAAAAACTTGATTCCTACAAACGTGAAACACAAAACCGTACCAACTCTATCTGACATCCATCAAATCAAGCTGTCCTGTAATGTCACTGAACTGTCACCATTGTCACCCCACTGTCATAATTTTTGTAATGGTAACATTAAATAGTCATTAAGATAAAAAAAGAAAAATGTTATAATTTTTGTAAATCCTCAAGAGCAACGCTAATAATTTAAAAGAAGAAGAATGGTAACTTACTCACTAAATACACTTATTAATAGTTAGAGAGCAGGGGACCAGAGTGATGGGCGCATCCTGATCTCCCACAAAGTCTAATAAGTCTATAAAAACACTACCCAATTTTAAGCCCTCATCGATTGGGTGAGCGAGTCCCCTAGTTAGTGTGGTGCTTTTTATACTACCCCAGAAATTGGACCCTAAAAAGCTGTCCATATGGTTGGAAACCTGAACTTCGGCCAAGGTTTGGCTTAATGGTTGGCAACGGTTGACATGACCATCGACGCCCTTGTACTGCCCTGCGATTCTGTAATAATCCAGACCCGAATTTGAATTCACTCATGTGTCCGAATTCAAGCCATTTAGTACAGAAATCCTATTGATTCCATTTTTTGTGTGAAAATACTAAACAAAATTGAATGATTAAACGTGTCTTAGATATTTTTATCCAATGTCATTTCAAAAATCACTTCACTTATGCCATGAAATGTTATTACCAATTCAAGTTTGAGCGGATGCAGCTTTTTGAAGTGAATTCAGACACCTGAGTGGATTCGAATTCGGGTTTGAAGTTTTACAGAATCGCAGGGCAGATCACAAAATATGTAACAAAATCGCCTATGCTCGAAACGTATCGTTCGAAGGCGTGAGTGGAGTGTTGCCAGATGTAATGGAATCTGGAGTATCACAAAGAAATAAAAATGCTTTATTTATGTGTTTGGATTCTAAACGATTATCACAATATTCAAAGTGATTGTGCATTATTACAAAAAAAATCATAAATATTTATATTTAATTTTTTGATATACTGGAGATTTTATTTACTACCTTCTAAAAAAATAGTAATTTACTACCTTCTGACATAATTATTGCAACCTGACATAAGCCATTTAAAATGTTATTCCAAATTTTTAACATAAAATTAGTACCTCATATGTAACCTTACCTATAGAATTTGATGGCATCACTTTGGAAGTTGATCTGTTTGTGGTAGCATCTGAGTTCATGAATACGCCAATAATAGTGGGAACCAATGTGTTGAATAGGGAAGGTGTACAATACGTTCGTACCCGTGACCTTCAGTTACTGACGCATAAGATGTGTAGTACTAGTACAGCTATAACAGTTCAGTCTAACCCGTCTTTTCCGATCAAAACTTCTCTCAGTGACGAGCAGTTACAGCAGTTGCTAGCAATCATAAATGAGTTCTCTCGACATTTTATCACTGGTACTGCGACTTCCACCGTGAATACGAAAGCATGGCTATTAAATTAAATAGTAATGCTCCTGTCTATTATAGGCCGTATCGTCTCTCGCATGCGGAAATACTTGGAGTGTGGGTCATCATTGGTGATTTGATTTCGAAAGGAATTATTCGGGAATCGAACTCTGATTATGCAAGCCCGATTCTCTTAGTAAAAAAGAAGGACGGGTCCGATAGAATGCGCGTTGATTTTCGAAATCTAAATGAATTAACCATCAAGGATCGTTTCCTATTACCGCGAAGCGACGATTATATAGACAGGTTAGGAAGAAATAAATATTTTACTAGCTTAGATATGGGTTTCACCAGATCCCCATTCAGGAAGACTCTATTCCACTCACTGCATTTGTTACGCCCGAAGGGCATTTTGAATATCTCAAGATGCTCTATGGCTTAGCCAATGCACCAGTCGTTTATCAAAGAATAATTGCTAAAAATTTACGTAAATTCATTGATTCTGGTAACGTTTTGGAATACATCGACGATGTTTTGATCTTAAGTATGACCACATGACCATTGACCAAGGATTAAGCCTGTTACGCGAAGTATTATTAACCTTAACCCAAGCAGGGTTTTCTATTAACTTACAAAAATTTTCCTTTCTAGTCACTGAGATTGAGTATTTAGGCCGGACTATTTCTTAGGGTCAGGTAAGACCGAGATACAGTAAAGTTAAAGCTTTAGTCGACTCCGCGGAACTAATGAATATCAAGCAAGTTCGCCAGTTTATGGGCCTAGCCAGTTATTTTCGCAGATATATTCCTGGCTTTCCGCCTTTCCCAGAAAACCGCCTGCATCGCTACTCTGACAAGGAAGGGCGTAGAATTCAAATGGGGTGATGAACAGCAGGCGGCTCGTAATGAAGTGATTCAATGTCTTAATAGTGAACCTGTTCTTGCTGTTTATGACCCTTCCTTATCCGTAGAAGTCCACACGGATGCTAGCTCAATAGGTTATGGAGCTGTATTGATGCAGGTTCATGAGGGCGGTTATAAACGGGTAGTGGCTTATTTTAGCAGGTTAACGCAAGGAGCGGAGATTAAACATCACTCGTATGAGTTCGAAACTCTTGCTGTTGTTAAAGCGCTACAACATTTTAGGCCATATCTTGTAGGTGCACTGACTGCAATGCTTTGAAGCTCACGTAACGAAAATAGGATTTACTACCAAGAGTGGCCCGGTGGTGAGTGTACCTGCAAGATTTCGATTTTGGACTGGAATATCGTAAAGGAACTTCTATACCACACGCTGACTATCTAAGTAGGAACCCAGTTAACATGTTCTCAATCCAAAAGCCACGTAATTGGGCACAGATTGCTCAAACATCTGACGAAGAGACCAGGCACTTGATACAAAAACTTACTGACGGACAACAAGACACGACTCGCTACCAAGTTAAGAACGATATACTTTATTTCAAATACTCGCCTACTGGCGAATCATCTCGATTTCTTTGCTACATCCCGAAAGGCCACAGACTGAGCCTTCGTCGTATATTCCACAATGAACATGAACATGTTGGAGTAGATAAATCTATTAACCTAATTTTAAAACACTTTTGGTTCCTCAACCTAAGATGTTTCGTTCAAAAGTACATAGCACATTGCTTGGTTTGTATCTCCCACAAGAAAGTTGCGCGAGCTCCACTACAACCTATTAGCTCTTGGGAAAAACCTGATGTGCCCTTCGACACCATCCATATGGACACCTTAGGGCCTCTCCTGAAGTTGACGGTTTCCGTCACATTTTGATAGTTATAGGTGCCTTTTCAAAATTTTGCCTGTTATACCCGATGTATCGGCAAGATGCTGATGAACTGAAGCGTCATTTCAAAAATGTCATCTCTCTATTTGGGACACCCAGATTAATTGTGGCTGATCGAGGCCGTATGTTTCAAAGTACCAAGTTCCTTAATTGGGTTGGGAAATTGGGATGCGATACTCATTTCATAACGCCGGAAATGCACCAAGCGAATGGGCAAGTAGAGCGCTATTGCCGGACGGTGATTAATATGATCCGTATTGAGGCCAACTATAGACAACACGACTGTCCTAGCATGACTTAGAAAATTCAACTGATTTGATTATTACCAAACATAGTACAACTCAAGATTCAGCTCTCAATCTACTGGTGGGCATTGACGCTGCCACTCCAGTTATCCGTGGTGTAATACGAGATGTTGCACTCGAAGGCTCCAGCCCCAATAAAGAGGCTCTTCGTGAAATATGCCGACAACGAGCATCAGAGAGGTTAAAGCAGAATCAGCAAAAACAAGATGCCTATGTCAATCAAGGCAGAAAGCCTGCACGTAGTTTTGAACTAAACTCATTAGTCTTTGTTAGAAAACAGGAGCAGTCAACGAGCAAGTTGAACTCTTTTATGCGCGGTCCCTACCGCGTGTTGAGGGTGCGGCCTCGTGGACGCTACGAGCTGCAGCTTGTGGCTGGGTCATATGGGAAATCAGGCTTAGAAATTCATGATTCCGTGGCAAGGAGAGTGGAGCCCCGAAGTTTGCGCTGCTTTCTTCGATAGTGAGTTATCTCTCTGTTGGTACAGCATTGGAAAATGCTTCACGTCGTCCCACTTTTCCATTGGCTGTTGGTGGACATGCTTCACGTCGTGCCTCTGTCTTGGCTTTTTTTGAGTTAAGCTTCACGTAGTGACTCTGACTCAATGCCTGTAAAGTAATGCTACGCGTCGTGCCTCTAGCTTTACTTTGTAATGAGTTACGCTTCACATAGTGCCTGTCTCGCCGACTAATATTTAGTGCGTTAAGCACGTTGTGTTTATTTTTGTTTTGTGCATATGCAGACACTGAAGACATGGAGCTCACTCTTGCCACTACAACGCAGTCTGCACCTGTTGACCACCCGGTTGATGATGGGCAGCAACCCAGCACATCAGGAGTGCCTCATCGCACCAGACCCGAACGAGCATCCAGTATGCATGATGAGCTGAGCACTCGTGCTTCATCTGAGGGATCATCAGTCATGCCGGACGAGCAGTCTGACCGCATTGAGCTTGAAGAGCCACCAATCACGGGGCGCTCAATGCCTGAGCTGGATTAATTAAAGGAGCCCGAGGACGATCTTCTGTCAGGAGAGGCCGTGTGGAAGATAATAATTTTTTGTCGACTAAGGGTATATAAGGCAGCACCGCCCTGCGGGCGCTCTCATTGCTGCGCGCGCGTTCATCGGAATAACATCGGCATTTCTGTGTTAATTTATATTTCTTTTGTTTTGTGAGTAATAAATTAAATAAATTACGTCACTAGGTTATTAGCAATTTTTGAACTTTTAAAAAAATAATTCGGGTCACAGTTCGTAAGAATATCTATTTTATTTTTTTAGCGAATGTGTTAAAATTTTCTAGGATTCCAAAATCTAATTATTGTAGATAAACGTAGATTTTCACATATTTTGTTAGTGATTTTCTATACGTTGTGATTAAAACCAATATTATACTTAAGAACTTACAATGACAAATTTTTTACAAATTTGGATGACACGCCTTCGACCATGAACTAAGCAAGTTCACATAGTCGGGGCTCAGATTGGCACCATATCATATCACTATATATTATCATCATAATGAGAAAATATTTAAAAAAGTTCATTAGTTGCTGAAACAAACTAGATGTCGCTACAGTACGTTCTTGATTTCTCTATGACAACCTTTCCGGTTTTCTTTCAAGTTTAAAAGTAAACTAGTATTCAAAACTCAATAAACAACTCATATTCTATCTGTACTTTTTCGTATTTGTATTGATATCTAAGTTTTGAACTTTTCAAATTTCAGTTTTTTAATATGTTAGGTTAAAGGAACGGAAATGACTGTCTTTGGTTCATTCATCTCCTGCAAAAATCGACTTAAGCTAGAGTTGCCATCTAGTGGAGGTGCTTTTTAGTGCTTTCTTTTTTTAATACTTCCTCATTATAAAGAATGTTGCGGCATTCACACGATGATTAAGATCATCGCCATCTTTTGTCAAAAGACTACAAAACTAAATAAAACTTCCCAACTCAATTTTTTGAAGCCTGTCTACATTTTTTTTTTTTTGCTTTAGTAAATAATTTCTCAGCGTCTTGTAACCATGTTTACGATAAATAGGACTACAAATAATGTCAAAACAAGTCTGGCAGATCCAAAAAATTACAATATAAATCTTCGTTTAGAGTTTATAGATATGTCTGGCGCCCGTATAATTAATGTACAATAGAAAATAATGTAGAATAGGCTGGAAGTGGTAAATCCCTGCATTATTATATAAAAAAACACTATTTGTCATCCAATCTCCTTTTGATTATACGGCTTCAAATAATGGTAATGATAGTAGAAGACTCTACACACAAACACAACCTTTTTAATTTTCCACGGTTAATATATTCATCGATTTTGTGATCTAGTTTCAAAGAAAAATAATATGTCTATTCCTTACAGCGGCACTTTTGTGAGATCTGGTGGTGTAGTTTCAGCGATAGGAAAACAACTAAGAGCTTTAAATTTGAAAGCGGCTAAACGAATTACTGTAAAATTCGATCCTTTCAGCGACAACGTAACCCATACAAGGTTTGACAAAATCAATCTCGCTATCATTTACTTTAATACATTAACATCTTATTTTGTTATTCTTGATGTTAAGTAAATTTAAACACGAAGGTGTTATTATAAACACAATGACAATTTCTTTCAGAAATTTCCTGCATTATATTAGTTCTCCAAAGATAAGTTTAACAAACCCCAACTGCACACTGAAAACTGAAGTTGTTTGTGATCGCAGTGAACCTACGGTAGAAATTAATTTACTTCCTGCAATTGCTGGTAAGTTGCACATAAAGATTTTAAAGCCTAATTAAGCCAGTAATCATGCCACATATATTGAACCACGTATATTGTAGCATTATCGAAGCACGTTTTACCACTGCATCTATGCAGTTTAAACAATATGAGGGTGGCTACTGGTGCGGTCATCTGTTGTTGATTCTTTTTCTTTTGATAGAATAGTTAACTTTTTGTTTACTTAAGAATTTTAATAATAAGAATCCAAATTTTAAATGTTATAGTCTCAACTTAATGCAGTAACAACAACTTTATCTTCTTTGTATATCCACTGATATTTTTTGTTAAATAATTTTATTAACCGTTAATATTCTTAATAAAAAATGCTTAAAAAATCCACTTTGTCCTAGGTACCAGGCATTTTTCACTAAGAATATTTTCCAGTATAGAATTGTAAATGTAAAAATATGTCAAATATATTTATTAATAGTTCATATGAAAATAATAATATTAAAATAAAAAATGTAGATTATACATAATTTATAATCATAACAATGACTGTTACATTGTGATTCTCTAATTTATAATTTCAGAAACTGCCAAAGTTAGTACCATAGTATTAAAAAGTGGTAATCTCACATGTTTAGAAATTCTTCAATTACTGAATAAGCATGTATCATCATTAGCACCTGTTGAGCAACCAGTGTCCACTGTTCAAACTAAATTGGAGAAAAAGAAGAGCAAAAAGAAGTAAGCTAATAAAATGACAAAATCTAGCAAAGGTAACCTACATGTTGTTGAAGAAATATATAACCAGATTCCAGCATTCACTGATGTGTTTTCAGAAGATACATTTTACATATTTGTTATGTTTTTTGTCCTTTCAACCATTATGGTTGCATTTATCTTGTCTAGATTTATCACTATTAAACCCGTAGAATAGTTAATCTTTATGTACAAGTGTAAATTTAATAAATGATAATGTTTTTATCTGTTTTTAAATACAAATCACCTTATACTTTTCATACCGCTATTAAATATCTGAATGTAAACAATATTTAAAGGCAATTTCAAAACTTTAATTAAATAACTTTTTATTGAAATAAGCTAACTGAATTAATAATTCTCTTTGTGAATTAATGTTAACATTTAATAGATATATGTTTTATTTAAATGAAAATGGCTTTAAAACTGTCTGTAGTGAGGCATTTCCACCCCAGACTAAAGAGAATTTAACCACTATGTTTTCCCAGGACTGGCAGTGCCAGAGTCAGATCTTTTGTGTTTACGGTTACTTTATATTTCTAAAGTTCTATCCATTCACAACCTATTTATTAGTCTAAGACAAGGCAGTCTTAAATAGTTTAAGATAACATTTTTAAGATGATTAAAAGTAATATAGCAGTGCACCAACATTAGTATTTATGGTTCTTATTATGAGTTATAAAATCAGTCTTATCTAGAAACTGATAAACAAACAAGTAGAATAATTTCTTAATTCATAATCTACATGATGACCTGTGGCCTAGTGGCTTGCAAGCCGGTTTCAAAGTGACACCATCTTTGTGGTCCCAGGACAATAAACTTTTTAAAAGCTCTTATTTGTTATGTATGTATGTTTATTTAGTTGGAATCTGAACTCAATTTTGATGTAGCTATCTTCAACCGATTGCGCTGAAATTTCGTATTCGTCTTTAGTTTGGAAGACAATGCATGATAAGGTGTGTGACGTCATTCTAAATCCAATATGGCGGACCATCCAATATTTCACTTCTAGAATATGGGTATCAAATGAAAGAGCTTGTTGAGAGTAACTAGAAAATATATCTGATATATACATTATTAAATAAATATTATTTAACTTTTTCACTTTTCTATCAACATTAACAACTAAATTGATCTCTTCTAAATTCATGAAAAATGTCTTTTGCCAAATTAAGGATTAATAGATTATTAGAATCGTATTTTAAGGATAGTATATTATATTTCACAAATTAATAAATAAGTTTTCTATTGTGTTTTGTGCTATTTATGCTTTCTATATTTGAATGACGTCATTTGAGTTTGAATTTGACAAGGTTTCAACGCATTAGCAATTGACGAACGACGGCTTATAGGTACTCGTCTTATGATCTGAGCAATTTATGATGTTGTTTCATTTTTTTAAGTACCTGACCCAACAAAATTCGTTCCGCCATATTTTATTAGACGGTCGGTACCTAGAATTTTTTTTTATATACAAACCTGAACACATAAAAGAATCATCCGATTTGGTGCGGAAGTTATGCGCGTACATATATTTCGACGTTTCACGGTTCCTTAGTAAACTAGAAACCCTTACAGTTTCGCTATGTCTGTCTGTCCGCCCGCGGTTTAGCTCATGAACTATTGGTACTAGAAAGTTGTAAATTGGCACGAGTATGTCCCCCCCTCTACCAACTAAACGGTTATTGTTTACCAGCGACGGTTATTCAAATGTTAAGCCAGTAGTACCTATACCTATATAATGAAGTTAAAAACAAACGTCTTATAAATTTTTCATTACTTTAAAGCGACATTACCCATATAAATATGACATTCATTAGAGTATGGGTGGCCAACCAGTCGATCGCGACTGTTAGTTCAGTCAATCGTGGCAATTAAAAAAACATAAATAAAATCAAAATAATTGTGTACGAACTATGCTGTTTCATTTAAGATTTTAAGAAGTAAAGTTATGGGTAGATATTACTGGGTGTCGTCAGTGAAAAGTCGATCTTGGGTGTAAACAAGTTGGCCACCCCTGCATTAGAGCATAAAGGCGTCATTAAATCTTAATGGACGTTTGTGCAACAAACCGTATCATACTTAAGTTAGCTTTACAAGTTGACGAGTACCACAGTCACCTAAATTTATTTAATTTAAAAATTTCGAACAACTCCCATAGAAAACAACAAACATGATTTTTTTTACTTTTTTAATGGATAATAGTAAGAAACCTTTCGTGCGCGAGTATGACTCACACTTAACCGGTTTTTATATATGTATATAGGTAACATGGTTGCAGGGAATTGTTAGTTCATTGTTGCTTTTGATATGCCTACATTTGCAACTACGTATTTGTTTTAATGACAGATGTTTCATCATAAGTTTTCATTTTATCACAATTACCTAATTCTTCAGAAATTAAATGATCTGTTAGTAATTGAGAAATAATATTTATTAATACATAATATGGTTGCATCATGTACAAAATTTGTTTCTTATAAAAGGGAAAACTAAGATTGTTTATTAAATTCAGAATTCTTGTGCTCCCCAACGGATCTGGAAACAGAAAAATACTATTCTGAAAACCACGTCAAAACCATGTTAAAGTAAGAACCACCTTTTAGGTCAGTAATATAATACCTAAAATCTTCTTCTAAGTCTTACAAATACTATGCTGAAAACCGCATCAAAATCGGTTCAGCCAAACGCGAGATAATCGCGCACAAACATACATACAGGTCAAACTCCTTTTTTGAAGTTTAAAAATATAATTTATGTTCATAACAAACTTAAATTTAATATATAGGAAACACATTATTTCAATTTTATAGAAACTTACATCTTGATTTCGAGTTTTCTGTTTCCGTTCCACCAGAGAAGTAAGGGCTTCAGACCGCACAGCTAAGGAATCTATTCTTTCCACAAGTTGTTGGTATGGAGATAATGGTTGTGCCCCCATCACTACATGACCCAACTTTGAATCAATCTTAGCATCAAGTCGTGCATTGCGGATGAGGTTAACTATCCAACATTCTGCTTCATCAGGCTGCATGTTCAAGTTTTCTGCTAACATACTGATAGAAACATTTCATTATTTATTAGTACCTCTACTAATGTCTAACATATACATTTTGAGGGTTTTTAGGTTGTGAAATTGCGAAGCGAGTACTTCTTCCATCAATTCTAGCAACTCTTTACAACATCGCGCCTCTAGGCATGTGCCAGCTTTTTACCACTTGCGCTGGTTGAATGATTTTAGGACTTAGAATCGAGACTTTCCTTTCAGTTACAATTCAGTATCGAAGGTTATTTTTTTTTTATTTGGAATAACAAACATTAAAAAAATGTATTTACACTACAGGTAACCTAAATATGATATCTTGATTATTTTGTAATAAACTACGTCATCCTTAAGGTAATATTATTAACAAATTATCGCTTAAAACATAAAGCTTTTCGATCAATAAGGTAGGTAGGTACTCAAGTGTTTAAGTATCTTAAAATTTTACTTTAGTGAGGTTCTCCAGAGACGATAGAACTTTGACTTTAAATTGTATGGGGGAAAGCATAAACATCTATGTTCTCAAAATGTTCATTATAAAAGCGCATAATACGAGGCAGAGGTGCACGCTCGCACGCATTAGTTCTACATTGTTTGGGAGCAAAAACTTATGCGCTTGAGCGTCACGAATGCGCTGCGATTCGGCTAGGTAAACGAAAGTAAATATTATTGATTTATTGAATGAGTGAATGCAATCAAATTGTTTTTTAATAATTTTATATAAATAGATTTGATCTAGCATCATTATTTTTGACTTTGGAGAAAGCATATAAAATTTATTGAGGGTGATTGAGCAGTGGTCGGAATTAGGTAGAGTTATTCATGTACTTACACTGACTTCATACAGCGAAAGAATAAAGTGGATATGCCTCAAATCCCGAGATTAATTTTAAAGAGCAGAAAAAAACCTGTGATTTTTTTAAATAAAAAGTTATTTACTTTTACACAATTTAAACTACTGCACGCACGACGTTGCCAAACTTACATCAATGACATCGGATGACCAAAGTTGCAAAATACCAATACGCGCGATGTTGCCACGAAGGTCCACATTAATATCAACATTTCGATGCAAGTACATGAATAACTCTACCTAATTCCGACCTCTGGTGATCAGTGTAGGGCGATTTGTTATGATAGCATTTATAGTTGACAGAACGGACAGGTTTTTTTACAAGGACAAGGTAAAATGGATTCCAGACCACAGTTGTGTACTCCAACTGGGACCTGACGAGTGACTTATATAAAGTTATGCGGGATGACGAGTGCTTAAAATTACTCGTTACACGTTCGTATTACAAAACTATACATTTGGAAGGATTTATTCACAATGCTCGCTATATGCATATTGTAGTGTAATTTACAGACAAAAGGAATACATAAACCTTTGATGAAGACGACCCGTTGCAATGGAGTTTTATTTAGAAAATATTGAAACTCATCCGGTCCTTAGCTTTTTGTCAACGAAATTTTACGGAAAATAATTAAAATATAGGTATATATGAGTAGCTCCGTGGCGTAGTGAAAATGCGTCGCGGTTCGAGAACGTTGTTAAGCAACTTCGCAAGAGTCGGTCACGGGATGGGTGAAAAAAAAAATTATCTCGAGTTACTGCTTCAGAAAGCACATTAAGACGTTGATCCCGGCTGCATTCGCAATCGTTAATACCCTCCAATCTACATTGGACCAGCTTGGAGGGCCATGGCCTATCCTCCTTAACCATCCATAAGGAAAGCTTAAGCCCCTGCAGTAGGGACGCTACAGGACTGATGATGATGAATTAAAATATAGTGACTCTATTATAGCGCATCACTAGCATAAAAGGCAGATAAGTCTTTTCTTTGTTCCATAAGCGCAACGACAAGTCATTCTATAAATAAAATCAATTAGGTATTCGGCCACAGATTAGTACAAACTATAAAAGACATCCTCATTTACAACTCTGCCTCCTAACTAACGTAGCCCGTAATAGAAATACGATCTCCAAAAACTTTGGTTGAATATTACCTGTATCATCATTTTACGAGGAAAATGTCAATGTTAGGTTAAATTTTAATTTTATACTTACCCAATACTTATTACTTGGTGAATACGACAGAAGGTTTCAAATATCATCAGACGAGCATTTTCAACAAATTCTTCCAGACAAGCAATCAAAAAGAAATCTGTTGACAACACAGCCTGGCACTGGTTAAGTTTTCTACGTGCTGCCTCAAAATCGAAATTCACATACAGATGCTCAATGAATTCAGTGATAGGATCCCTGCAACACAAGAGTAATGATGGAATTATAAGATGAGGCCCGCACCACGTATCGGAAATCGGTTTATTAAATGAACTGTTACATGATGTCTCAAAGTTGTAAAGCTTCAACTAACACAAGGCTATGGCGCAGTGGATCGTTTTCAGTCTGTGATGCAGATGTTAACATCAACTTAAGCAGTTTTCGATAATAACATAGGTGACTGATTATCTAGAGCAGTGGAAGACAAGGAAGGGCGAAGGGAGCGGTCCGCCCCGACCCTCTTCCAATCAAACTCCCTTGATCAAATTATAAATTGAGGTTGTACGGCCTTATTTTTCTTATATCCATCGTTATATAATCGCAATATCAAGCTTCTACCCCGATTAAAAAAGTTGGAAGTCCGAGCCTGATGCCGACAAGGTTAGTTCGCCACTGATCTAGAGTTCTTTCGTGCTTCGTCATGTCCACAAATACATTGGTTATGACAATCAATCTTGCACACTCGATTGAAAATCGTAACAAATACTTTCGTGAGACGCCTGACCGATCTTCCATCAGTGTTTCATAACGCTAAGTAATCCTGTGTCTAGTTGTTGACAATCACATATCTACATTGGAGCTGCATGGTAAGTTATGGCCCGTTCTCTATTCGATTTTAGCCGTGACCACTGCTTAGGCCAAATATTTATGCATGTAATCAAAAACTCACCTGTATGTGTAAGCTTCTTGCTGTATAACTTTTACAAGGTCTTTAAGAGCATTCCGTCTCGACCTATTTATGATGACGGCAGTAGCTAAGTAACGAAGAATGTGAGGGCACATAGTTTGAATAGCATTCAAGTATCTAAAAAAATAGATTAAATTGAAAAAAACATTGAGGACAGAAACAGACCAGCCAGATAAATATCTGGTCTTTCAAACTATTGAAGCAACTCATCAGAATTTCAGTTTCCAAAATATCAAACGCTTTGAACAATGAACAGTAAGTACTGGTAATTAACAATCATAAGTTTGTTGCATATACATATAAATAATGTACAGGAGGGTTCAAATATAGATATATAGAGACATCAAATTTGGCTTCTTAATATTACCCAACTGTAACGTTTCACATATTTAGGACAGACGTATTCAACCAGCTTGCTACATAATATTATTCATCAGTACATTCAACAAACTAAGATAAGAAATTTTGAGAAATTGGCTTTTTGGGGCCTGGGGAAGAACCGCCTAACTCTCTAGCCATAGGATACTACATCTAATCCGAAAGAACGATAAAGAATAAAGATTATGGATTTTATAATAGTGTTACCAACTTAGTCATTTATCCCAAATTAATCCACCAAACGACAAGTTAAAATAGTAATATGAAACGAAATATCATTCATGACATCGCTAAGATGTCCTTCATCTTATGGCTAGAATGAATACAAAAGAGTTAGGCGGTGGTCGCTTTGCTGGACATAGAGGTCGTTAAATTAGCGCTTAGCGTGTTAATTTAACACGCTAACCAAACTTAGCGGTTAACGCTGTAAGCAGATGTGACGTCATGCTCTTCTTACTCATATCAGAACATAGAGAATTCAACCTTATGCATACATATTAATTTCAGAGGGCCAAGACGTCATAGCGTAAAAAGTGGAGATTTCGCGGCAGATTTTTAAATTAAATTAATTTTTAGATTTTAACTTATTATATGAATGATACTTTTTTTAAATACTTTTTTAGGATATATGTCATGTATATCTATAAAATAAAAATATAAAAAAGTTGTCTACACCCCAATTGGACATTTTGAAATTATTAACTGAAAGAACCTCGTTATATTATAAATACTTACAGTGGTTTGTACAAGAACATTTCAATTATAAGATCGCGTCCTTTAACATGGTTGAAAAATACAAAGAGTGACCAGTGTATAAGCCATGTCCTTTGTTGAAGTGCTTGCATGTTATTAGCGGTTGCACCGCCCGCACCATTATCAATAAATTCTCTTAATTTGGTTAGATCATCAAGAGCAGCATCCCAATTTTGTACTAAGATTTCACTCGCCAGTTTACCCCATAGAACGGAAAGATAATTCTAAAAGTCAAAAAGAAATATTTTTTTCGTATTATGTTTTAATTACTTTTCCGCCAGCGGCTTCGCCCGCGTGGTAGGACCATGCGAATGATTCAAGATGAAGGTTTATATGTATAGGGGGTCGACCCGAAAATAACGGTGTGCGATTATCGACCACAAAGATTGCAATTATGAAATTTTATGAAACCTTTTTGTAGGCATGTACCAAATAAAATGTATTTGACGTAAAAAAAAAGTCATTCACAGAGCACGCGAATGTTGGGTTAAATCATAGAGAAACTTGTGAACGTCAATTTAAGGACAGCTAAAATAACAAATATGTCAGCAAAATTAATAGTTCACAAATTTGAAACTGGTTTCAACTTTAAATCATTGCAGATTAGTATTCGGGAAGATGATAATGACTTCTCTGAAACTAACTTCAGTGAATGGTTAGATGGGAGGAGTTTTCAGAAAAAAAGAGAAAATGAAAAGTTGCCACGTTTGGTTGTCAAAATTGTTTCTGGGAATGAGATAAGTAATTTAAATCTTGATTCTTGTGCAAAGTTACTTACCAATAAAGAACTCTGTTCTTATCACGATTCTACTGACAATTATGGAAAGAAAAACACCATAGAATTACAACATCTTAATGCTATTTATGATATTGAAAGATTAAATTATTTCAATTGTAATGATGCAAAGCAATCATCCTATTTATATAATGATGCTATCCAAAGTGAGAACTGTCTTAATACAATGAATCCTTTGGAGTACAGTTTAGAAAAAGTAAAAGAAAATAATGCCCGTATTATGGAAAATATCCAAATGCTAAATCACACTTTAAATTATACTAAAAAAAAGGAATCATTAGATAATGTCTGCCCAAAATCAATTCAATCCTTCCCTTGTGATACTTGTGGCAAAAGCTTTGTTTATGAAACTGGTCTGAAAAGGCATTACTCTATAAGACACTCTTTAATAGAATCTCAGCCGCAGTGGCAAGTTGTTTGGACCTGCATTGAGTGTTTCCAAGTGTGGCCTCAATATGAGCTAGCTTTAAGCCACGCTAGCCAATGTTGTAAATCTGATAGGACCAATTGTGTCAGAGAAATAAAAACCTCTTCAGTGCTACAATGTGAGTTCTGCGAAAAAGTATTTACAAGTATTCCCAGATTGTTAAGACATGCTAAAATGCACACAACAGATAATAACTATGAGTGTAATGCATGTAACTTAGCCTTTAAATGTTACAAAGCTGCTGAAGAACACTGGTTGACATGTCCATGGTTAAAAACTTGTTACAATTTCTCTTTGCCAAAACTTCTGCTGTGTAATGCATGTGATAGAAAGTTCAGAAATTATGAACAACTTTACAATCATAGGTGAGACAGTTATTGGAATGGTTTAATGATTTAATATCTATTTAGTTAAATGGAATAACTTTTATAAAACATAGTTTTGCCATATCAATCCTTTTTATTTTTATCTAAGTGATGTATATAATTTATCATCTATTCATTAATGAACCTTGATAATAGGTGAGGAGACGCTAAATATCAATATATTCTCCAGTTAATTAGTACCTTATAATATTGAAAAATTTCTGATTACAGGTACAAAATAGGTCATTTTATGGCAAAGAATAATACTGATTCTGGGGTACATCTTTATCAATGTGAATTATGTACTAAATGCTGTACATCTACATCTCTGCTCCATTTACATAGAAGAGAATGTCATCCTTGTCATGGCATAACATCAATTAATGTGAGTTGAAAAAACAGTTTGTTATATTAAATATTTGTAATTAATTTCATTATAAATTATGTTTTACAGGTTAATTATAATGGATCCCAAAGTAACTATTTTACAACTTTCAACTATAAACATGAAAACTATACTAATAACCCAAATTAAAAATGTGTATTTAATTATCTGAATAAATAATACTAAAAATACCTTTCCTTTTTTATGTTTAGTTTACACTATTATAACAAAATAAAATAAAATTTATAAATTATCTTACCTTATCTGTGGGGGACATGACAAGTTGGCAGAAGTATAGATATGATGCTGATTCCACATAGTTTCCACACTCATATCGATATTTAGCAAGTCGGTACATGCTATCAATCATTTCTATTTTGAACTAAAATAATTATAATACATTATAAATAGTATAAAAATGTGTCTTTTCTTACAATACCAAATTTATGTACCTCAAACTCCTTGTTAGTTGTTAAATAGTTAATTAAGGTTTTGGGATCTCTCATTGTCTCTACTGTTTTCATAACATCATCTCTCTGCATAAGCCTTAGTACTGGTTCAACTGCATCTTGAAGTATTTGTAGTTGAGAAAGTACTACACCTCTACGTGACTTAATTTCCTGGAAAAGCAAAGAAGATATTGTTGCACTTCACATTACAGCCATATTAAACCAATATCAATATTTTAGATATTACTTACTTCAGGCGTGTCTTCATCAGGATAGAGCATTCCTCTGATATCGATAACATAATCTATCATGTTAGTTTTACTCAAGATTTCCAGTTTTGCTTGTAAAAGTTCTGACTGATCATATGTCTAAAAACATTACAGTAATATGTAATATAATTTATTGATTTAGTTTCAATACTTTCCAATTGCAAACTGATGACGAATTAGCAACATACCTCTTTTGCAGCTAAAAACTCCAATAATGGAAAAACAAGGTGACGGTCTAAATATTGGCCAATTTTAAAAGTTAGATCGAATTTAGAGTAACTCATTGTAGATGCTAAGGTTCCTTTAATAAAATGTAATTAAAAACCTTTCGTTTCGAAAAATCCTAACCTCACAACAAACACTCGCTGGTAGGCACAGACAATTTAGTTCACCATGTATTATCTATGGATACTGGTAGAAGTGCTCCACAGACTAGGGATGTCGATTTTCATCGATGTTTAATAAACATCGATGTTCAGCTAGAAAACATCGATATTTTGTCATCGATGTTTTAACTGCGATGTCATCAGCTCATTGATGTTTTCTAGCCAAACATCGATGTTTATGAATTAAATATCAATATATTCTTAGGGTCCTCTAACGTGTTCTAAATGTACTAGGTAGATGATCTCGTATATCAAGTTCAACTGTTTTCCACTAGATGTCACCGGTTGCACACGAGTCCAGTTACGAAACTGGATTAACCAATCAAATAGTTTTATTCTTTCATTTTTTGTTTTTTCTTTAACTTTCTTCCAAGGAAGTTAAAAATAAATCTGTCGACTTCAGCACTCTTTGGCACCCTATAATTAACCGATAACTTACTTCAATTACTGTAACGATTTTATAGGTTATTTTGAGAATTAAAATAAATAAGTTGCCATTAAGAAGATTACGATACCAACTGCTTGCTGATTTTGTTTTGCATTGAAGGTATAAAGGTTCAATAAGATTATTTTTTTCGGTGTCGGGTAGCTTCACATATATGAGTATGACTTATGCAAAACTAATTAAAGTTCGTCTCACGAAAGAAGTCCCACGGATCACAATGTTTTCGTTTTTATTACAAAGGAATAAGAATTATGCACTGGGACTTCTTTCATGAAATTCTAACTAAATTTTTTTTATTACATATTTCAAAATAAGGATAATCTATTTTTGATTATCAACGATGTTGAAAGTAAAAAATCAATGTCTTAACATTGATGTTAACAAAATCAATAATCAATGTTAACTCACGGCCTCACGCAAGATCAATGCATTATTTAATATTTGATAATATTAATATCAATTTTAATTAATCGATATTACCAAAAACATCAAAATTTTGATATAAAGAAAACCGGATTTTTGTGTATGTAATACATACACATCTTGAAAAACATATTTTACATACATGTTTAGTAAATTTGGCTTATCTGACTCTTTATCAATAAGGAAATAGATTAAAAGGTTCTTCTTTATCAAAGTTAGTTTTCCTTCAATCAGTTCATATAAAATATTGGAATATGTAATGATTTGTTCTGTTTCTTAATAAATATCGAAAAATTCACTGTATTTTATTTCTTTGTAAATTATTACAAAAAATCATTTTCTGACTGATCCTTTCTTTTCATAACTTTTTTCATAGTATTTAAATTATGTATTTGTTAGACGAGCGCACTTGTGTTTTTTGTCTTCTTCTTCTTCTTCCTCTTCTTTTTTAATTAATGGCTTATCTGCGCATTTCGCACAATTCTGCCAATGTCAAGTGAATAAATAATTTTCTACATGTAAATGAAAATGAAATGAATGAAAGATGGCGAATTCGTGATTTTTGTCATCATGATTAATTGTTTATGTCATTATGCTCCTGTCAGTTCTATAGGAGCCACCTATGAAAGTCATATACTTTCATATGTTATGTATGCACTCGCATTAAGTATATAAAAATTAACATATTTTAACAAGAATTTGATTTCCAGTTTTCTTGATTGCCACCAAAAATATTAAAATAAAGAATACCTAAACTTCATCCTTACCACCAAAAGATCCATGAAAAGTAGAATCAGCTTGATTGATTCTTAAGTAGACCACGCTGTACAGAGTTGTATTAGGCTGTACACATGTGATTCTTTTGCTTTAAATAAAATAATAACAACAAACAACAGTTGGCAATACTGTCTTAAATTAAACATTCGTAGCGTGCGTTTGAGTTTTGTAGAGTTTTGGTTTTATTTATACCAAATTTGAGACGAACATTACAGTAAATGAGCACCTAATAATTTAAAGTTCAATTTGTATGAAATCAATGTAATAATCAGTACAAATAGTTGCATCTGAGTGTACAGCGCGTTCGAATTCGGTTTTAAAATGGCGTCAAGCGTTCTCGCTAGAATACGTCATAAATAGAAGCGATGCATGTGTGATAAAAATGGCTATTTATAGAGTCCTTGCAGTGCTAACGTTGCATTAGAGTTTATTAAAATGTCAAATACTGTTATTACCAACTATACGGACCTAAATGGACCTTCTACTAAGGCCGATAGTTCTGTTGTTGTTATTGTAAACAAGGATGGGTCCTTATCTGTTGATCAGAATCTACTTGGTACGCTAATGGGTAAGTGATATGTACCTGGTTACCACTAAATGATATTATAGTAATATATCAATTGACATATTTTCGTGTCTCATGTTGCATCATTATCATAACATTTTGACTTCAACATTTGTAGTAGGTTATCTATTATTCTCCAATATTTAAAAAAAAATGCAGAAACGTAGCATACCAATATATATTACATAAAATAATAACTTTTTACAATTATCGTAAATAATAACACGTGAAATATAAATGAAAAAAATTGGCGCGAAAAATATTTTTCTAAGAAAATATTCTTAGAAAAGTAGAACTCTATTCTAATTAAGTTAATTTAAGTGGCAGAAGCTATATAACATACTTTATACAGGTACCGATGGTTCTCAAGCTGCAGGAATTAGTGTTGTAAGGGTGGGTCATGAAGGTAGACCAGATGATGCTACAGATTCAGAATCAGAAGATGATAAAGTGCCTCATGTGACACTATCTGTTGATAGTTATTTTGATGAACCAAATAGCATTATTAAGTATGGTAAGTGTAAGTTATTCATAGTTTCCTTTTTTATGGAATCTCTTTTAGCAGTAAAATCTAAGATTAAACTGGTAACAATCTAGAATTAAACTGGTTCACATGAAAGTAACAATAATTATTGTTTATTTTAGACAGTGGAGCCGAGATGTTGCAGTCCTTAAGAATAGAAACGAGAGAGAACAGTTTGATTGGTTTCCAAAATGATCATTGCTATACACCATTCACTTCACCAAGTCAAACTTTACCACAAACAAATGTGAACTATACAACTTATGATGAGCCAGTTATTGAAATCACACATACGCCTCCACCGAAACCCGTTCCGAGTTCAAAGAAAATAACTATACTTGAACAGCAAATAATACCTAAAGGCAAAAAGATTTTAATTAATCAACCAGAATCACCAGTTATACTAAAAGGAAATGATGTGCTAAATAAACCATTGTCTGTATTACCAAAACCCAAAAAGAATGAAGGAGAGAAATCGGACAGTTTACTGAAGTCTGATGATACTACAGAATCTTCATCAATCAGTTCAGGTGATAGCATTCCAGACAGAGATTCCGATTCAGATTATAAAGATACTAAAGATAGAAGTGGTTCTTTAAAAGTAAAGAAACCAAAACTGAAACCAAGAATTTTGAAATCTACCAAAGGTGGTAAATTGGATACTAAAGTTGTCACAAGAGTAAAAAGCAGTAAGAATATATTGAAGAAAGAAATTAAAGAAAAACTTTTATCCAAAAATATTGGTGATAAGAAACAAACCAATGTAGATGTTGAAAGTCTAATTCCTATATCAGAAATACCTACAGTTACACCTGTTGTTAGTGAACAGAATAAAAATGTTATTAAACCTACTCAAAAGCCAGTTAAAAAAGAAAGAAAAACACCAGCTCATGTTACAGCATTGCTGTCAGATATGACATCATTATTTTCTACACCAGATGTTATTAGAAGAGTATCTACTGATAATAAGCCACCACTAAAATCAGATGCTAAAGAGCAGTTGACTATTGATAAGAAAATTTCTAGTGAAGTAAGGGCATCTAATAACATGAAACCAGTACTAGACGACAACATAGAAAAATCTAAGAACTCCACTATTTCACCTAAAACATATATAAAACAAAAAGAGAAGATATCCACTGATAAAGTAACAAAGGGTTATGACCTTGCCTCAACAATTCCCCAACTTGATGAAGCATGTTTGGCACAAATATTACAAGATACCTCAGGTATTACTAATCCAGTGAAAATTCAACCTACTATTTCAACAGTGAACAATATGAATAGCCCAGGTTTAACAGGGCCATTATCGCCAACATTAGATTTACTTGGTGGCTTACAACCTGAAGAAGAGGGATTGACAGAAGATTTGTTGATGCATGTAGCTCAATTGGTAGAAAGCTCTGAAAACTTGCAAGAAGTTATAGACAAACAAGTCTTGGGTAAAGTTGATTCAACACACACAAAACCACACATGCAACCAGCTTATCAACAGACACCAGGTAATAATTTGTATGCTCAAACTCTAACTAAATCAGCCCAAAAGTCCACAACACGTAAAGATCCCATAGAAATAGTACGGCGTGATGGTCGGGTTATCACACTACCACCTATAGAAGCACCAGCAACAAGATCATCTAAACGCAAGATTCAGATGGAATCTGGAAATACTGCAGAAGTTATACCGTCGCCATTGCCTACCCCAACCCAACCAACAGCTGTAACTCCAGAACCCCAAGTACTGGCAGTTTCTAAGCAATATACAAATAAGAAATTACCCAATAAAAAACTAGAACCAACAATACCATCACCCATTGTTGATAAGTCAGCTGAATCTCAAGAAAGCTGGAATTCAGAAGATGATCCTTACAGGTGATTATGAAAAATCTTTTTATATTAGCTTTTTTAATATCACTAGTCATTAAGTACATACATTATTTTTTTAACTACAAATTTCTTTTGTCTATGATTAAAAATTTAAAAATAATAAAAAAGAATTGACATTTAAATGTCAAATTAAATGTTATTCATGAAAACCCAAAGTATTGTACTGTTTATAGTTAATTAATATATGTTTTTAATTATTTTATGTTGTGCTCAGTTAATGTTAAATGTTTAGCTTTAATAATATTACTTGTAATTGGTAAATTCTGTTTTGATAATATATAGCAGATGCATGTCTGTCACTATAAAATTAGTTGATCCATAAGGAAGTTAATACAGACAAAACAGGCACCTGGTGTTGAGTTGAGAGTTGACAAGAAGTGGAAAACCATGTTAATGTGTAAAAAGTGGATAAAAGTAATTAATATGTATTAAATATTCTCAGGTTATGGTGTATCTGCAGACAACCACATAATAATCGCTTTATGATATGCTGTGATGGTTGTGAGGATTGGTTCCATGGTAAATGTGTTAATATTACTAAAGCCATGGGTCAGCAAATGGAAGAACAAGGTATAGAATGGCGATGTCCTAATTGTATCAAAAAGACAAAGGGTTCACCCAAGACTCTTAAGGTAAATATTCTAAACACTATTCTTATAGTGAGCAATAACACCATACACTGATAGTATAAGGTGTAATTATTAATTATAACCTAGAACATAAGTTGAGAAAAGTAAATGGTATTTTCTACAAAGGTGGGCTTATCCAGGTCTCTATCTACAACTTTTTCAACCCTTATGACGCCCTTATGTATATTTTTATTACAATATTTTTACAATATGGGTGTAGACAGTAAATGAAAATAAATGCCTATTTTTTTCGGGTAGTTGTTATATAATTTTGCTTATACTAATGATGAAAAAAACAAATATTTTATGCTTGTTGTACGCAAACAGCGTCACGCTCTTCTTAATCATATCAGAAGTTTAAGAATTCACCCTTATGCATACACAGAACGATATTCGTTTCAGAGTGCTGTGATGTCATAGTGACGCCATGACAGAAGTGGCGATTTAGCGGGAAATTTTAATAATTAAATTTATTTTCAGATTTTAACTTACAAATGATATATATTTAGATATATATGTGAAATAAAAATATAAAAAAAACTTTGTCTACAACCCTACTGTATAATTTAATTTAGGGACTTTAAAATGATCGTAAAATCGTAGTTATGAGTTTATTTTAAAAGACATTTTGACACGCGCTCGGCGCAAGTATTCCCCACTCGCCTCTCTAGATCTCACTAGATCTAGGCCTGGGCTTATCTCAAGAGTTTTTGTGTGGTTATTGTTTGTAATTGATTTTTTAGAGGATTACTTTACGAAGATGTAACAAATAAATTTATGGAACTTGTGTTTTCATGTCCTTTACAGGCTACACCTGCACAAAAGAAAATTGAATCTGATACAGTAAGTACACCTCAGCTTGTTACAAAGGATGAGACTTCTAAAACCAATTGTATAGTATGCAAGAAATCAGCTCGGGCCTCTAGTATATACTGTAGTGATGCCTGCATTTTGAAACATGCTCAAGACTCTTTGGGCAGCCAAACACCGAATAAACAAGAGGGAGAGTCTGGTAAAACATCAGACAAGCAAAAGTCTGATTCCAGGGTATGTTCTATTTGAGAAATGTGCTTGCAACACTATCTCTTGCATGTTCAATTACTATTACTGCAGTTTTCATCGAGTTGAGTTGAAGGCACAAAAAATGCTTTTATTAACACAATAAACTTAGCTCTGAATTGAATTGAAAATTAAAAGGTAAAACGCTTCAATTGACTTCTTAGTTGTAATATCTCGTTTTTTTTACAGGTAATTGTGTATGAAAGAAAATCGGGGAGATTATTGGCTGGACCAAATGCTCCTACTGCTGAAAATCTGAAAGCCTGGTTACAAAAAAATCCAACATTTGAAGTAGTGCGTCCTGGTACACTTAGCACCATCAAACCTAATTTACCAACTAAGAAGAAGTCATTGAATGAACCTAACAAAATTCAAACTACTCTGAGCTTTGAAAAAATACCTCGGAAATCTGTTGAGCAACCTACTTCTAGCAAGACTACAACAGCAGAAATAAAACCGAAACCTCAACCACAAGAAGGGAAAATACTAAAGACTCCACCTGTAACAAAAACAAAACTAATACCAGATGTAAAAATGAAGCCTAGCCAATTGCCAGAGCTTAAAATTAAAAATCAACCAGAGAAAACAAAAGTCTTGCAATCACCTAAAGAAGAAAAGATAATGCCACAGCCGAAAACTCCTATATCAACAAGATCCAACCCACTCCAGTGTCCAGATTCACCAAAGCCAAGCACATCCACACCCAGAGGTGTGAATGAACCTCGAAAGTTAGTTCGTTCTGCTAACAGAACACCTTCAGCCTATGAAAAAGTAAGTAACAAATCAAATGGTCAATGTCAAACATTATTAAATAAGACCATATATACCTTACTTAAATTTGATATTAAAATAGGAAGTTCAGTTTGTTACTGGTAATAATTCAAAACACTCGCATGCTATTTATTATGGAAAAATTGTTTACTAAAAGTCTTATAGCACCAGTGACCTTGGATGTTGTTTGATCTTTGATTAGTCGCTTGCAGTTAAGTTTATGTTAATCAATTGTTTGATAGGCTCCTTCAGTTTCGCCTTCAACGTCGCGTCGAAAAGATTCACTAGATTCAAGTAAGATCAGAATGGATCCTACTGAAACAATACGTGACAATGTAAGAAAAGCGTTACAAGAGCAATTGAGTCAACGCATGACCGAAAACAAAAGCTCCAAGTTTTCTGAAGCAGAAATACAGCAGTTTTCTATTGACACTGAACATGAGCTTCACGAACTTTTCCGCGACGTCGGCATGAAATATAAAGCGAAATATAGATCACTGATGTTTAATATCAAAGACAGGAAAAATCTTTCACTCTGGCAAAAAATTTGTGATCGTACTATCACACCTAAACAGCTGGTAAGTTGGTTTTTTACAAATAAGATTAAGATGTGTAACCTATTTCTAAATTTAAAACTGAATCTTACCCTCATATTTCAGGTTCGACTTTCTCCAGAAGAACTTGCAAGCCAAGAATTAGCTCAATGGCGAGATAAGGAAGTTAAACATCAACTGGAATTAATTAAAAAATCTGAATTAGATATGTTAGCAGCGAGCAAAACATATGTTCTCAAGACACATAAAGGTGAAGAGGTAAGCAATGATAAAAATGCTAATTTTACTTTTAATTAAGACTCGATCTGTATATTTGTTTCTCATAATGAAATTGTTTATTAATACTTATGTAACAGGTGATGGAAACAAAAGAATCCGTTTCTACGGAACTAGATCCAAATGTACCAGTTGAAGATTTGGTGACCGCCTTGAATGATTCCACAGTCGGTGAAGACAATAAGGATGCTAATTTAGAAGAACAGTGAGTATTAGAATATTCTCAAAAAATATTGTATAATTTGATTGGCATTGTTCTATTAATGTAACTTATCCATAACCAGCTTATCATTTCTATAAATTTGCTTGTTGTTAATATAAATATTTTTTTCAGTAAAAGCAAAAGCGACAATACAGATAAAAAACATGGCAGTAGTCGCAAGAGAACAAGGGAAGACAACAGTTCAGTATATTCTAAAAAAGGGAGACGTGATTCTAAACGGGATAATGAGAGTAGAAGATCGCGATCTTCCAGACGAAAATCTGATATGAAGGAAAAAGAATCTAAGGAGGAAAGATCATCTCGAAGACAAAGTAGAAAATCAAGTAGAGTAAAATCAGTATCGAGGGAGCGATCTAGAGAGGCGTCTAAAGAAAAAACACAAGAGCATTCTCGTTATAGGTCAAGGTCAAGAGCGAAATCGAAGAGACGTTCAAAATCGAGAGAACATTCGAGATCTACTTCTCATAGTCGTGACAGATCACACTCCAGAGCACGGTCGCGGCATCGATCAACATCCATAGATAAATCAAAATCGAAAAAGAGATCACGCTCTAAAGTTCGATCCAGTACGGAAGATAAGCACAAACATAGATCTAAATCACAGGATAATGTTTATAGTAAAAATAAAAATGAGTGAGTTAAAAACTTTTCATGAATTTTTAATAAGTTTGACAAACAGATTATGAATATTATTTCATACAAATGACAGATTTTTCAATAGCTATAATTGCGTTTTAACTATAATAATTTGTTTCAGCTCCACTGACTCTGATTCTATTGAGAGGCCAAAGTCAGCAATGTTAAAAGAAGTACATCCAGAATATGATCCGCATGAACCAATGATAACGTCAGCATTTTCAGAAGAAGATCTAAGAAAATCTAGAGAAGATGTTTATGAAGACAATAAAAATGACATCGGAGAATATGGGAATAGTGATGATTATGATGCCTCTAAATCGTTCATGATTGATGCTAACATTATACCATCTCCAAAATATGTAGAAAATCAAGACAAATCTTCAGGTAAATAATTAAGTTACCTATATGTAAATTCTATTACTGTTTTCTAGCATTAGAACTGTTCCATATACACATTTTAAATTAATACTGTACTGTATGAATTTAATAAAACTCGCTAATAGAATTCATAACACAATTTATATGTTTGCAATGTTTATATTTTAGCTGAACCTGAGAGTGATCAAGAGCCAAGTAGTACAGTGGATAATTCTGCGGCAATAATATGGAATGGTTGCATTAACATGGTTGATGTTGCGAGATTTTATGTGGCTGCACATGAGGTATACTACATTGACATACAATACTAATATATCCATAGTTACTAACATTATAAATAAGAAAGTATGTTTCTTTGTTCATCTTTTATGTTACAACAGAACATTTTTATGTTATATTATGTAGAAATAGTCCAGAGCGTGTACAGTGACATAGAAAACTCTTTACAGCAAAAATGAGCTAAACTGTGGATAACAGCTTGTACCCACATTCACTTACGAAATACGAAATTTTACTCTTTTAGGTATCAGGAAGTGCTTCAGATTTGGAAGAAGATTTAAGTCCAGAACTCGATATCGTTGGAAGAATAAACCCTGACACTGTATGGGATTACATTACGAAAATGAAGAGGGCGGGCAATAAAGATATTGTTATCTTGCGATTACAGGCAGCAAATGATGAAGAGAAAATGCAATATATAGCATTGTACAGTTATCTAAGTAGTCGTAATAGGTTCGTGTACATTTCGATTTCGACAAAATATAATATGATGGAGTTATCCATATTACTTACTTGTGTTTCTAATTTTTTTATTACATAAACTTTTATTTCAATCATTAATTGAAATATATTCGACGACTGTATTAATTGAGTAATGACGAATTTTAGGTTAGGTGTGGTGAAAGTATCGAACACAACGTCCGTGAAAGATTTCTACATAGTTCCATTACCAGCGAATACCGCCCTGCCATCGGTTCTATCTCCACTCGATGGGCCAGGACTTGGAGAAGTCAAAACTCACCTTTTGATTGCTATTGTCATACGTCAGAGAAAAAAACGTATGGCACCACACATTCCCAAAGACATAATACCAGAAAAGGTAAGTCACATGTGAAAATAGTAAGAAAACCTTATTACTTATCTATGTACTAGTCTATCACGGTTTAAAATAATGTTTAGTTGATAATTTTGTACATAATAAAATTTTAAATAGTTTTATGTTCTTTTTTTTTGTATTTATTTGGGGTACGAGCAATTTTTTTTTATTTCTTTAAAATAATATTGACCGCTATCCCTTCAATGTGAATGGACGTAGAGTAAACGCTTATGAAATAATCTTTAAGATTATTTCCATAATATATTCCATAAATTATGCTCGGTAAACACAAATGTTTGGCCAGGTTTACTTTGCTATATTATGTAGGGTATGTGCTCTTTAGCAAAAAAGGCATGCTTGCACTAATAGTGCTAAATAACTAATATAATATTTGCTTTACCTAAGTACTTACCGCTGTCTATCTATTGGTCACGCCAAATTTTAGTGTAGACAGAGAATCTAGCGCCACAAACCACGGACACATTTTTGTAGCTTCTTTACTAATCCTACCCCATTTCATTATTCATACATAGCTAATTCCAGCTTAAAACTGATAAACCGTATAAAGGTTAATTTATAAATATTTACTATGCATGACGCCTTTAGGCTCTAATGAATGTCAAATTTGTATGGGTAATGTCGCTTTAAACTAATGGCACTTTTAATAGACGTTTGTGCAACTGGCGGATTATCTCGTAGAAAAGTATATTAAAAAGTTAATCGCCTCGAGCGTCCGAATTGGGAAAGGTTTCGCCTGTTTAAAATAACTCACCGGAACATTGAAAAAGTACGCCCATTAGCAGGGAAAGTAATTCAAGTAGGAATACCTATTTGAAACATTCTCAAGTCTTGTTAAAGTCTCAGCATTTAACTCAATTTGACGACTTCTGAGTCTCGCACGCCGTTTTCGATCTCTGATGACTGCTGTTGTCTAATGTTTGATCGGCAGAGCAGTTGCTCGGTTAGTTTTTTCTTATTCACCGCTCCCTACCTTTAATCTGTTGTCCAGTAACTTCTCATTCATAAAAGATCTTCATTAATTCCTTTCGAACTTTTAGTCTGCATACTACACGTTCATACTCTTTTACACGAGTTAATGAGGTGTTCTCGCCTTTTCCTACTTGTTAGCGAAATCCCATCTCGGGCACGTGAGACGGTTGAACATTTTAAGGATTATTGTATGATAAGCTATACCTATGTATTTATGTTGTATAAGATGTGTGAAGCATTCGATGGGATATTCAAAATTTACTATCTCAAGCTCCCCCTATTTCGGAAGGCACGTTAAGCCTTTGAACCCGGTTGCGTCTGTAGTCGTTAATAACTTACTATTCCACACTGGACCCGCGTGGTGGGTTTGAATTTACCTACTTGATTTCATCTATATCTATAGGAAAGGCATATACCCCAGCATACGTGACATATTATCATAACATTATAATAATGTGCGTTTATACAATGTGTATATGGGATTTATTTATATATTACTATTTGATATAATTTGTAAATATATATTACTATCATATTGTAAGTAATAATGATTCTTTTAGACACCATAGACTTCCCAATTATAATTTAGTTTGCTCTTTCTGTACCGGTTGGCCAAGTCTAAGCAATAAGGCCAATTGAGATTGTAAGATTTAATGTACGTAAACTAATTGTTGACCGAACGGTTAACAATAAATAATATTTAATTCATAACGTGTGTTAACATGTTAGGTGGCTCGGTTTTCGCGTAAGCGTTCGTATACACCGCCGGCGGCGGGCAGTAAGGGCACTTACACACCGCCGATGTCGCCGCGACGACGTGCCCTTCCGCTGCCCGCGTACACATCGCCCGCCCTCTCCACATCTGTCAAAGACAAGATCGCAGCCACGTTAGGTAAGCTATTCATTATCGCTACTCGACAATGGCTTACAATTAACGAAGGAAATTGGAATTTGCGATAATTTTGATTTCATTCAAAGGAATTGGCTATTTGACAGTTACCTATGCAGTATTTTTTGTTTTAATATAAATTGTAAGTAGGTTTATTTCTGCGAAATTAACTTGCGATTTGTAATTTGTGTAAGAATCGAAACTCGGGCGTATATGACAAAGCATCACTTTTCAATAAACTAAACGTTTGTTGCGAATGGTACTCACATTTCTTGAAATGTGTCGTCACGAGTCGAAATGTCCCATGACTGATGTAATACGCGGGGCAATTGAAATTAATATGTTTTTCCTAAATTTAACAATAGCTTTTGGAGAAAAATAAATTGGTAGTGTTTAAATACGATCGTATGAAAGTTTTAAAATGTAAAACAGTCAAGTAGCCAATTCAACAGGAAATAGACTTTAAGGCAATGTTTTAACCATACATCAAGTCGCCTGTGTGCTACAGTTGTCGGTGAAACCAAACTTTATTTTCCTTCATAATGTGCTGACAATACGCCAGTAAGATGCACAAAACAATCTGCATTAATAGGTTTATACATCATGACGGCAGAACTTCAACCCTGTAATCGTTGTACAGTAATTAATTTGTCATTTAAATTTGACCATTAAATCGTACGTCATATAATTAAAACACTTCATAACGTCAATATACAAAAACTTTAATTGTTAACTTCTATTGCCAATGGCTTCTCTGAAATATATATGACATATGATTTAAAGCTCACATTTAAATTTGTCGTGTAAGTGTGCTGCGTCCTTATTGATGTATAAGAACATAATACACTTACACTACAAATTTAAATAAAGCTGCAACTCAATTATAAGTTACTATGTCCAGCAACATACCCTACTGCAAAATTCGCCGTAGTGTCCGCAAATGCATAGGATAATAACGATTACGACCTCAGTAGTCGAATGGTTAGCGCGTCGGTTTCAAAGTGTCACCATCTGCGAGGTCCCGGCGTTCGATTTCGATTGTAAAAAACGGACTTTTGTATATGATCTCGGGTCTGGGTGTTGTGGTATTTTTTTTTGTCTCAGATAGTCCATTATACGGAGGCTTTAGCTACTCATTTTGGAAGCTGAGCAACGTGATGTTGGCTAATAATAATAAAATAACTTATATTATTTATATCTTCATATGTAAAATTTTAGCTGCTGCAGATGAAGATGAGGCTTACAGCCCGGGCTCGTCTAGTAGCGGCGGCAGTGTCCCGACTGCGGTTACACAGCCTGCCTCAAACACCTTACGCTCCAAAATGGAAGAACTTAACAGGCAAATTGAGGAGCAGAAACAGCAAATATTAAAAATGGCACAAGCTGATTCGTCGGCAGGGGCAGAGGTGAGAAAAAGATTTAGGATTAGGATGTTTTTTTTTTTGTTTCATTGTTGCATGAGATATATTTTATTTGGATTAGGATGATAATATAACTTGAGATGAATTATTTAATTTTTTATTGTTTTAAAAATGTTTACTAACAAATTTTGTTCTAAAATCTATTTATAATCGAAAGTTTCATAAATAATTTACTGCCATCCAGTGACGGACTAACTTTTTAACTTTATTATATGATTATGATTTTGACGGATGGCTCAACCTTTCACCATATGGTCACTTTGATTTAAAATGTGTTGTACCTTTTATTTTAAATTTAATTTGTTTTTTAACATAAAAAAAAAACTGTTACAGAATTTAAAATGCAGTTTCACAAAATTAAGACAAAATTTTATCTAGTTTGTGAAACAGAATTATTGCCAATAACAAATTCATTGAAGAGATGACTTGAATGAGAAATTTTTACCGACTTATATTTGAACCAACTTGGATTTGTTTTCTTACAGGATGAAGCTTATTCGCCGTCTCGCCCAATGACTCCGCCTCCAGTGGTACCGTTGGCTGATATTGCTTTACCTTCTAATCTGCAGGAGATACTTGCCACTATAAAACAGAGGTCTGAACCAACACCAGATGTCGACATGCGTGGTTTGCCATTGCCTCCATAGTTGTAATATAATGTGTAGAAATAACTAATATATGAAATAAGCACAATATTATTTTCTTTATGATTCATTCTTCCCTTTATTTCTATATTGATGTTGTATGTAAATATTTTTATAGTACAGACTATTTATCATATCAATAGATTTCTTCCGCCACGAAACAGAACTCGTATGATCTCGTTATTTCATCTTGTTCAAAATCAATGTATAGACATTTGTGCATTTTTGCAATCGCAGTTTTTGTGTATTATCTACTAAAGTAGAATGAAATTGTCAAATGTTGTATTTAGTTTTAAGACCTTATTTTAACTTATTGTTAGGTGGGCTATAATCATAAGTATGACACATATGTAAATGTGCTAAGCATACATTATGTGCAATAGGATAATGCCATGAATGATGACAAATTCTGAAATGTAGTATCGATATGTTTAATGTATATAAGTAGATATATGTTTGTTTACATAATTCGATATGTTGGAAAGTGGTGAACAAAATTTAATTTTTAGCAATTTTAACTACTTATCTAGTACATTATTGAGATAGATGTATTTTATCTTCTTTTGGCATGAAACAAAAAAGTTATAATGAAATAAAGACAATGTTTAATTCAAGATTTTTATTGTTATATTCTGTCATCATCAAAAAGGGATCTCCTAATTTTTGGTTTTTGAGGAAATTTGTCCTTCATTGAATATGATTTGGTCTGTTTTATGAAGCTTCCAAAAACCTCTCCTTTTAATTTTTTATTCTTGATCCTATTTTGCATCGCCATTATTTTAGTCTCCATCAGTTTTCTTCTGGGAATATGTCTTAATGCAAACTCCCAATCGCTAGTCAATCTTAAATCTGCTAGTATAGGAATCATATGATTAATATTTAGATTCTTTTTAGCGCCTGGTGCCCATTCTAAAAATCTGTCGATAGGCAATTTCGCCATTTTTATTCCATCTTTTTTAGCCTTAGCTAGTGAAAATGGTTCATTATTGACCTAAAATAGAAAATAATGTAAACATTTACATAGTAATTCACTAAAGTGATACTGTGCCATACCAATACTCACAGAAGCAACTGTTCACAGAAGGCTCATGTTTCAACTGTATTTACTTAATTAATTGAAAATATAGTGACAAACTGTATCATATAGTTTTGCATACTCATAATACCAAAAGATTATCTTTCTCTTACAGCATATCTTTTGCACAGTAGATAAAAATTTAAATTTTTTGAATTCTCATTAATTGAAGAAACCCAGGAAATTAATTTCCCAATGTCTATTTCATCATGAACTGAATGAATATCTTTTATGTTACAAAAAGAATAATAATATTAAAATCCAATGTGGCAATGTCACCTGAATGAAATTAAAAATAATTTACTCAGGAATTCACATACATACCTTATCAACCATACATCCAACTATGTAGATAGCATCATAGTCAAAAGTAGTCAATTCTTCACGACAATGAGGTGTGAGATATACTAATTTGTTTCTTGGAAATAATTCTAGGTAACTCTTAGTGTGAATATTCAAAGGAAACCATGGCTCCTCTATTGAAGGAATATTTTTTTCTAACTGTTTCATAAATTCTCCTTTAAGATTGACATTACACATATGAATATCAAAGGGGTCTTTGTGTATTCTATTATCTGCAAACACAAATGTCATCTGTTTCGCAGCATTTAATATTTCACGATATATCATATGTTCTTCATAGGAACAATCAATGACTACTTTTTGACCATACTGAATTGCTTGTAATGTCCTAAAATGAAGATAAGTTAGGGTAAATCATGTAGTATTAGATATTCTATTATTTTCTTCATTATTGTCTTTGAAAATAGACAAGTATATAATCAATTATTATTGGATATTAATAATAATTGGTGATTTGTACCTGTAGTTGTCTAAGTTATTTATAGACTGATCACGAATTCTTAGGAATAAACTTTGATGTTTTAAGCCATATATAAGGTCATCAGGGTATTCTTTGTTTTCTTCAGGTATAAATGCTTCCATCTCTTTCCTTTTAGCTTCTTTTTTTAACTGTGTTAAAAACCAAAATTATATTTTTCGAAAAACAATGCGACAAATTATTTTACTCTAATAATATATTAATATCTTGAAATTCTACATATTAAATGTGGGATCGGCAGAATAAAACAGGAGGATTAAAGCAAATTATTGTTTATTTTAACTTTTTAATAAAAATAAGCACATGCACACCATATTTTCAATCAAATCATTCTTCTCACTCGAGCTCCTTCCATACTTTATTTTAAATTATTTTCTATCTCTTTCACTCCTCACGCATACACTCAACCTACTATTTCTTTCATACTAACCAACCATTCCGTTTCCCACATAAATGAAATAAAATATTAATGATTTAATTAATGGCCACTTGTGTATAAAAAATGAATGTACTGTGCATGGAGACCAATGGGTTAATGAAGTAGAAGATGACAAAACTAAGTTTACACACATGAAACATGCAATAAACATAAAATATACATTCATTGACTTGATAGGCAGAGCAAAAATAACTACATTTGATTGGCATATGAATCAATAAATAAATAGGAAAACTAAGTTAAGTACTATGATATACCAGATGTAGATTTTTTTAGTAATAAAAATATATATTCGTACCTTTTGATTTTCCCTAGATTTTTCAGTTTTCCATAAATATAAAAGATAGTTGTTACGTTGATTTCTAGTTGTTAATGACATTAAATGTTGCCACTGATCACCGTTCAGATGATTGGGTGCACAACGGCCATCCTGTCTCATAACTTCTACTTCAAGCATAAGAATTCGTAATTTTTTCTCCATTTCTGTATCATTATTACAAATTTTTTCAATTAATTGATCTGAAATGTATGTCATACAATTTGAAAGGTCAGTTAAAAAAGTTCAATTTATAGGAACATGTATAAGTATAGATAAAAAAAAATATTGTTAAATATTTATCTACGTTATACAACCTCTTATTGAACTTTTATAAAATAGGTTTTAATAGAATTATAAAAATAAAGTAAGATAGTATAAGAACTGTACCATACAATAGTTTGTCGTTTTCTATGTTACAAATCAAATTCATTATCATTTATTCAGTCTAGGCTGTTACGTACTTGTGAATGTTGAAAACTATATATTGTATTGTATTATTGAGAAGAATCGGCAAGAAACCGAGCGAGAACTGATTTTTCCTCCCTGTTTTATTTCATAGTTCTCTGTATGAAATGAAACAGGGAGAGACTTTTGTCTAATTGAAAGGCGACTTCATTAGACTATCAAATCACTTATGCTATTTAATAGAAATAAAGATTACCTGAGTCATCTTCTGTTTTGGTAATACTTCCAAAAGGTCTAAACAAGTTGATAATATCCCTTTTAGATTTATTTATACTCCGAAAGGTCACTTGGTTGCGGTTTTTAACCATAAGACTTAATACGGATTTAAAACAATACATTATGAAGTTAATCTATTGCTTTGATTATAAGTATATAATCAAAGTTCTATTGTTATAGAAAATTACATTTATTTTTTATGAATCTTAGCACATAAATTATATATAAATCAGGTTAGGGTTAGAATAAACAAAATTCAAACTTTACTAGTTCGCAAACTGTATCATATTTGCAGTAGAGTTCAAATTCGACAGCAGCGATTTGACATGTTGTAGAAACAGCATTGTCCGCACCGCAAGAGGGTAAAGGTTTTTAAAAATATCGATTTGTATATCGATATTTTTTAAGATTTTAAAACAGAGAATTATCTTTATCGAAATCCGGTGGGCATGTCTGCGGTCTTGCATGCCCGTCTAGTGAATTCCCCGCTTAACTAGTATGACCCTAAAAGTCATAATATACCAGCCAAATCGTCAGGGAGCAAGGCCGCCTGTCACCCTTAATAGGGTCTCTAACTCCCTGTTCTGTATTTTATTATGGTATCCTAGTCTATACTATGGAAGACTAGGTTGTATTAATTTAGATCTCTTTGCGATAAATGAAATTCTACTATATAAGAGTCATACAAAGTGACACCTTAAGATCGAAATGAGGAAAAAAATGTTAGTTCCCGCAATCAAACTAGATGTCGCTGTAGTACGTTCTTGATTTCCCCATGACAACCTTTCCGTTTTTTTTTCATATTTAAAAGTAAATTAGTTTTCAAAAATCAATAAACAACTCACATTCTATTTGTACTTTTCGTATTTGTATTGATATCTAAGTTTCGAACTTTTCAAATTTCAGTTTTTAAATATGTTACTTAAAAGGATTTCCGTTCCTTGTCTGTCTTTGGTCCATTCGTTTCCTGCGAAAATCTAGTGGAGGTACTTTTTTAGTTTTATTTTTTTAAATACTTCCTCATTGATTTGTCCAACCACCACATCCTATTTTTAAATAAAAACTGATGTTTTCATAGGCATTAGTCTGTCTAAATAGATAGAAATTGTGTCACGTAAAATTCTGACAAATAAAATACTAAATCTTGAACACATTTTTTATTTTTAGTAACTTTCGCATAGCCAAATAAAAACAAATCAAATAAACAATTGGAAAATTCAAGACTAACGGAGGGATAATGCCATATTTTTTATCAAATTTAATGTATTTTGATAATATAATAAGATTGCTTATTTGAATCGATCCTCGATTTTTGTGAACCGAAAAAGGAAAACAGATCGAGCGTACGGCACATACGTACATTCAATTTGATTTGTGACCGATATCGACAGATTGTGTAATTTCATGAGTAAACAATTGCGAACAATTGAGACATTGCATCGCAGACTTAGTAGGTATCATTGCATGATCAGACAGATCATGCATCGATTCAAAAATCGATGTAGAATTCCAAATCAATATGATTTTTTTACTTTAAATAATCGATTATTCGATTTCATTAAAACCTTTTAATTCATTTCATTTTCCTTTTACATGTAGAAATTATTTATTTCACTTAACCTTGGCAAAATTGTGTGAAATGCGCAGATAAGCCATTAATAAAAGAAGAAGAAGATTAGAAAAAAGAGCAAGGAACGTAGGGATGGGCAAATGGGAAAAATGACGATATATATCATATCGTTATTTTTCAGATGTATCGATAATATTGTCAAAAATATATCGATAACTAGATATTTTCTGCGTAATTAGCGATTATCTATAAACATTGTCAAAAAGAAATTGAACAAAATATAATCAATATAAAAAATAAACATACTAGGGATTGTATGGCGATAGAAACCTTGAAAGCATATCGATATCGAGAATCTCATGTTTCGATATTATGGAAGGCACCGATGATTGTCCGTTATAGGACAGACCACCGTTGTATGGGTTAATTCTTATCTGTAAAACTATATAATCTGTGGAAATAATACGGGAAGGACTAAGGCGCTTATTACACTACCCAATCTATCGGGCCCGATCCATCGGGTACACTGTAAATTGGGTAGTCTAATCGCAGTTAGAGAGTAAGGGTCCCGATATCGGGTGAACGTGGGCGCCCGATCGCCCGATGAGAGTTAGGGCCGATTTATTGGGTAATGTGATCGCTGTTAGGGTGTTAGAGCGCTCAGTCGGTTGTTGCCAGTTGTTGCGCAGCGTGCGTGTGAGACGTCAGTGAACGACAACGAAAGGGTTTAGCCGGATACGTATGACGAGTCGGCCCCCAAATGGGAATCGATATTGAAACTTATGTTTTAATATAGACTTGATGTTCAAACACGATTTATGTACTTTTCGCGACCGACTTCCGCTTTGACCTTGAGATAGAGAGCAAAATATCCGTATGCTTGACTATTACTGAATGTGATATATCTTTGAAGCTAATTAAGATAAAGAAGTGAAACTAACGCGAGGTGTTAGGTTACATTACAGAGTATATCACATATATTTTTTTATAATTTTTAGAATAAAAAATTACATTAAAAAAATATAAAAAAAAAACATGTTTTTTTTCTGAGTTGTCTGTGACTTACAATCACGAAATTAATATATGTTATGCTCCTTTGTGTGCTCTATTACCCATAAAAATTGCGTGAAAAAAAAGTTGGTGCAACACAACGAAAAAAAATTATATGTGATTCGCGCCTTGTAGTGTGAGTGTATAAACAAACAAGTTCGAACTTGTTATCGAGCTGTTTACTGCATCGTTTGTTTAGCTAAAGTAGCAGTCATTTGTATTACACAAGAAGGCAGTTTGGGACTCAAATTCTGTCATAGGTATTTTGTATCAGCATTTTGAAATTATTAACTATCGAACCAAATCATTATTAAGTAATAATGTCGTGAAAGTGTAAAAATTGTAACAACTAACTGTGTAAGATTCCTGGTTATAAAAAAATTATAAAGAATGAAGAAGAAGCTAAAGTGTTTAGTGACTGTTTGAATAAAATCGTAATAGTTAATGATATTTTTTGTAAGAAGTGTCGACTTATCCCATATATTAACAAAAAAGCTTCTACTTCTAAATGTGCAGCATTTAACTTGGCCGAAATAATGGACGATCAAAATAATCTCTCAGTACAATATGTGAAATCAGCACCTAATATCATCAAAGCAGAAGCAAAATCAAGACACATAAATAGAAAAGTCTATCGAATTTACATTCACTATATTTCCGAAGGTAATGACTACAATAGTATTCTTCGTTATTGCTGTGATTGCCCCAATGGCGAACGTACAGTGGGATGCTGTTCTCATGTAGCAGCTATTATTTATTATCTATCATATGGACGATATTTGTCCAAAATCGTACGTCCTGATGAGGTCCTAACTAAGTTATTTGCGACTCAAAGTGTTCCGATTGTAATTAATTACAATAGTGACGATGATTAATATTTTGTTTCTTGTATTTTGATAGACACGAAAAAGTAATAATAATAAGTATTGAATACTGGCTGTTTTTTGTTTTTCATTTCTTTTATAACTATTATCCCATCTCTTAAGACTAGTTACTTATGTTTTAAAACAAGCTGATGTGAAATTTCGAAAAAAAAAACAATGATGTAATGTGAAAACCTTATAATACAGGGGTATACCATAAGACAGAAATCACATATAATTTTTTTTCGTTGTGTTGCACCAACTTTTTTTTTCACGCAATTTTTATGGGTAATAGAGCACACAAAGGAGCATAACATATATTAATTTCGTGATTGTAAGTCACAGAGAACTCAGAAAAAAAACATGATTTATTTTTATTTTTATTTTGGTAATGTAATTTTTTATTCTAAAAATTATAAAAAAATATATGTGATATACTCTGTAATGTAAGCTAACACCTCGCGTTAGTTTCACTTCTTTATCTTAATTAGCTTAAGAGATATATCACATTCAGTAATAGTCAAGCATACGGATATTTTGCTCTCTATCTCAAGGTCAAAGCGGAAGTCGGTCGCGAAAAGTACATAAATCGTGTTTGAACATCAAGTCTATATTAAAACATAAGTTTCAATATCGATACCCATTTGGGGGCCGACTCGTCATACGTATCCGGCTAAACCCTTTGCGAACAGACAAAAATGTCTTCTCAAAAGGAAAATAAATAATATAAAGTGTAATTTAATATTATTACTTTTTCTTATATATATATATCAATATGATATAATGTTTTAAACATTTCTAGATAGCCTTTGCATGTCTCTGGTACAATTATAAATTTTATATAAATTACAATAATAAAAACTAATGCTATAATAAACTTTATATTATTGTTGTGCCCGATAGGGTCCATAGTGAGACTATCTTAATTATGTAATATTATTTTAAATTACCTATGGAAACAATAAACTTATTGAGTATTTATACTTTAAGTCATGAATTCATGATATGCATTTCCCGTTGCAAAAAAATTTAAGGTTACAGCACAGCTAACCGCTGTTTTGCGCTCATTTTGTAGTAGTTCAAACTGCATAGTTGGTCATTTAGAAGCAAATATTTTTCACCCAACATTTTGTTTTATTATTTACGCCCGCAGTACTTTGTGAGCGAAGGAGCCATCCTTTCAACGCCACGTTTGCATGCCAACTGAGTTAGGGAGGCGATCTAGTGCAGTGTAATCACAACGACACCAACCGCCCTAAATCGCGGCCGATATATCGTGCCCGATAGATTGGGTAGTGTAATAGGCGCCTAAAGAAAGACCATTGCAAATACATTTTGAAATACATTGAATAAAATCTATGATTGAGAGGACTAGAAGATTAGGTTAGGTCAGGTGGTCAGCAGTGAGTATCATGTAAGAATGTATTGGAATCTTCGATTAACAATCAACATCGTTGTATGTATTGTTGATCGAAGATTGGAATTTATAATTTATTGTAATCTGTATGTACATATCTTTTAATTTTGTTTACAGTCAGAGGCAAAAACAAAGATTAATATAAGGCGGAAAAATGGCCATTACCACCTTATTGCGGCGATCCTTAATTAACGGCACATTATATTCAGCTGCAACATTACGATTTGCTTCCACACAGCCTGAAAAGAAAGTGTTTTTTGATGTATCTGCCGATGGAGAGCCCCTTGGGCGTATTGTTATGAAACTTGATTCAGATTTAGTACCCAAGACAGCTGAAAATTTTCGGGCACTATGCACAGGAGAAAAAGGTTTCGGTTATAAAGGATCTTCTTTTCATAGAATCATCCCCAATTTCATGTGTCAGGGCGGTGATTTTACCAATCACAATGGAACTGGTGGTAAGTCGATCTATGGGCGTACGTTCCAGGATGAAAATTTCAAATTAAAGCACACAGGCCCTGGAATCTTGTCCATGGCAAATGCCGGTCCTGATACAAATGGTTCTCAGTTTTTCATCACAACTGTAGCAACACCTTGGCTAGATAGAAAACATGTGGTTTTTGGTGAAGTTGTTGAAGGTTTAGAAGTTGTAAAGAAAATGGAAAGTTTAGGATCTCGTACTGGAAAGCCTTCTAAGAAAGTTGTAATATCTGAATGTGGTGAGTTAGGTTAATTACGTTACGTACGTATATAAGTTATTTTTATAATACAGTTGTTTTTATTATGCATAGATGTATTGTATTAAAATAGTTATTATTAAATAGTAGTTGTTTTTATATATATTGTGTATATTTTCCTCCTTTTATATATAGTATTTTTGTTATGTAGTTTCTTTTTAAAATCAATTATTCAATACAATTATAGTTCTAGTTTTGTCTGAAATGTAAATCAATAACATATAATAAATTAGAATGTTACCTATTAGTAATATTTCCTAATATACATTTCAGTGATATTTACCTTTATAAGATATATACATATACATTAAGTATTTATATTATTGTCCAGGTGACATGGATCAAGAAATAGTTTGAGCTGTTATGCTGGAAGAGTATTTTACGTAAAAATTAAAGAGTCAGTTGTATGATTTTTCCATGAAATAAACATACATCTCTTAAGTAAAATGTACTTTACTAAAATAGTCTAGAGTTCTTGCCTTGTTTCTACATAGACGTAGGTAGACTTTAAAGAGAAATTCTTTCTATAATACCTAATTTAAATGAAGAATATAGTGTAGACAATAATGTGAAAGTAAAGCATATTAACAAGTACCTATCTTGTGCTCATGTGTCATTACCAAAGATTGGAATTAGGTAGAGTTATTTATGTACTTTCATCGAAATGTTGATATTAATGTGGACCTTCCCGGGATTTCTAATGGACAATCCCGTGTGGCCAACAATCTTATAACTAAATGATAATAACAACGTCAGAGATAGACAAATAAAACAAAGATAATTAACATAAATTTTTTATGAGTTGACATTAATTTACAATACAAATTATTGCAACTTTGGACATCCGATGTCATTAATGTAAGATTGGCAACATCGTGCGTGCAGTAGTTTAAATTGGGTTAAATTAAATAACTTTTTATTTAAAAAAATCACTTGATTTTTTCTGCTCTTTAAAATTAATCACAGGATTTGAGGCATATCCACTTTATTCTTTCGCTGTATGAAATCAGTGTAAGTACATGAATAACTCTACCTAATTCCGACCACTGGTCATTACTGAACAAACCCATAAAAATTGTAAAGGCACAGAATTACTACCTGCTCCTTTTTTAATTTTTTGTACAAGAACTGAGTTAAAAAATTGTGATATCAATACCAATTTCAATTGATGATGCATTCACATATTTAATAATAATTTAGTATGTTTATTTTTTTTATTTGAACTTTGCCTAGACTTCCTAAATCTAATTTATTGCTCTATGTAAATTTGAGTTTGACACCCTTGATCTACACAATCCATTGCTCCATTTTCCAGGTAGGTCGCTCCAGGTTGACCATATAACTTCATTCCTGTGAATTTCAGATTAAGTTTGATAAAAAGGAATATTATAAGTTCTTTGTCAAATTGTTTTTATATGTTTCACTTTAACTAACATGTCAAATATAAAAAAATCCAAGCACACCATATTATATCTCCATTGGAATATTAAGATGCCTACACCATTGCATGAAGTTCGCTTGATATGTGTTAGATCTACTGAAAATTACCTACATAAATTTTAGAGACATAAGAAAATTGAAACAACATATTAAAATAAGTATGCAATTTTTATTAATCACTAAATGCAACATATTAGTTTAGGGAGTTGCTATCATCCAACAGTTTTGATTCTGTGAGTGATGTAACAACTTATACAGCTAGTATCAAGTCTTAATTCTATTATAATAAGGCATTTTTTAAAGTTAAAACACTCTCTTCCATATCAAACTATTTGTCTCTCTTAACAAATATATATGACAAAAATTTACACGACAAATTCACTTGTCTTTTAATGAGATAAATATATTGCTTTGTTTGTGCAGTTTTTATATTAATATTATATTATGAGTACTTTTTCACAATGCCAAGTCAATAATGGCCTAATTTGTACTCAACATTGTGATTGAAGCCTCTAATAATTGAATTTAAGACCAGCCAAAGAATTGACACTTTTCATATAATAGTCACTTAAATATCGAACCAATTTAGTTATTAAATGTGCTGATAGGGTTTAAAAAAATGAAAAAGTATATAAAAAAAAAAAATAACCAATAGAACAAAAGAGCTATGAAAATATAAAAATCAAATGTATTAATTTGTTTGCCATATTCAGTGAGGTAAATTTTATGCCGAATTTTTCAGCATACTGACAGTAAGTCAAATTTATTTGTGCTGGTCACATCATACATTGTTTGAACAGATCAAATATTTTATCTCTATTGATAACTTAATAATATTCGGACATTTTTTACAGAAGAATAAACCTTAAACATTATATAAGGGTCAACCATTTAAAAGATAACCAATAAACTATACCAGAATTTTCATTTAGTCAGATTAGTACTACAGATAACATGCAAATGTATACACGGTTGCACGTCAGGTTACCACAATATGTCAAATTTCTGCAACAGATTTTGACATCTACTCTCTATGTGATTATGGTTTAAAATCGAGTGGAGAAATTTGACACTTTTGTATAGTCTGACGTGCAGTTGACTGTATTCTTCACCAGACAAACTTATAAAAATTAAATATTTACAAATCAAACTTGTGTTATGAAACTTAACAATCTTTCTTTTTGTAGTAGGCAAAGACATATTCACCATTATGAGATCACAATAAATACAATAAAACCTTTATACACAGTGTACTTTTTTACTGCCTATTTTTTATTGGTGGCCTTATGTTTGTCATTTACAAGTAATTAGAAGGTGTTAAAGGAATGTTATTATAATATTATTGTTTAGACTTCGACCATAGATATTCTACTTTTTAATTACTTACTCTATTAAAATAATGGGAAAAACTGTGGATGCTTTCATCTGTTGAGAAGTAACTAACACAAAAATTGTACTTGGTTCTAAAACTTGTTACATATTCAGGCTAATTTTGTGATCTTAAATTAGAGAATTAATTATTTTGTGTAATTTGGAGAACACCAAGTTTTTTTAATAAAGCTAAAAACGTATTCTACTAATATAATCAATGGAATGAAGACGTCTACATGACCAATGATAAATAACTACAATGATTGTTTTTTCAAGACCATTTCGGCCACACAATTAAGTACATAAAATATCATACTTATCAATTTTACATATTTTTTAAAATAGTTTACTTTGAGATTTTAAAATTTTCATTCCTGGTTTCTTACAAGTACGTAGCATCTAATATAAAGCCCCACTCAGATATACGTACAGCGATGGACCAGTCGTATCGACGATCATAAATTGACTGTCAGTTGTGAAATATAAAAATTAAATAATCTATATTTTTCTAAAGTAACACTTCACTATCGAGAGTGGAACGAGCGCAAGTTTCACTAAAGTTTAAATCACTACGAGAAAGCGCATTGGGACTACGCAAGATATGATTAAAAATCACATTCATTTTCGGGCTAGTTTCCGAACGAAAGTCGTATTCGAGTTACTATTTAATTTCACTAAGCGATGGCGCGGTTCAGACGCGCGGGTCGAGGGTCGAGGTGGCGGCCAACTGGTCCACGCTGCGGCCCTTCTGGATCTGCAGACTCCGCTCGGGCTCCAGCGTCAGATGATGAGAGGACGTTCTCTTATGGCGGTTCTCCGGCGGCTTCATATCGCGGGAGCCGGTGCGGCGATGTCTCAAAACGCCACCGCCGCCCTCTATCAACCGCTTGCTTTCCTCGTCGGCGCATTTGGTCAACGGCAGCACCGTTAGGTCTAAGCTCTCCATGCTCTTGAGCGCGAGGTGTTTCAGCTGCTCGAGGCTGAGATCGCGCGAGTTGGAGCGCGAGTGGACTTTGAAGTCGCGCGAGCCGCTGCGCGAGTGCGCGGGGAAGTCGCGCGACGCGGACCGCGGGAAATCGCGGCGGGAATCGCGGCTCCGCGCCCCCTCCTCTAGTGAATGCTGACGCGCGCGCGGCTCCAACTGTATAGTCTTTGAGTCGTTGCGCAGGTGACGCGACGCTACTAGTACGCGAGAGTTCTTGCCCCCGGCGCTAAGGATGAAACGATACGGGTAAATATAAGTACTCACTCGAAGTATCGAGTACTTTTGTCATCGTTACTTTACACTTGAGAAAAATGAGATATCGGTAATTGGTCGGTCACTCGCTGAGGTGTGTCGGAAAACTCGAGCGCATAAGACTATTTATTCTGCTATTCTTGAAGTAATAATCGCAACTCAATAGAATTTCATCTACTTACTTTTTACCATTGTACTATTTACGAAGTTCAATATTATGAGTGTAATGTGTTCGTCACAAATCATTAGTGACAGATATATTGATTATTTTGTGATCTTGTAACAAAAACTGTGTCGTACAATACGGGTGTAGACAGTAAATTAAAATAAATACGTATGATTTTTTTGCTCTGATAGTCTTTAATATACTATTACCGATAATCACGTTTTCTTAGCTTATTATATTTATAATATTGCTAATTACGAATAAAACTAATATTTATGGTTGTTGTCACGTGACCTCTTGGATCAGAATGGAACCTTATGCATACATAGAACAATATTCGTTTCAGAGCGCCGTGACGTCATAGCGACGCCATAACTGAAGTGGCGTTTTCCCGAGAAATTTTGAAAATTAAATTAGATTTCAACTTATTATATCAATCATATTATTTAGATATATCTCATGTTTATCTATAAAATAAAAATATATTAAAAAAAAAACTTGTCGACATCCCTATTACGGTAACATTATCAGAATAGGGATGATGACAAATTTTTTTTTGTCCATCAGATAATGTTAAAAAATATTAAACACGTATTTTTTATTTTTCGTAATCAAAAAATTACGGCGTTACATGGAGTTGAAATTTTGCATGACGTCACGTTACGGTACGTTTTCTACTAAACTGACGTAGCGAGCCCCCACTCCCCAACTTTAATGGCTGTTATCTAAGCTATTTCTTGTTAAATTGAAGTAAAAAAAAGAAATACGTATCTAATATTATTGACTAAATAGAATTGCATTTTTTTTTTACCCAGTCTTCATCCCTATTGCCTTACTAGACGTTATCGTTCGTTGCTTACCCAGCGCGCGTCTGCGAGTCCTGCGAGTACTGCGAGTCGGTGCGCTGCAGCCGCCGCGCAGGGTCGATGGCCACCTCGTACGGGGCCCCGAGCCCCGCCTCCAGGGGCGTGGTGGTCGCCGAACTGGGGCCCGACGTCACACCCGAGCGGAATCCGCTCGCGTTGTCCGCTGACGGCAACTCTTCGAATACTGAAACATTCAATTATTATATTGATACCGTGAGAGGGTCGGAAGTAACGTGAAGTATGTTACGAAACTTTTTTTTTTGTTATTTTGCACTGCCAACTATAAACAGTTTTGTTAAAGAAAATTTGGTTACGTTACAAAACTAACGTTCAACTTGCAACGCTGATTTCATTGAAGTTTGTAACATACATATAAAACTTCGTTTAAACCGCTGTTTTGGAATATGGTAAACTGTGACATGAGAATTTTATATAATATACTCACTTTTCATCTGCGGTTTCCCACGGGTCACTCTGTATTATACGTTAAAATTATTTGTGTAGTTTAAAAGACAGCGGAAATGACTTTTTTACACTCTGTATGTATTTATATATATATTTAATTTCACTTATGCCCTTTGTAAACTGTCATATATTTAAATGACTCTTCGTCTGGATATATTTTTTTACTTACATTTATCAAGACTTATAATCGATCCCGCTATATCTTTGTGAGGATCCAGAGGTGCCGCCGTTTCTAGGTTCCTGCGTCGCCTTACCAACCACCAGTCTGCTAAGAAAATCCCTAGAGCCACTATCTTAATACCGCCGCATAAGCCAACGTATCTGAAAGGAAATATAGTTACAAGTTCGCATATATTCCCATGTACATTGCATATATTCCCACAAAAAATATAATTTTCTGTAAATAAGCCTTATTCTCTCGTGGTGTGGGGTAAACTTTAGGTAAAATTTTCAATGAAATGAAAAATATATCATATGCTGTTTTTTTATCGTTTGACGTGAAACACTGACAACAAATATATAAAATTTTTATTGATTTAAAAATATAAATAATTTAGCAATAATATTCAACGTTTATCTTCAAACTTTATGAACTTTTTAAATACAGACAATTTAATTTTTTATCTATTTGTTGTCCTATCCCCTATTGTTTATTAGTTGGGTTAATTTAATACGTTACCTATATCTAAATTGTTCTATATCGTATAACAAGCATCGCCCTCCCTTTTCGCCGCTGCAGGATTGCTTCCACAATAAGCAAGTGGAGTCAATCAGATTGCCGAACACTATGGGCGCGGGTATATAACCAAACAGACGGAATATCACGAACTGCATGCCGAGAGCGAACGACCGCTCTTCCTCACTCACAGACCTGAAAACAGAAGGGCATATAAGGACTCTTTTAAATGTTGTATGATGAGCCACAATTCCAATGATAATAAAGATATGTCTATACTAATATTATAAAGGGAAATATTTAATTGTTTGTTTATATGCAACGAATAGGCTCCGTAACTACTGGACAGATTAAAAAAAATCACATCTTATGTGGTTGGCAGACTATAATTTACGCGGGCAGAGTCGCGGAAAAACAGCTTGTCGTTAATAAATTGATAATAAAAAACTTTAAAAATTCGAACAGTTAAAAATAATACCATAGATAGATAACAATGCACCTGAACCTGAAGAAGTCGAACCACTAGACCAGTGGTTAACTGTTCTAACATTGATTGACAAATTTCTATCTGGCCACGGACTACTCGCTTGGTCTATAATTCAGTTCTAAATGTATATAAATAAAGAGTCGTTCTACGGGTATAATTTAATAGTATCCTATTAATATTATAAAGGCGAAAGTTTGTAAGTATGGATGTATGGATGTTTGTTACTCTTTCACGAAAAAACTACTGGACGGATTTGGATAAAACTTTACAGCAATATAGGTTATACATCAGAATAACACATAGGGTACTTTTTACTGGGAAAACTTCTCACTCCCACGGGATACCGACTTCCACGCGGACGAAGTCGCGGGCGTCCACTAGTATATAATAAAATCTCCGCTCCACGGACCAATTTGGATGCTCCACCACTGGACCGCAGACCACCGATAAGACCCACTGGATTAGGCGGTGCATTCGCTTAGGATGTAAATAACATATGAACACTATAGATTACCTCAATACGATCATGAGCAACGGCATCTGCGTGACGGCGACAACGAACGTCATAAAGAAGAGCAGTACTAAGAACGGGAATATAGTGGTGCACGGCGGATTGCAAGCGCCGGCCGTGGCCACCGGTACCACTGTAACTTCCCCGCCGAATGTCCTCCCGCCGGATAACGCCGCCGCCGACGCACCGCCCACCACCGCCGCCGCCGCCGATCCCGCCACTATCGGCTCGCGCACTGTCTCGTGCACGCCTGTGTGTAAATTACACTTCATTAAGTACCCTTAGTGCTGTTAGGTGGAAAAGGATCGACTACCACGGGCACTATTTGTCGTTTGCTCTACGGGGATTCCTAGATGTCACTTTGACGTTTGATCAGTTTCGCGCCAATATACATCAGGGTTGTCTTTCTCATAAAACTAAATATTGGAATCGACGTTGTAGTTTAAAAAATATAATTTATTGAATAGTTAATTGTTCTTATTAATACAAAACATCATACCTGCTGAAAAAGTAATAGAAACCATTCTGCCTGCGATGCACAGATAATATTCACGAAAAAGAATAATAAAAAATTAAAGATCAAAGACAAAGAATCTGGATGCGGATACCTAGAACAAAATAAACGGTGTGGTATGACTCACGGTTATCCCAAGATTTGGCTGTATGGCTTAGTTCCTTCGCCTGTCCCATGGACGAAAACGATCTACTACTACGACTCACGTTTACAGTACTTTATGAAAAACTGATGAATATCCTTGCGATATAAATATTATTAAAAGTCAAAGTATACTTTGATACTCACATGCGCAGTTAGTGAAATTGTATCGCGATGAGAAGGCAGCACAACCCGCGTGGCATGGCGAGAAGTAAGTTAATCCATTATTACCGCATACAGGCTCCATGTCGGTTTCAGTGCACAAACAATTGAAGTTGCACGCCGCCGTCAAATTCACTTTGAACGGCTCCAGGTTGCTAATAAAAGGTTAAACACATGCATTGTAATTATTATTATACACAATTGCACTAAAATTATAAATTGCACAAAAAATTTATGTAGTTATAAAAATTGCGATTCTGATTTTGAGTCTTAAAATCGCACGATTATATTAAAAGTTGTGAGATTTCGTCTGGTGTGTCGCGTGACTTGAAACACGTTTCAAATTGTGTGACGTCACTGTGGCAACAACTGTCAGATTAGTCATAAAGATATTCCTATTAATTATAAATCAAATTCTTAGATGGCGCTGTTTTTAGCTTATTTATATTTTTTATTTCGTGATCGGTTGTGAGATAGAACTGTTCTTGTTTTATTGACATTTTTTAATCTTCTACTCTATGTATCTGTTTTCTGTACATATCACAATGACGTCATAAATATGACGGACAGCGTTTTCGCGGGGATAAAAAAAGTTTAAATTTTGATTTATTTTAAGGCACGCAAACGTGTTTCTTTGAAACTTTGTGTTCGTTAAAAATTGGTTTCAAAGACATCTTCGCTGACTTGTAATATAAGCTTGAATAAAGAGACGAGATTATAACACAATTTAATACAATATAACTAGAACACCTATTCGTTTAAACCTCTCTGCTACAAAAATATATTGTATTTTTTATTATAATAACCAATTAAAATTTGCTACAGTCCTAATATCAGTTTGGCTTATGAAAAATAATTACCTGTTATTAGTATAAGGTATAGTGGTGCCGGCCATTTTGATGTTGTCACATCCCAAGAAGAAGAGCAGAGCGTAGCAGGACAGGCAAATAGTGTTTGATATAAGGACGAATTGTACAGCGCCTTTAGGTCGAAGTTCCAACCGTTTCAGTAAACAGCCGCCCATGAAGATGCCTATACACGCACCGGGAATGGCAATGGAACCTGTAAGCAAAACAATAACAATGTTATTTTAAAAAATAAACTTTTTATTTCTAGCACAATCCTGAATGAATTTAAAAAAAGACGAAATAAAATAGTAAACATTTTCAAATGTACCTACCTAAACGCTATTTAGCATGTGAAAACGTTCTGATTCATTTAAAAACCAACTTTTTTCGATAACTGATCACTTTGGAGTCACTTAGTTATTTGGTAACCTTGATTATACGCAGTTACATGATAATGATAATCAGTTTCCTGTATATATGGTCATACCTATAACTTGTACGAATAAACATGAACCGAACAATTGCGAACATTTTTCTTATAATTTTGTTAAAACTAAACCAGTGCCTACATCCGTTGTTAGATATCGAAGAAGGGTTCTTTGGAGTCGAATTAGTTTTTCCAAGACAGAATAGGCCTTCCAGCGGCATTCATGCGAATTGTAAAATAAATGTAATAAATAAAAAAAAAAAACAAATGTGAAACTTAGAACGAGGTTAGAAACTTAGAATGTGCTTAAAAGGAGTACTTACCAGTAAATACGCTAGCTTGACTCTTGCCTAGACTGAACTGCGTCTCCAGATACTTAGGTAGGAACACCACGAAGCCAGACACAATCATTAGTTCCATGCACGCCCCGAGACAGGTCACTACGTATACGGGATTCTTGAGGAGCCGCCACATCGACACTGGTATATCTACAAAAATAAAGCAAAATATTACTCGATAACAAAAGTAATAAAACAATCACTATACATGGAATTCACTAAAAGAATTTCGTACGTTAACCTTTGTGCCTACTGACAGATGTCGCGACTATTTTAGGTTCAGTTTACTATGATAAAATTGGCTAGATGTATCTGTGTGAACCACGGACTTATATAAGGGGGATGGGATGTCTTGGGGGTCCGGACACTTTGGGACCCCCCCCTCCCCTTGTCAAAGCTATAGCTACGTCCGTGATGTGAACGCTATAGCAATATGTTTGTGCACGAGTGAAAGAGATATATAATGCCGGGTCATTGTACAAAATTCTATCTGTCCAGTGACAGTGTATAGACTATTAATGAATTCCCCACTGCAGGATACGGGTTTTCTTCATGCAGAGAAACGGAGAGAGAAAGGGTCATAAATGCAAGCGAGCTTAATACGGTTAAGTGAATGTGTGAATGACTGGATTAAAGTCAAGAGTGAGCCCATTATAAATAAAAAAAAGCAATCGGAAACAACGATCGAATGAGCCTTCTGAATAATTCTTGATCACCAATCTGATGACTGACCATAAAGAAAGTTGTTTAACCTTCAAAATATTTGTACATAATTAACGCTATTAATATAATGAGTTGGATACGTCAGAGAAAGCATAGACGTAAAATAAACAAAGTTAAAGATAAAGTTTTACACGGAATTTAAAGAATTGCGTTTATAGGCTGTGTTTGTAATAAAAAGTTCGAAACAGCTGATCAGAATATATTGAACGTGTAAAAATAAAATAAAGACTTCGGATAAACGAGTATACTGCCGATATTGACATAAGATGCGAAAATAGATAATTGTAGTAGACTAGAGAAGACACACCTTTAACTATCAGATTGATCGCGTATTATAGAAGAGTGATGTCAGAAGTCATAAAAACCGGTAAGCGTGTATTAAAGGAATTATGAATGTCAAGGAAGCGAGAGACATGTGTAATGAATGACCCTGCCTTGTGAACGAGCAAGATACACATAAAACATAGACTAATAATAATTAACGTTTAATTTATGCTGTGTAATCAATGTGATTAGATATATAAAGTTTTTAAATAAGCCCGATTTTACCTTTTCTAATGACATTAAAGTTAAAATAGATCATAATAATTATAAAGCCCGAAGCTCAATCAAGTTGTTGTTATTGTAGAAATAATAAATAAAATCAAGGCTTTTGAAAAGTAGTAACACTACATTTATTTTCCATAAAATTACCACAGAACACAATGCAAAAAAATAAAAATAAAAGGGCCAAGTTTTCTAACTTTGTTTGTTTGCCTTCGGAAATACTGGAACAGTTAATTAATATAATATTACCTTTGATATCTTTCCCATATCCTGTGTCCTTGATGTCGCTCTGGGGTTTCGGTTTAGCTGTAGAGGAACCACTAGCGGCAGCTGCTTTCTCCACTAGCCTTATTTTTTCTTTCTCTCGCACTAACACTTTAGGAAATGAGAAGAACGGTATCGCGACCAAAATGAGAAGGAGGCCGCACAACAAGAAACCGCCCCACCACATGCCCACCCAGCGGTGATCGCCTGGATCTATTTAAAAATAAAACACGTTTAATTGTAATTGTTCCTGAACACAACACCGCGAAAGCGACGGCGGGGGTAGAAGACGTTAAGAAATAGCATTCAATTTTCCGAAAATTTCTTCTTCTCATGTATTTATAGCGCCGGATGAAAGAAACTTGGCGGCTCACGCCCATAAAAATAAAGTGTAATTTTCTCAATGGCAAAAGAACCTCCTTAGATCGAATACTGATGGTCTAATATTTTATTGGATACTGAATTTTTAAGGTCCAATAAAATAATAGTAGGATATAACAGAGTTCATAATCTGTTTGCCATGTGTCGCCCCCAAATAAAAGTGCCCTAGGCAGTTGCCTATAAAGACGGGTGAGCCCTGTAGGTATATTGTACACACTGAAACCCATAACTTACTGTTAGCAACAAAGGATTTTATTTACTACTTCATCTACAACGTTTATTAAAACTAATAACAAGAATATTTAAGGAAGGTTTGTACAGTATTATAAATCTCTATTAAATTAAAAATATAACTGGGCATAATTTATATGAATAATAAACATTAACTTACCTATCGATATGATAGTACCAGAGAAAGAGTCCATGTGGAATGAAAGTAAATAAGCTCCAAGTAAGAAGCCTAGTACTGGTCCAAAAGCTGCCATACTGTACATACAACCTGAAAAAATATATACTCCTTAGTGAAAAGTTATCACGTTTTTGGTGAAAAATAAGGATTTAGTAGGATTTCTCTGATAACAAATACAAATTATACTGCTACACATATAACTTAGATCTACTTGTCATAATATTTAATAAAACATAGTTTAATCGCAAAATAATCGTTTATGATTTTTGTGCACTACTAAAATCAACTGTAGTATTTAAAATTGTAGTAATTATAATTTAGAACAGTAATCTTGGTATAATACGTGTATTTAAATCACGAGTCTTTTTAAAAGTATTTTTTTTATAACCTAATGGGTTTAAACAATTTAGGTATCTTCAATGGAGTCAGGCAAGGATTCCTAGCTTCGTTGTTTTTCACAACTTTTCAAATAAAGGAATAATACAGACTTGTTGACAGCCTACTCTTTTTGGATGACGGTTAAAAAGATTTCATGATGCATGCACTGACGTTCTGTTGTGTGTGCTTTCGTTAAAGTATAATTTCATTATCATTTTTAATTAATAAAGTTACGTCAGTAGTTAGGTTAATTAGGCACACCGAATATATAGGGTAGATGTATTTAGTATGTGAAAACAGGTACAGGACTGTATGCAGTAACTGTAACTAGCTTGCAGACATTGCGGCAAAAGTAGGTCACGCTCGTCGCAAACAGAACGGTTTTCGCGGCAAGTATAACACTGACTAATGGCTTGCCAAACTTGGGAGTCGCGTGACAGCCCTACCCCTATATTATTAATCCGCAATTTAATTTGTTACCGACCTTGAATTCTCGTCATAACATTTGACTGGGATATCTAATTTTTCTTCATTGTTGGTTAAATGACAAAGCATTCTTTAGTTTCCATTGAAATTTACTCAAAGATTACACATTAACAATAACTTCATTTTATTCAGTATTATTTAACGAAAATAGTGTGTGGAACTGTGATTTTATAGGCTTAATATAATTCTCTTCGATTTCAATAAATAAAATATTTCAATAATTTATTAATAAATTAAAATCTAAATTAGATGAGTTTAGTAATATACCTACTCGTGACGTGAAAATCTAGCAAACCTTGTAAATTTGTACTAGAGTCACAAGGACAAAAAGCTTTTACGTAGGTATTTGTCGATAAATGGGAAAATGCAAAGGACTGCTTAATACATAGATAATCTTAATGTACCTATATGATTTTTGAATTATAAAAAAAAAGATATTTTACGAATTTTCGTTGGTGGACAAGTAGTCCACCAGAGCAGAGATGTACAAAATACCCTGTACAAAGTATCTGGAATACAAGATACAAAATACTTTCGAGAAAAGTATTTGAAATACTAGATACAAAATAGGTATCTTATAGATACTTTTTATAAATACAAATACTTTTCTAAAAAAAGATTTGAATTTAAGTTTGTTTATTAAAGACCACAAAAACCTAAATCTTAGACCAGATGGTTCCAGGGACAAAGTGGATTTTTTAAGCATTTTTCATTAGAAACAATTTTTGTAAGCTTTTATTTGGTTTCACCTGTGTTTGTACTCAAATCTTACAAGCTAAATTTCACCCTCTTTTCCTCCGTTTTATTTGTTTGTGAATCACAATGTAACATATAAAAATGCAAATATTTATTTTAAATTTTTTAGTTCCTTTTAATATTATTTTTTTCAATAAAGAATTGTGAATGAAAAATTGCTGAAATATAACAACAAGAATAATTATTTAAATTTAATTATAAAATTATTATTTATTTAAAAAGCTGGTTTTACGTACGACGTAAAATTACGGAGAACTGAAAATTCATTTTTTCCTAGTGAGATGAAGAGAGTGGGTAAAAATATAGTTTGATTTTAAATGGCTAGTACAGCAGAACGGCAATTACATAGGTAAAGACCTAATATTAAGACAGGACTCCGCCCATTTTTTTGTTGTTTCTCAATAAAGATCCCTTGAATTAAATGGTTACTTATTAAAGCAAAATCTACTATACGATTACATCACAGATTGTGTTGTATTTTTGAAAAATAAAGGCGTATTAATTGACGATGTAAAATAAATTATTTGAAGAATTTTTTCTATTAACAAATTTATTTTTATGACGAATTAGTTGAAAAGCAGTGGGTAATTATTTTCAATATATGCAATGACAGCACTCGTTTCCGAACTACTGAAGATTTGTCAGTATTTTTTTTATTATGCCTCATAATGCGAATATTGATTTTTTTTTCGCTCATGAATATGCAGTGGTCAGAAGATAGAAAAAGATTAACTGTTGAGTCAATAAAATCAATATTGCTTTGCTCATGGGATATAATTTCAGGCATTTGCCATGTATCGAATTTCACAGTGAAATTTCTTTCAAAATAAACTTTTTGAATGCTGTTGTTAGTGGAAAAAGTATAATGTGCAAAAAAATAATAAAATTTAATAATGAGTTTAATTGATATACTGAGTTTTATTTATAGCACATAACCGGGTTTTTACATAAATCAAGATTTTTTATTGCTTGTAACTGGTTATTCGATTTCAAGCCCTATGCGCCATCTATCAATTTTTACTAGGGAGGGTGTATTACACCGGTATAACCGTACGTTCAGTTCTACGCATTTACTTTTTAAATGACACCAAACAATGTTTGGATTCGAGTTATTTTTAATTAAATATTCATTGTGTTGATAATTGAACACTTTCTTTTTGTAAATATGTATGTTTTAGGCAAAGAATGTTTTGTGATATATATAAAATGTAAGAAATAATCTTTTTATAAAGTATTTTATCAGAAAAAGTATTTAAAAGATACTAAGATACTAAACAAAAGTATTTAAATACAAGATACAAAATTCTTCCTAAAAAAAGTATTTTAGATACAAGATGAAAATACGTATTTTGTATCTTGTATCTGTATTTCAAATACTTGTATCTAAGATAAGTCACATCTCTGCACCAGAGGAGGTGTCTACTTCGTATGATTTGTAAGTAACCAAATATTATTATATATTTATATTTTAATATTATATTAACAGGAGTATTCCATAAAATAACACATAATTAGTAATTACTACATTTTAAATAGTTTTTAATTAGGTATAAATATACTAGAACGCGGAGTGAATTAAGAGAATTACAAAAAAAAAACAGAATAAATGTTAATTTTTGAAAGGTGAAAACGTAGTAGTTAGTAACTAAGTAATTACTTCTTAAGTATCACATAAATAGAATCATCTTTGAGTTGACAATATGGGAAAGGAGTTTTTGACAGCAGAGCGATGTATCTCAAGGGCCCTCCGATAAGTATTAAGCACAAGAGAGTACTGAAAGAGTTCATTAAAATGTACTTCTGCGCAGTTGTATCGAGTAGGTAAACCATCACATCAAAAGATTTGATTTATTTTCTCAATTTCATTACGCTCTTCGCGCAAATAAGTACAACACTACAGAGATATCGGTTTTTCAATCCCTAATAAATAATTTCTAAAATACGTACTTACATAAGCACAAGCCCCATCAAAGGAATTATAGTTAGAAGAATATTGAAGAGTGGGAAATACTACTATATATGTTTTCTTCTAATATGCGGAGTTCAGTGTAGTAATAGTTAATGCTTCCATTAAGCAACTTTTGCCACGGCCAGTCATGAGAGGGATGACCAAAAATTTCTTATCTCGAATTCCTTCGTGCTTTGGATGAGACATTAAGCTGTTGGTCCCGGCTGCATTTGCAGTCATTAATACCGCATCAATCAGATCTACCCTTCCGTCATCATTATTGGAATGGGCCATTGTTTTTATTCGATTCAATAAAAGCTTAATAGGCCGATGATGATGAAATAGTATCTCTTATTCTTCATACAAAATGTCATTAAGTAATCTCGTTGACTGTTTGTTTTGTACTAGCAATATAAAGACAATGTAATTCTAGATAATCCTATGAGTTTGGATAGATATTTTATATTTTATCCATTATCGCTGAACAGTTAGAATCTAGATTCTTTATCATAGGACATTCCTGCCGATTGGCGTGTTTTTTCTAGAGTGTGTAAATATAGTCCTAGCGTGTGTGGACAAAAATAACGTGTCACATTTGCAACAGTGTACAGATAGTCGAACGTCTGCTTCCTGGTTGCATTCTCTTGAAATCGACATTCAATAGATTGTTAACTGTTTCGTCGTCTATATGTTTTTGGAATAATGGAGTAGAATAGATTACTATGAAGTTGCCAATACATCTACAATTAACTTGAAGATTACGTATACCGAACACAGGTACATATTTCATAAAAGCTTGATCATAAAGATCATGATTGTGCTTCGTTGAACTTACAAGAGACCGTAGTTTATTAGCTAATCAAAATAGAATAAATATTGAATTCTAAAAATATTGTCGTAAACTTAATATAATGCCAGAATGAAATGTAGAAATATAATAGCACAAACGAAGTGAAGGACGGTAAGAATCGGATGATATAGCATACTAAAATATATAATAAAATTGATTCCAAACTAGAAGATCAGTCGAAGTATTCAACGAAAACAAAAGTGGTAAAGCATCCGTAAACCAAACAATTTGTTATTGTCGAGATAAATATTACTATTAAATTTACTCGTATTGTGTTAAGAATAAGAATATTATATTTCTGGCAAAGGAAGCAGCTAGTGATATGTAGATGGCAAATTCCACCTATGTATAGCGAATGCACGCCAAGAATCGATCAGATAACACTACTACCGCTAGCGAAAAGTTCTTTCTATTTGGCATAATAGTTTGGAATACTAGGTCAAGGACACACGGAATTCGTTATTGATGATTTGGTGCTAGCTTGTGCTAGTTCGGCGAGTGGTTCCGTGCGACATTGCATTTTACTTCTTTACGGCAACTTGTTCGGTATTACTGTGCCAGAAAGTACGTAGCAGTAAAACAGGTTATAAATACAAAACTTATCATTATTAACACAGCTAAGATCAAAATTGCAGAAATTTGTATTTTATATAATGTACTTTGAAAATAATTTGGGTTAATAAGTCAAAATTGGATCTACGTCATGGCTCATTCCCCTGTTCGATTTTGATTCGATTAATGATTTCCCAACAGTGGGGAAATCATTAGACTGGTGTCGATGAATCAATCATCATAATGAAAAACTTTTTTTGCGAGAGCTGGACTATATAGGTATCAAAAATTTTGATTTTTATTCAATAGTAAGTATACAGTAGGTATACTTTGTATAATGTATGTTCCATTGTAGATATTGAAATAACTTTTATGAATACACATAGTAATCATCATTATTCTGTTCAAATGGTTGCTGATGAGCAATATTTTGTTATTGCAAAATCACCATTTGTTTGATATTCATCTATTAAAATTCACAATGTCGAATTTTATGTTCCGGTTTCGATAAAACATAACAAAACTAAACTACTGTAAGAACGTTTTAATGATATCGATAGTGATCACTGGGATATCAATCGTGGATTAGTTGGTAACAAAACAAACAACGGCTAGGCCATTTGTTCAGTAAATCATTTATGAAGCTCCTCGTTATGGATGATGGAATTAAACAAAGATAAGGTTTAGAATCGTAAACAACACGCTAGTTGCAAGTATAGCACGTGCGGGTTCGATAACCCGAGATGGAATAATTTAGTAAATGGATGGATCCTGTAGTTTTATTTTTGTAACTGTTAGGTATTGAATCGGCCGCTCTGCTACCTTTGTGTGATTCATTGTATATGTACGATATATACATACGTCAAACAAAACCGTACTATTACAACGGTATTAAAATGACCCCTGGGTAATAAGTGAGATGGATGGTCCTGTCACCGGTTACCTATTATATTGTAGTTAGTACAAAAGCCGTTTTTACCTACTTTTAATATTATAACTCTTACTCAAAAAGTAGTCTATAACTTAGCGTGCAGTAGGAAAGTATAATAAAATTATGTGAAAAAGAACACAGTCAAATAGTCCATTAACAAGTTCTGCTCTAGAAATCGAACATGTTATAATCGAAAATATTCTAACTATTACGCCGCACTAAATAAATATATATAAAATACTATGCTATAATTACCACCATTACAGTAATAAATAGCTGAAAGCTCTTCAAAGACGATTAGAAACATATTCTACCAAAGGAAATTCATATAAATTAATCGTAATTCAATTAACTAGAAATAACCTCAAGGGTTAGTGCAGTTTTATTCGTTTGACCCAAATTGAGTGGAGAATTTAAAATAAGAAATAAAAAGTTGTATTCTGGTCTGATAGGGTTCAATGACTCGACATTTCGCATTATTAGCTGTTTATGAGAGACATTGTGCTTTTACGGTTGACGCAGCAGTCAATAAAGACATGCAATATACGCTCCATTCCTGAGGTCGTTTGAGGGCAGACTAGGGACATGAACGTTGTAGTGAGGATTAGATATTGTTATTAATAAGCTAAACTTACCTATATACATGCTAGATGATTCAGGGCGAACGTGATCGTCGACGTATGTTGTTCCAAGAGTCAGAAGAGGTGATCCTCCGCAGCCAAGGAGAAGTTGTGCCACGATGAATACCATGACTGGCATAAAAGTGCTCGGAGAACTCTGAGTGAAAAGAAAAACGATTTAATCAAACGAGTTTCAATTCCGTCGTATGAAAATATTATAGTTGCAAAAAAAAATACCTTTATACAATTGTCTGGTCTTAAATTGCTTGGAGGTAGACCCTGAGATAAGCGGCCTAAACCACCCATGTCTTGCTCCAGAGCTCTCGGTAGTCGGCAAATATTGTCATCCGTTTTATTGTTCATCAAAGTTTCACTGTTTACTTCCGCTATGAAATGCGGAAGTACAAACACTAGCGACCCAATACCCATAATTACAGCACCTGAAATATCAATTTAAATTCTTTTATTTATATGGCATATAACAGTGACAGGTAAATAAATTATCAAATTAGGTTAACCGGTTTTATTGACGCTTTATTTTCTTATAAAGGTACTCTATGTCTGGCACTTACCGACTGCGATCCAAACTGGAATGTGTCTTCGACTGCCAAGATATGAGACGAAGATTACGGTGATGACATTTCCGATTTCGTAGCTACTCGCAATCAACCCCGAGAGACTCGATGGGATCTCGAAGCGTTTTTCAATTGTTGTGATCACAGAATTAATGTATCCCGAACTTAACGCTTGCTGTAGCGTTACAAGGAACGAAAGGAAAAATACAAATACCTGAAAACAGAACGCACGTGTTAAGGGCATAGATGCAATTATGTACGAGTACTACACGTTACAGTATGATGATACGTACTTTAATACTAGAAAAGCTCTGAATAAAAAGCGGTCTCCATGACAAGATACCGCAGTCTCGTGCGTCATGAGGAATGTCTAATATTTCTGGGTATAATTGACGGGGTTTCTCTTTCTCTCTTTCGCGGTCTCTGTAATAAGATAGACATGGTACATTATAGGTAATATTTTTGATATTTGTAACACAAGTGTTTGGTAATCATGGTCATTGCGTTGGCTGCGTTACCTGTCGCAAATGCCAGCTGAGGGGTTTCGGCTGTGGCATTTTCCGGGTTCCCGAGGTGGGTGCGACGGAGGAGGGGGAGTGCTCGGTCCGGCTGCGTCCTCTCCACCTTCTGCACAGCCCGATTCCGCGTATAATCCCGTCATAGCATACATTGATTCTTGTCTTCTGCCAAACAATGGAACGACAATTATTATAAATTCTTAAATTATTTATGGTGCAGTTCTTACAAATCCAGAAGTAAGTATAAAAGTCAAACAGGCTGTTGTAATTTTTATGTAAGCAAAAAATAATAATTTAAGTTGATAATATGTAAAATATTATAAGTTGTTATTTGTTACTATATAATCATTCCTCATTGTGGGTTAGTACCTCAGTTAAATACAACTTGAACAAGCAAACATGAGTATTTAGGATGTTACGCAAGCAACACTGACATAATAACAATACAATTGTCGATTTTACAACTTTAAGAGAATTGCTCATCATGTAATGATATCTAAGAAGCTCGCTAAGGAACTAATTTTTTTTGTGATGATTTTCATTTTCGTTAGCGACAATGGTGGAAGGTGATTTAAAAACTAATAACACTAAGTGTGATGAGGGGAAAGTGCACATGAAATCGTGGGAAACATTGCGCTTTGTATCAAAACAAACTTAAACAATTGTAAACACATACCAGTATATCGATTGATATACTCAAGACTTCAGTTATTATTTTTATGGAACTTAATCTATATACATTATCTAAATGAAATACCTGGGCAGCATCACACGAAGTTCTGGAGATTTTTTCGTGGACGGCATAATTGTGTAGCTTTACAATAACAAAATCCGAATCGAGACTACATTACGTTTTAGTCATGATCCCAGCTCATTCGTTAAAAATTCAACTGACTTCACTATCCCTTCGTAAAGGTAGCACTAACTAGATACCATGCCGGTTAAATATATTTTATGAGTAAGACGCGATTAGGTTGAATGTGGGCTAGATGTCGCAAGCCCCACTATCGCATTCATTATCTTTTTTCAGACACTTGACAAAACTTATCAGTACATCGAATGCCGTACATTATTTCAGGTGTAACAGCTGCACATATATTCGGACTATATTATAATCACCATAACATCTGGTTTATCTATTAGTTGATAAACACAATACATTGGCTCTGATTCCAAGTAGCTCAATAATTGCACTGTACGGTATTTTCTTTCAGAGCACTACCAATAAGGGACTTTATTCTTGAAAAAAAATCAATCAGTGCTTAAAACTATTATTTCGTTTTGTTATGATAAAATTTGAAAGTCAAGGATATCAACGAGTTGATTATTTAATCCTTGTAAAGTTACCTACTGCGCCGAGAAAGAATGCCATAAAAAAATCATTTGTTCCTAATGGAAAAGAGTGTAAAGTGTAATTAAGTTATTATTTAGTATATATTATAAACCTTCATTGTGTAACGAGAACAAATGAAGTAATAGACAAAAGTCCAATATGCAATTCAGTATGTCGTAATTTCAATTAATCTGCTACTAGTAAAATGACCTGTTACAATTACAAGACAAAGGCTAGTTATTACTTAACAAGCAATAGATAGTATAGCCAATTACCAAGGGAGGTCACACGAACATGTAACAGACAACGTAAAAGCTTCATGCTGGAGTTTGTATGTGTCTATCCACAGGATGACAGTAGATAGTAATAAACATAGTTAACACCTATACAAATATTATTGAACACCAGATGCCGATCAAGACTTACAAACATCCTGATCGTAAAAATCCAATAAAGTCTTATCACAGTTTAGTAGTATTATTATACCTGTATGCCTGCCAGTAGCGGGCGTTCACTTTATAGATGTTCACTCTGGTTTTGATTTTAGTTATTAATTACATAACATCAATTAAGATACAAAGTAGGAAAAGTTGCATTTAAACAAGTAATAAAAGTAAATGGATTTCCTCTTAGAATTAATAACTGTCAGCTCCAGTACAATAGCGATTGATATAATGTTAAAGTTGATAAAAAATTGTGATACCGAAAAAAAATGTGTAGTGATTTTCAGATCATCATCATCATCAAATAGGGTCAAACGAATGATGATTATTTCAGTAATTATAAAATAATAATCAAAACTTTAATGATCTTTTGCTAACTTTGCTAGATTCACAAACTAACACACGTCTGCCCAACTTTAAAATTATAATTTTGATTACATAAACGTTGGAATTATAGCTCATTAAATCTGCTGTTTCATAAAATACAAATCTAATCAAGATGAATCTAAAACATCATGCAATAAGCGTTGTTCGTTTCAAGTGGGCCATCATTTTACGAGTGGTGAACGGCCATAAATAAGGACGATCGTTCTCTTTATAGGTGGAGCATGAAATACCAATTATGACGAATAAATATATAAATTCGACTACGGACTACTTTTAACATTTAATGGGAACTCTGCTCGCTTTATATTTTCTATTATTTATAATCAGCATTTATTGAACTGAGAATCTACTCTATTTTCAGATTGAAATCAACAAATTATAATATCCACGGTGCCTATCCCAGTACCCAGTCCTTCCATGTTTGTTGTGCACGAAACTGATGAGTGTTTCTGTCACCAATCTCTAAGATCTATGTACTTACGATCACACGAACGCTTTTGTGATCTCTAAGAAGTGACGTTTCTTTACTAACCTGTGTCCCTTTCTGTGTTGTGGGGCGGCATTGGTGCCGCCTGCACTTTGCTGTCTTTCTCCCTCCGTCATGACGATGAAGTTTACTGGGTCTCACCGCATGCCCATACCACAATACACGATACTTCTCCACCTGTACAATACAATACAATGCTATGAGAAAATAATATGATACTGCACATAGTTCATAAACATGAGTTGACTGGATAGAGATAGAATAACGGCTAGTTGACAACTTTTTCAATTTTATAAATAAATAGTCCATTAATGTCTGTGGAATAATGAAGAACAGCATGTCCGCGGTTAATAGTAGTTATAAAGTAAATACTAATTTAATGCCATAAGTATTTTAGCAAATATTTGCAGTTTATTTTCCCTACTTTTTCAAGTTTTCAAAGCGAAATACTTTCAAAATTTGTGCCATTAAATTTATTTTGTTAAATATTTATATGGTAAAATGGTTCATATTTTACGAACATATAAAGAAACCTGTATTTTCACTTGTAGGACGCAAGCCTTGTATGATCTGATTCATCTATATTATACTAATATTATAAAGCTGAAGAGTTTGTTTGTTTGAAGGCGCTAATCTCAGGAACAACTGGTTCGAATTGAAAAATTCTTTTTGTGTTGAATAGACCATTTATCGAGGAAGGCTTTAGGCTATTTAACATCACGCTGCAACTATTAGGAGCGAAGAATAATGGAAAATGCGGACGAAGTCGCTGGCGGCCACTAGTCATCAATAAGATTTGACCATGTGGCCAAGAGTAGCTCGGTGGCGTAGTGGATATGCGCCGCGACACGCGATCGTTGTCGTTAAGCAACTTTCGCAAGGGTCCGTCACGGGATGGGTGCCCAAAAAATTATTATCTCGAGCTACTCCGTGCTTTGGAAGACACGTTAAGCCGTTGGTCCCGGCTGCATTTGTAGTCGTTAATACCCTCCAATCCGCATTGGGCCAGCGTGGCGGGTTATGACCCATGCTCCTTAACCATCCATAAGGAAGGCCTGAGCCCTGCAGTGGGGACGAAATAAAGGGCTGATGATGATGATGATGTGGCCAATGTAGCAATTTCAAATAAAGATAATTAGATCAATAGAAGATTAAAGAAAAAACATAAAACAATTATAGGTACATCTCATTAACCGTGTTCCTATGTAATTACATTAAAATTGATCGGGGTTCCTAATTGTATTAAGGTAGGAAAGGTAGACAGTTGTATGTAACAGCAAGGTCGTGTCAACGTTTGGTTTTCTGGTTCACAATGTATTAGTGACGTCATCAGCATCGAAGGTGGTCCGTTATACTGTCACAAAACTGTCTCGGATATTATATTTATAAGCATTGCTAGGAAATTAAAAAGTAACCTTGAAAGGAGAACATATAAAATGTTTACTCTGTGGTAACTTTTGATCGCTGAAACAGATCTGATTATGGTTTATATATTTTTTGATAATACTAGGTTAAAAGGGTTAATCATAATAATGATTGGATTTTTTATACATTACTTAAATACATTAAAATAATTTAAAGGTTATTTATTTTGTTAAATATTTATAAGGTAAAATGGTTCATATTAGTACTCTTTTATTTTTATCGAACCCCCGGATCGATTCATCAAGTATTTATTTTTAGAATTACTACATTTAAGATGTTTCTGTCTGCGGATGATCCCCTGCGTGGTTACATTGAAAAAAAAAATCTGGCTCGTTTTATTAATTGATTTGTCAGATACGTGTTTGAAAATAGATATTAGACCTTCATAATTGCTTTTGCATTCAAACGGAACTGCTTTAGCTTTTAAGGTTAAAATATGTATAAAAGTTGAATGTGTATTGCTCGGCTCGAAATGTCATCCGTTTTTAAGTGCATACTGTTGTACAAGGTAATGAGTATGCCCATACTGTATGGGCATATACGATATATATGTATATCTGGGTCATACATCAAGTTCCTTTATTAGACTCGATATTAGAACTGTATAAGTTGAGAGTTTTTACTGGAATAGTAGGTTTATAAAATATGGCAATTGTAATGTCCCTGACCTCGGTTGTGAGTAATAGGTATATGTATATAAAAATGTTTACATTGTCTTGGGTAGATTAAGATTTTAATTTATTAATGATATACTAATAAGTGATTCATAATTTTTGGTAAGAAAAGTATCATGTATATTTGGTCCTAGGACAGGGATTCCTAAACTTATTTTGTCTCCTGTCCACATTGACAATAGCGCTTCCGTTTTGCAAGAGTTGAGACCTGAGCGCAATAGGTAGGTAGTACGCGAGTCTCTTCCTTAACTCTTGCTAAGCCTCTACACGATGTCACCATATTTTTCTGGGTCTCTTACCGACCCTTTCGGCCTACAGCATCCACGAGGGGGCGTTATCGCCCTCTTTGGGAAAGTCTGTCTTGTCTGATTTGTAGTTACATAATGTTTTAAATGAAACTTGCCCTATTTTTTGAGTATCACTTTCTGTAAGTATTTACTTACGTATTCAGATAGCCAGTTAATTAAGATAAACTAAACTAGGATAGACATATAAAATTATTAATGTTTTTTTTATAAAAGTATATTTATTGTGGACAGTATTATAGTATATGATAATGAAGTAAATGTATTGTTATAATATAAAAAATGTACATTAAAAAGTAATTAAACGTATTTTAAATTTAAATTAATATTTGGTCGCATGTCTACGACTCTTAATAACTGCTTTACACCGGCGAGGCATTGACTTTATCAATTTTTGACATTTTGCATGAGAAATAGAATTCCTTTCTTCCGAGAAAACGTCGTAAGTTCCCTTAAATTACCACACAGTTGATTTGCTGCCTTATTTAGCATCACACCAAAGATGTTTTATTGAAATTAATCTAAATACAAAATGCTTAAAAAATCCATTTGATCCCTGGAATGGGATTCGAAACCATGACCTTTCGCAATTAATCAAATATAACGATGTTCTTTTGAGTTTAAATCGGGGCTGTTAGCTGGTCAGTCTAAGACGGTAACGGATTGAGAGTGAAGAAATTCCTTTACCGAGCAGGCTGTATGTTATGGACCTCTTTTCCGTGTTCTGTGTTATGGATCATTATCATGCTGAAATTTCCAAATAATTGGAAGAATGAAGACGTTCTTATCCATAAAGTAACATTGTTCTTTAATTTCGCCAAACGAATGATGTTTGACGTATCGAAGAGATGTTTTTCTCGGTCGTGGCATGCGCGGAATATTTAAAGTACTGTTATAATAAGTTTAAAATGTTTCACAGCATTGAAGATCATGGTTTTCGCACATTGTAGGTATACAGCTATTTTTTTAAAAGACCAAATGTTCTCCTAAGGTTTTATTATAATATACTTTGTAGATTGGTCGCAACTTTTATTTTTTCCCATTATTATTTTGAAAAATTACGTCCCAATTGTGTTTACACTATTAAATTCGGCAGTTTCACGAGAATATAGTAGCCACAGAGTGTTTTTAATTTCTAAAAGAAAATAATTTGCGCAATAAATAATTATATGATCAGCCAGTAAGAAGTCAGTAAGAGTCAAGAATTACTTGAATTCGATTTTACGTTTGCATAATTTATTATTTTTTTATTCCTGGTTTATTAAATCTCATTCATTGAAGAAAGTACCAACAATGTAGAAAGATTTTCGAGTACCACAATAATAAAAAAATAATACATGCAACAAGCTACACGTTTTCTCTTAAGTAAATGTACTATTTTTAAGGTAGCGTTCTTAATTACATGGCCACCACTGTATATGTGGGTTCTACTTTGTGTTTCACAATATAATCTTTCCATAATCAAAGGAATATGAAGCTAAATATTAATTATAACCAAATATTATAAACAAAGTCGTTTATTTTGAAGCAAGAATACGTACTCTAAACATAAACTAAATCGCGAGAATATTGGGGCCAAATCGCTATATGGCGTGGCTACGAGAACCGCTATTCTAAATACCTACATTTATCATAAGAATGAAAATGTGCCATTTCGCGTTAAACATGGCACAAAGAATAAACATTAGCATAACTGGCAACAACTCAAGGTTTAAATGTTATCAACTTTTGCAGCATTTATAAAAAATAATATTCTTCATAAACAATATAAGCCGCAATGTGAAACAGAACGTATAATGTTGTTCTCCCACGGTTAGTGTGACAATGACAAGGCTCTGTAACTGTCCACGGCACAACCGTAACCTGACCGCGCACTATGAACAGACAAACCCATGATTACATCAAACAATACAAAAACACTCGATGGTAATTATTATTACTGCCCTGCGATTCTGTAAAACTTCAAACCCGATTTCGAAATCACTCGGGTGTCCGAATTCACTTCAAAAAGCGGCATCCGCTCAAACTTGAATTGGTAATAATGTTTCGTGAAATAAGTGAAGTGAGTTTCGAAATTATATAGGATTAAAATATCTATGACACGTTTAATAAATCAATTTTGTTTAGTATTTTTATACAAAAAATGGAATCAATATGATTTCTATACTAAATGACGAGAATTCGGACACATGAGTGAATTCGAATTCGGGTCTGGATTGTTACAGAATCGCAGGGCTGCTGAAAAAACCGAAACAGCAGCACTAGCAAACTTTTATCTATAGCATCATAAAAAGATGACATAATATTAATGTTTGATATTAAGTAAATTCATTTTATGTGCAACCAGCTCATGCAGTCAGGCTAAAAAAGTTGAATTCTATGAAAATTTAATAACGATATCTAATATTTATCAGTAAAGAGAAAATCCACCCAAATCTGAAATGAGAGAGTAAATAAATAAAAAAGGGTATTTTTATTTTTACATAAATATCAATCATAATTACTATTTCAAATAATACAACAACAGACAACGAAAATCAAGTTACTAACGCGTTATAAAAATACAAGTGTTTTAATGCTTCAAAAGCGTCTCTTGTTTCAAGTAGTGTATCATAGACATATAAGCAAACATAGAATAAGAAAGCAACCGATAAGCGATAAATTATGAACAAAACATATTATTACATGCATGAATTAATCTATTTACTATAA